TTATTATTTCTAGAAAAAGTAACTAGATGCTAGACCCTATAATAATCTAATTTAACTATAGGACTAACCTCTTAAATAAAAGAAACTAAAGGCGCTTTAAGTTGCCTTTAATAGCAATCTTAGCAAGCACAAAGGGGCCGCCGTAAACGGATAAGCACCACCACTACTAAGAACAAAGGCTGTAAGCCTTTCGTTAAGACCTGCCTTAAGGGAGTTAAGCATAAAAGAGGAGCAATTATAACGCCGCCTTAAGAAGGGGACCGACGTAGGCTATACGCAAGCTGTACGCAGTATGCGCACAACGTATTAAATGCACGTTGTAGACTAGAAGCGGTGCTTGTAGCGCAGGCTGCGTGGCGCAGTCTGCGCACAGGCCATAGCACGTGCTAGCGCACGGGCTAAGTATAAACAGGGTCGCGCCTGCCCTGCGCACTTAGTGCGCTAGAGGTACGCCTACAATAAAAAGCGCCTCCCGCACTCCCTTAGAGTGTAGGAGGTAAGAATTAGCTATTAAATATACGGCTGCTTCCTTCTATTAAGAAGATACCTCTTTGCTTGCTTAACTTATTTAGCTTACTTAAGTATACCTTTAATAATTCTTTAGAAAATAAAATAAAAGTAAAATAAAAAAGAATAAAAATAAATATATATAGAATAAAAAGAGTAAAAAAATATATAAAAAATATATAAAAAATATAAAAAGAATAAAAAGAATAAAAAGAATAAAAAGAATAAAAAGATATAATAATAAAGAAAATATATAATAATAAAGAAAATATATAATAATAAAGAAAATATAAAGATAATAGTATTTTTTAGTATAAGCTTAGTATAAGTTTAGTATAAGTTTAGTATAAGTTTAGTTATATACTATAAGTAAATTATATATATATTATAAACTATATCTTAGTATTTTAGCAAGCTATACTATATATATATAATAAAGTATTCTTTATATTTATTTTATATTATACTTAAAATTTATATCTATTTATTTTTTATACCTTATATTTATTTTTATCTTATATTTATTATAAATATATTACTAATATATTTTTATATATTTACTTATTTTTATATACTATAAAGTTACTTTAAATTTTATATATTTTATTTACTAGCTAAGTAAGTAAAAGGTATATATAGTTAAAATTACTATAGCCTTTATAAATATAATTTCTTACTTTACTTATTATTTATTATATCTTTTATATATATAGCTAAAATTTATTAATAATATATTATTTATTTATATAAAATATATATATATATAGCTAAGATTATTACTTTAATATATAGTAAATAAATAATATTTAAAATATTTAAAAAAAGTTAGGTTAAATTAATAAACTTATTTTTTTAATTAATAATAACTAATTATATTATTATATTTTAAGCAAGTATAGCTATAATTTAAGTAAGCTTTTAACTAATAGTAAAATATTTTATATATATTATTCTTTTTATAGTATATTAAGTATTAGTATATTTATAAGTTTATATAGCTATATAAACGCTATTAGTACTTTATATTATATATTAAAAATAAACATAGTATAAATATAAAACTATATTATAAGAAAATTACTAATTACTTATATAATATTAGCTAAAGTAATTTTCTTAGCTACATTACTTTTAATAATAATAGTATATTACTTTTTAATATATTAATAAAAAGTGCTTTTTAAGCTATATATATTTTATAAAAATATTAATTAGTATAATTAAAATAATAGCTATATTAATAACTTAAAATAAATTTTAAATAAATATACTAAATATAAGCAAACAATTTTTTATACTTTTTTTATAGTATATTAATAATATACTTAAATAATAGTAAATAATTATACTAAATATATATATTCTTATATAGTATAAATCTTATCTTAAAGCCTTTATAATAATAGTTAGTAATACACGTAATAGATTTATAAAAAAAATAGTAGCAACTTAGAATTTATTTAAAGAAAACTAAGAGTGTAGAAATTATTAACTTAAAATGCACATTAAGTGCAAGCGTAGTAAATTGTTTATTTGTTTACTTTTATAGTACTTACATTTTTCCGTGCCAGCGATTTTTTCCCCCGCCTAGCAGAAACATTTATTCCTTTGTACTACCTCTAATAGAGTACATTAACAAGCCTAAGGCAAAAATTTCTGGGATGATTATTAAGTGAAAATAGACCCACAATGGTCGGCTCAGCTTTTGTGGGAATGGTCGGGTTGTATGTAGACACATTCTAGAGGTATAAAACTCTGCATAGGGTGGAGCCCTGATTGACCAATCAGGGCTCACCCGTATGTCACCTGACTTGTGATTACTTAACATCACGCACTTCATCAGCCACACCGTTCAGACCCTATACAGTGCACCGCTACCCCTGCTATAAGCATCAGTTGTGACAGAAGGGTTTAAGCTTCTACTGAGTAGGCGATTTGGGTGTTCTGGTAGAAACGGAGCAGTTGCAAGTAGAGAGCTGCAACGTGGCAGTAACCCCTCGTTTGTGGGCCACAGCTGTGGTTGACGATTGTAATTACTACAGCAAAAAGAACTAGATTTTGAGGATCAAGGAAGTGGGAGGTCGAAAGTATTAGGAAGACAAGAGGCGAAAGAAGGGTCAAAAAATTGCACAAAGGCCAGGGAAGACTCGGTTAGCCGAGGGAGAAGAAAATGAGAAAAAGAAAACGGAAGGTGCACACAGTGGGAGCGAGCCGAAACCTGACGCAGTCACAAAAATTGATAGTAGGAACAAAAACAAAGGGGGGAGACGTAATCCGCATGCAGGCGTGGGTTCCCCTTTTGGACGAGTACCGAACCCACACCAGGGTCGACAAATGACCTAGAGTACGGATAAAGGCCGGGAAATTATGGTAGATAACGGGAGGTACCGGCAGGTAGCGAGGGATGTCAGGATATGGAACATAATTGGTGGAGAGGGTGAAAGATAAAAATGACTCGGCATAGGGTGACCATAGCTCGAACAGGCCTTCCTGTTGAGGTATCCCATTGCATGCGGAATGCCTGTTATCTGGGTTCCTAACCAGTAGGAGAGATGATGCATCGAGAGTGATAGTGGGGAGGGTACATTGCAAACTGCTCTCGCAATGCCAATGCTACGGGTTATGTTTGGTCGAGCTCGGCCTCCTTCCAACCTGAGGTACGTTGCTTTAACGGTAAGGAGGCGGCAATATGTGCAGGTGACAGCTGATAAATAACAAGGGAAAAACCCAAGACGAAACGATCTCGATGCTCCTCTGTGGAAACGCGCGTGTATTCTCCCAAGTCTTATACTGGAAGTGATACTTCCTAACTGGACGGGCGATTCCTGTGCTTCTGTTACGTATGGGTATTGACCATATGGTACTGTTATTGGTCAGAGATCAAAAAGTGGGAACTGACATACTATGTGGTATTAAAGCGGATCTCCGGTAGGTCGCGATGTAGCAATTCCTTCCCCAGGTACTCTGTACACAACACAATCTGCTTACACCTTGCCCAATTCAGCCTCCTGCTCCTCACAGTACAATACCCTTCATGAACCCTGCGTGTTACTCGTACGGAGTAGTCGTAAGCCTTCCCATGCGGCTAGGAGCAGTGGTGGTGGAGAAATGGGGGCAAACGTAAAGAGCGTTCGGGAGAGGGGCGTCTACCCTAGGCTAACCATATATCGGAAGAGGTGGGGTGGAGCTGGCAAGGGCTAGGAAGGTGCCGAGAGCGTAGCCGAGGATTATAGTACAGTAAAGACTTATAGCTCCTTCCTGCTTGCTGAGTAGATCGCTAGTGGTATGCATAACCAGGACAAAAACAAATCGAAACGAAAGCGTATATATATTATCCAAGTCTTTTACTGGGGGACAAACCCCTCGTCCACCCCTCTTCTACCTCTTCTTTGCATCTTTCAGCGTATAATAGCGCCTGGAAATGATGGCTAGTATGTACGGAGTAACGTGACGAGCCTAGATTGCGCACTAGTCTATGATGTCTTTCTTTTCTTTCCTTGGAGCACAACGCGGGATTCTTGCGATCTCTAACCAGGCTATCGTCTAGCTTTGTATACTAGATTTTAAAGAGTTTAGCGCAATAACGATAGCAGGATGCCAATCCAGGCAGTTTGCATGTTGAGATCTGTTGTTGGGGAGAGAGCATGAAGGTCAAAAGATAATGCAGTGATTGTCCTTATCCGTCTGTTGCGTTGCCGCACCAGTGGCGACAGCCCACGCATGATCCGTGCCAGCCAAGATGGAGCGACGTTGCAGCAGGACAGTGTGACAGGACGTGTGGTGTCGAGAGCAACGGAGCTCTGGGAATGACTCGCATGGTTGCTCGCAGGCACGCCCCGTTTCTGTCCAGACACGCCCTGGGGCTTGCTGTGGAATTCCTTTATATTCAAAGGACAAGGCGATCGCTGGCCGTGTAGGTGGCTGTGCGCGAGGAAGAGGGGGACGGCACAATCGGTGAGCGAATTTCCTGTTAGTGGTAGGCTTGCAACAGGCGAATAAAAAAGAACAGGAAAAGAAAAAGAAAGTAACAGAGAGAAAAAAACAGGTATAGATAGCCGAATAGAGGCAAGGCCGAGATGGAAGGAGTTAGTATGAGTCGTACGTCGGCAGAAGCGCACCGTGTAAGTGACTATATGGCCGTACTGGACCCCTTTTAATTGTATCGCTTCTGACTCGTTGAGCACCTGCATGAGAGGAAGTCCGATGATACCCTCGCTCTGCCCGGCTCACAGAGGTTCGAAACAAGTTAGTGTGAGGGCGTCCTCTTCCAGAGTTGGTTGTTCTGGAGTTGCTGTTGGATCGCGGCTGTGCCAAGCAGCAGGGGCCAAGCAGGAAATGGATGGGCGAGCGAGTATAAAGCAGCCATGGTCTGTAGGCCATTGCAGACGGTGAGACAGCTCTCAGTAAGCACACGTGTGCCATCTCCCAATTCTCGCCTGATCTTCTCCCGCGCTCTTGTCTGTCTTTGGTCTTTGGAGACACGTTTCGTGGCCATGGAGTCTCTGGGCACGTCGACCGACTGGATCCGGTTTGAGGCTCGCGATGAAGAGGCCGGCCCGGCAGACGGTGGACGAGCATGGGCAGAGCTGCGGCGCATGGGCTCGAGCGGGTCGCTGTCGATCCGGTCGCATTCACGGCGGACGTCGATCGACGCGGCAGCGCTGCCGATGGCCGTGGACGAGCCCGGGCACAGGGCGGACAAGAACAAGTCGACGGTGACGGTGACGGGTGAGACCGGACCTGGTTGCTCTCCCCTGGCGCAGCTGCACTGGCACCGGCTGGCACCGAACGAGCTGGCACAACAGCTGACGACGTCGCTGAAGACGGGGCTGTCAGGGGCGCAAGCGGCGCGGCGGCTGCAGCAGTACGGGCCCAACGTGCCGTCGCCGCCGGCAGCCCACCGCATGCGCAGGCTGCTGGGCTATTTCTTCAGCGGCTTCGGGCCGGTGCTGCTGGTGGCGTCCGTGCTGGCCTTTGTGGCGTGGCGGCCGCTGGGCCACCCGCCGCAGCTGGCCAACCTGGCGCTGGCCATCGTGCTGCTGGGTATCTTCATTGTACAGGCCAGCTTCAACATCTGGCAGGACTGGTCGTCGGCCCGCATCATGGCCTCAATCCAGGCCCTGCTGCCGGGCTGCATCGTGCTGCGCGATGGCCAGCCGACCGACATCGCCGCTGCTGATCTCGTCCCCGGCGACGTCGTGCTGTTGCGCGCCGGTAGTCGCCTTCCGGCTGATGTCCGCTTCGTCAAAGTCGCCAACGACACCAAGCTCGATCGTTCCGTGCTCACCGGCGAGTCGGCCGCCTTCGCTGCTGCCGTCGACTCGTCCGACGACAACTACCTCGAGACCCGCTGCATCGGCCTCCAGGGCACCTATTGCATCTCCGGATCCGCCGTCGCCGTCGTCGTCGCCACCGGCGATGCCACCGTCTTCGGTCGTATCGCTCGCCTCGCTGCTGAGCCCAATGTCGCCAGCTCCACGCTCGAGCGCGAGGTCTTCCGCTTCGTCGCCGGCATCTGCATCATCATGATCACCATGATCCTCCTCCTCGTCATCGTCTGGGCTTCCTGGTTGCGACGCCGCCACCCCGGCTGGATTGACGTCTCGAACCTCATCATCTCGTGCGTCTCTGTCGCCGTCGCCTTCGTCCCCGATGGCCTCCCCGTCGCCGTCGCCGCCAGCATGACAATCAGCGCCAACATGATGCGTCGCAACAAGATCCTCTGCAAGGCGCTCAAGACCGTCGAGACCCTCGGCTGTGTCTCCATCCTCTGCTCCGACAAGACCGGCACCCTCACCCAGAACAAGATGACCGTCACCGAGTGTGCCGTCGGCGGCCACGCCGTCCTCTCCGCTGATGCTGCACGTGACACCCTCCAGAACTGGGGCCACACTTCCTCTTTGACGGCTGACTCAGCAGATCCCGGCCTGCTCCCCGGCCTGCCCTCCGTCTCCGCCTCGACCCTCCACCAGCTGCGTGCCGTCGCCGGCCTCTGCAATGACGGCCAATTCGACGCCGCCACACTCGACCGCCCGCTGGCCGAGCAGGTCATTCACGGCGACGCCACCGACCAAGCCATCCTGCGCTTCTCTGAGAGTCTCGGCTCCGTCTCCGATCTTCGTCGCTGCTGGTCCTCCAAGTTCGCCTTGCCCTTCAACAGCAAGAACAAATACATGATCCGCGCCCTGACCCTGGCCGACAATGACGGCCTTTCCATCGCCCTGCCGCCAGATATTGCCGCTGTCTTCAGTCCGCACGATATCCTCATCACCATCAAAGGCGCCCCCGATACCCTCCTGCCGCGCGTCCAGCACTACGTCGACCCGGAGACCGGTACCATCCTGCCGTTTGACGATGCGGCTCGCGCTCGCGTTGACGCCACCAAGGATGCCTGGTCCGGCCAGGGTTGCCGTGTCATCCTGCTGGCCCGCAAGATCTTCTCGGCCTCGGCCTTGCCGCAGGACCTCTCGACCGCCGACTTCGAGGCTGGCATGAAGCGTCAATGTCGTGATGGCCTCACCCTCGTCGGCCTCGTCAGCCTCGTCGATCCGCCACGCCCCGAGGCCCACAATGTCGTGGCCACTCTGCGTCGTGCCGGCATTCGCATCTTCATGATCACCGGCGACTTTGCCCTCACGGCCCAGGCCATCGCAGCCGACTGTGGCATCGTGACCGCTCCGGCTGAAGGATCCGTTCACACCGCTGCTGACCTTCCCCGCGAGCCTGATAGCGGCGGCCCCTACCCTCAGCTCGGCCGCCAGCCGTTCCAGGCCGATCCCGATCGCCGCACTATCGTCCTCAGCGGCCCCGATCTGTCCGAACTCGCCCCTTCGCAGTGGGACGCGCTCGCGCGCTACGAGGAGGTCATCTTCGCCCGCACCACCCCCGAACAGAAGCTCTACATTGTGCACGAGCTGCAGGCCCGCGCCTTCATCGTCGCCATGACCGGCGACGGCGCCAACGACGCCCCGTCGCTCCGTGCCGCCGATATCGGCATCGCCATGGGCGCCGGCTCCGATATGGCCATCGAGGCCGCCGACATGGTCTTGCTCGATAACTCCTTCGCCCGAATCGTCGAGGCCCTTCGCTACAGTCGCATGATGTTCGACAACCTCAAGAAGAGCATCGCCTACCTCCTGCCGGCCGGCAGCTTCAGCGAGTTCTGGCCGATCCTCACAAACGTCGTCCTCGGCATCCCTCAAATCCTCAGCAGCTTCCTCATGATCGTCATCTGCCTCTTTACCGACCCTGCCACTGCCATCGCTCTCGCCTACGAGGCCCCCGAGGCCGACGTCCTCCTCCGCCCCTCCCCCGTATCCCTGACCGTGATCGTCTCGTCAACTACCGCCTCATCCTGCATGCCTACGGCTTCATCGGCGTCATCGAAACCCTCAGCTCCTTCACAATGTCCTACTGGTACCTCCAGCGCAACGGCATCCCCTTCTTCCACGCCATCTGGTTCCGCTTCGGCAGCCTACCAGACGACATCGACCCCGACTACTATGCCGCCAAGCTCAACATCGCCAGCTCCATATACTTTGTCAACCTCGTCGTCATGCAATGGTTCAGTGTGCTCACCGTCCGCACTCGCCGCCTCTCCATCTTCCAGCACCCTCCCGTCTTCAACAAGAAAACCCAGAATCTCTACATCTTTCCCGCCGTCCTCTTCGTCCTCGTCATGGTCTTCGTCTGGCTCTACGTCCCCGAGTTCCACACCGTCCTCGGCAACGAGCCCGTCCCTGTCGAGTACTGGTTCTTTCCTATGGCCTTTGGCATTGGCGTTCTCCTTCTCGATGAGGCCCGTAAGTATTGCGTGCGCCGCTATCCTACAGGCTTTCTTGCTCGTATCGCGTGGTGATGATGGCAATGCCTGTGATATAGTGGCATGTCACGTGATCTTGTCTATCTAGAAGTGTTATCAAATTTACCAAAGCGTCCCAATGTTCCATTGCCCTGTTGTTCGTTGTTCTAACAGCTACCGCATAATGTGACAGGATGTATCAGCGCAAAACAAAGGGGCCTTCCTGCCTACAGAGCCCACCCAGTCCCCCAAACATGTCTGCCATCAGCGCCAATGGTAATCCAGTTGACCGACTGCCATGGCGAATCGCCCCAACCAGCTTCTGGGACGGAGGTAAACTGCAATGCTGTACAAGAGAATACAATAACTAAATGGCGGCCGATGCGTCGACGCCGCAGCACTATGCCCTTGCAGCTATATGTCGACCAGGTAGCCGTTGCCCGTCGAGCGAGGTCCCACACCGTTGCGCGCTACATCCATCTCATATTGTCTGACCCGCTCGCTGTTGGACCATCTGTGCACGTGTGAGCAGATATACACCACTGGTCCTGGCCGGCTTCACCTACATCTTGATCTTCTTGTCATCGCCACATGTTGCAAACATGCACGCGTCCGTCGGACTCCAGCTGACTGCGTTGCACCGTGGCTTATGAGCATCGAGCATGAACAACCGCACCCCAATGTTCTTGTGCCAAATGTTCAGCTTGCCGTCTGGACCAATACAGCATGTCAGCTCCTGTCTTTCCCGTCAAATCGCAGGCTGAGGGCTTACCATCGCTCCCGCTGATCACGAAGCTCTCGTCGGCTCCGCCAAAGGCGCTGCGGATCACACAATCGCCGCCCGTGCCGCCGACGAACTTGCGCATCAGAGTTCCGCGCAGCGCAATGTTGTACAGGTGGATCTCGCCATCCTGTCGGTTGACCAGCATAAACTGGGAATCCTCGCTGATGGTCACCGACATGGCACGACACTTCAACTCCAGCTCATACTCTAGCTCGCGCGTGACAAAGTTGTACACGTGCAGCAGCTTGTTGTCATCCATCGCCACGAGCCACTGGCCGTTGGGCGAGAGGGCCAGGCCCTCGGTCCGGTGTTTCTTCGTCCACGTGAAGAGCCGCTCGCCAGCGAGATTCCATTGGCAGAGCGCCCGGTCCTTATCAAAGGAGCCCAGCACGATCGACAGGCCGTCCGTGGCCCAGACACACGAGCTGACCGGCTCGTCGAACCGCTCAAACAGACGCAGCAGCAGACCCGTGCGGGTGTCCCATATCCGCGCCTGGTTATCTCGCCCACACGACACCAGCATCGTGTCGTTGGGGCTCCAGGAGATGTCGCCCACGCCCGTCACATGGCCGTCCAGCTTGAGGAGTACCTTGAACGTCGGCACCTCCCAGATGATCACGTAGTGGCCGGCTCCGCAGCTGGCCAGCCGCTTGCCGTCGTGCGAGAAGCGGACCTGCCACACGTCGCCCGCGCCGTCGTGCAGCTCGCACATCACCTGTGACGGGAAGTTGCTCTTGTCGCAGTAGTGATCAGCGTAGAGCGATGGCGACGTCGAGCTCGTGTGGAAGACACAGCCCGAGACCTGATAGTTCTTGACCTGCTCCAGCAGCACGGCGAGCCGATGCTCCGGTAGCATCACCGACGGCGAGATGAAGCGCGACAGGTCTGACAAGAGCAGCTGGCGCGACTGTCCAAACGCACCGTCCCAATCAGCCGTCTTCTTAATGTCGCCGGGCGACTGGCACATAAGCAGGCTCGACAGAAAGTGCAGCTTTTGCGTGTCCTGGTACAGCGGTGCCAGCTCGGTGCGCAGCACAGAGAGCGCCTTGGCCGTCTCTCGCTGCTCCAGCAGCTCGAGGTATTTCTGCTGCCGTATCCAGAACCGCATCAGGCTGCGGTCGGCATCGGGGAGGAGCACCAGGCCCGGTACATTTGCAGCCACGCCCGAGCCAGACGACGCTGTCCCGGCAGTGGCTGCCCCGAGCAAGAGATGTTCGGCCTCGGCCCAGTCGCCGCCCAGCACGGCCTGACGAAAGTCGGACACGGGCTGGCTCTCCAGCGCAAAGCCGCTGTGGTGGCTCACGCTCTCGGCCGCATGGCTATAACCCAGGTCGGAAAGGGCCTGGATCAGGATCCGCGTCACCTCTTCTCGGTCGTGGCCAAAGTATGTGGAAGATGTGGCGCCGCCGACGGCGGATGCATTTGGCGGACTGGCGGACGGCACGAGCGATGACGTCGAGTTGCGAGCTCGTTCCTTGCCGTTCTGCAGCTGCATCGATCCGTTAGACATTGAGGCCTGGGGAAGCTGTGTGGTTAGCGAGAGCCTTTGAGCGAGAGCCCGGACTGCAGAGGGGGCCACTTGCCTGTCCGTCAGAGCTGGCCAGCATGTCGTCGTCGTCGGTGCGCATGCGCTTCGAAGGGGGCTGGTATCCGTTGTCGGACCGGCCACGGCGGCCAAGTGCTTTCGGAGCTGGAGCCGAAATTATCGCTCGGGCTGCTGTCGACGCCGGAAAGTGGACTCCCCGTCGGTCCTGACCGGGCTGCTGCTCGTCGCCGGGTCCTTTGCCGTCCTCTGTCTGTTCCCGCTCTTCCTCGGCTTCTTCGTCTTCCTCTTCTTCCACAAGCAGCCTCTGTCGCCTTCCGGGAAACGGGGACGATGTGGGGCGAGCTCCGTTCGGCCGGCGAGCGTGTGTCGAATCGGTAGACGCGGTCAACGTCTGGAGAGACTGGGCAGTCTCGGTGGTCTGGGTAGTCAGGGCAGAGGAGGCAGCAGAGGCCGGAGATGTGCGGGGCGGATGTGGTGCGGATGGGGACAGGGGGGTTGCAGGACGGGGGATTGGTTCAGCCACGTCGTCGATAGGGGGGAGGACAACGACAAGGAGGATCCAGAGAGCCTCCCGTGCAAACGAAGATGTGTTTTTATGGCAGGGAGACGACGTTGGGAGACAAAGAAGGCCGTGAGTAAGCTGGTGACGGAAGAAGAGTCGGGAGCGAAAACAGATGGCCAGCAGGTGTTCCGGGATCGAGGCTGGTCGGTCTCGTGAGAGAGAAGGGCTGGTGGCGTGGAGAGAGAGAGATGGCAGGTCTGCGAGTAAGTGCTGCAGGTCCAAGAGACGGAAAGATCCAGTCTCCTCCCTTGTCCCAAGCTAAGCAGAGAATGGAAGGACCACCTTCAGTGCACAGCTGGCAAGACTGTCCGTCATCGGTCAGCTGGCTTGGACGGGAACGCTCTTGTCGCCAGGGGAAACCGCGGGTCGACAGGTCGCTCTATCTCGTTCTGCCAAAGTCGGGTCGCCGTCGTTGTGGGCGGCCTGCTCACGGGATCGGGGATCGGAGATCTATCGACTGTCGGATGTCGTAGTCGTCTCTCGTCAATTATGCTCGTCGTCCGATGGAGGGCCGCCTGTTTCCTGCGCACCGGTCTGGATGTCTGGTCTGTTCGTCTGCGTCGACCTCGGCCTGGATGTTCTTGGTATACGAGCGTGCGTGGTGGCAGAGGACAGAGAAATCACCTGGGTGGAGAAGACTGGCTGGAGGACCAGCCGGGATTTGGAGTCTGGGGCCTTCTGCCTAAGCAGGCAAGGGAATGAGGGAATGAGCCACAGCGTCAGGCGGCACCTGTTATCTATCGGCTGCCAGAGCGGGGCCACTAAAATCAGCTACAAGGACTGCCCAGATCACACCTATGATTCAGTATCGTACTCTTACATGCTGTCAGCGCACACAGCACATGACCTGCGTACGGCTATTTCAATCGTCCTACATGCCACACTTCCTTGCCTCCTATTCGTTTTTGTCATCGATACGCGGAGTATACTCCGTACCCTTCGCTCATCGGGCCCAACGCCACAAATTTGCGCACTCATAGCCACATAAGCTTGCAGATTAGCTATTACTATCCACTGATATCCACCGTGGTCATGTGAAAGAACAACGCTCAACATGTGCCAACATTGGGAGACCTACGGATATCACGGACCGACAGCCTCAACGTGTGATTGCCCAGATAACGAGAAGTGAGATATCTTGCAATCCCACTGAACGCTTGTGAGTGGTGCTTGGACCATTGTAGAGAGTGATGCTACAACATGTTGCCATGTATGTATAATATTTGCCCCGAACCAACAAAACATTCCCAATATCTAGTCAGCTAGCTATCCAATGCAGTAAATTACCCCGTCAACGCCCGATTTCGTCATCTCCTCGGGCTGATTCCCTCCCCCCGCCAGTATCCCGCATCGCATCTTACTTGGCATCCCCAAACATACAAGCTCCGTCTTCGTATTCGTCAGTGTCGTGAACTATAATAGGAAATAGGTAACTGCAAGGCCAGCATGACAACAAGTGGTATCAAGACAATACAAGAAGGCACTGCATAGTGCAGATATGGCAAAAACAACAAAATCAAAAATCGTGGCGTCTGCAGGCAGACACATCCCCTACGAAAAGCCGCCTTCGCCATTGAGAACCCCTACGCTGCCGCGCCAGCCACAACGGTCGCCAATCGGTGGTGGTGGTGGTGGCGGCGGCGGCGACACCACCTGGGAGATCGAGTGATGGCGGGTGTGCACTGTACCCTGGCCTAGGCTGCCCCTCTCCGAGCTTCGGGCATTCGTGACCTCTCCGCTTCTAGCAGCATCCGCCTCCGACACCAGGCCTGTGGCACTAGCGTTCGTCTGCAGCAATAGCAAGCTGGAGGTGCTGGTAGTTATGCGCTTTGTGAAGTCGGTGAAGCTCAGCCGCTTGTTGTTCGTCGCCGACTGCGTCATTCCCGGAGTGACAGGAGAAGTGACAGTGGTGGGTTGTCCACCAGCAGCGGACGTTGTCGCGGCTGCCGTAGTGGCCGACCGGTGCAGAGGCGACGAGAACGACACTGTTCCGCCCATCAGCTTTGTCCGGATGTCGTTTGCCGTCGGGGTTGGTGACACCGACGACGCCTCAGGCGGCCGCTGTGACGATGGCGGCGACAACGGCGACGGCGGGTGTTCGGCCAGGAATGAGTGCTGTCGATGGCCTATATGGCTGCCGGTGTTCAGCGCCGCGAGTTGTGGTTGACTGTGTGTTCTTTGAGTTGCTGTCGGGCGGTCACGAGCGTAGCCGGTCTGTGGCCGTGAGAGCTGCTGCTGCGCGGAAGAAGAATGATACCCACTGTTCAAGATTTGGAGTGCCTGCGCATCGTAGTCGGCCGGACCAGTGCGGCTCATCGGCCGCCGGTATGAGGCATTTTTTGCTCGAGCGGACCCGGCAATAGGGGATGTCGGCGATGTGATCTGTCTGGCCTGCTGCGCCTCGCTGCGGTGGTTGGCGATGAAGTCGAGTGCTTTCAGCGCCTTAGGTGCTATCTGGATCGCCGGGTCAAGATGGTTGTGGGGATGCAGCTGCGTCGGCTCTCGTCCGACCTTTCTGTTTCCGTTGAGCCAGCTCTCCCGCGAGGAGTTGTTGTCGCTGTCATCATCATCGTCGTCATCATCACCCTCTGCTTCGTCGTCACTGTCGTCGTCTCCCTCATCGTCGTCCTCGTCCTCGTCCTCGTCGTCCTCGTCGCTCTCGTCTTCGTCATCTTCGTCTGCATCCCATCCACTCTGTAGTACATTATTAGGACGAGCTGCCGGTACGACTTCATGAGCACGAGCATCCGCGACTATCGTTGCTTGCTTAAGCCGCCTTCTCTCTTCGGCCTCTCGCATGAGTGCGTCGAAGCGCGCCAGGGAGCTCAGCTTCTCCTCGCCCGGCACTTCCCGGTCATAGCCAGGTATGAAGCGCATCTGAAAAGCACGGTCCAGAATTGTCTCTCGGGGCGCTGGGGAGCTGCAGTTTGCCGCCGACGCCGGTGCAGTTACTGACGGATGCGGCGTCTGCGAACTGATGCTTTCGCGGCCACGGATGGGCGAGCTCACGGCTGAAGATCGACCTTGGACCGGCGCCCAGCCCTCCACGAAGTCGCCCTGAAACTCACCGACGGTCGTGGCGGGAGAAGGCAGCTCGGCTGGACGGTGCTGGAACATCGGAAGCGCAAAGCTGTTGCCGCTATTACTGCTGCCAACAAAGGCAGACGAAGGATGTGACGGTACGGTGGAACTGGCATGTGACAAGTCACTGCGGCGCGACTTCAGACTCGGAGATCCCGAAGTTGTCGTCGCAGGACGCTCGCGGCTCGAGTACGTCTGGGTGGTCTGGTTTGACGCCTTGCGGCTCAGGCCACTTATTCTGGCAGCATGTGTATCGCTTCCAGGTCGGTGCACTAGCTGCTGCTGCTGAAGAGTAGGATCGGACATCTCACGGCTCCGAAGGCCAGAAGAGGCGAAGGGGTTCGTAAAGGTAGGTGTCGCAGGTGTGATAGGGCTCAGAACAGCTGTAGGCCCAGCCACGACAGAAGATGTGCCTGACGCGGACGGGGCCGAAATCGGCTGCTGTAAAAGCGAGTGGATGACCTGACACCACTCCTGTAGTATGTGTTTGTGGGTATGGTGGTTATCGTCGCCAGGACGGAACCACATGCAGTTGGGCGTAGCGTCTTTCGAGGAGGCAAAGCCAGCAGAGCGGCTGGACCGGCGCTTGCGGAGCTTCTCGGCAACGGGGTCGGGCGAGACGGTGATAACGAGCGTCGGCAGTATCGGGCCCTGTTTTCGGTGGGTGACCATCTGCACCTGACACTCTGTGATGGAGCTGAGGGCGAGCTGCTGGCACGGTTCCGATTCATCCTTGACACATTAGTCAGCAATGACGATTACCGTGCCGGGATTGCAGGCAAGCTCGGCAACTGGCGAAAACTCACCTTGTTCTTATAGATGGATATGAACATCGACTCGGGTGAGAAGTTTGGTGGGCTGTGTGGTGTGGTAGCTCGTGGCGCAGGGGCCTGCCCGGCAGAAGGCTTGAACTGGGCTGCAGAAGAGCTAGGCTTCTGCTTCGCTTCTCGGGGGGGACCAACAACGACATAACGAGCTTTCCACAGAGCCCGGCCTATGATGGTCCCCCGATCTGGTGGGATATACAGAATGCCTTCCATTGTAGGTATGCCGACAAAGAGAATGCAAACCCAAAGTATCTCAGACGAACGAAAGAGAGCACATTAAATATTATGCGGTGAGAGCATGTTGCAAAAGCAAGACTCGGAAAACACAGTCGGAAGAGCTTGGCGAAGAGAAGTGCAGAACACAACACGCAAAAGGCCTCAGACTCCGGTGGCAGCAGATGCGTTTGTGCGGAGAGACTGGACGCTCAGCAGCAATATCGTCTCCATTCGGGTCGCCTCGCTAGGAGCGGTCGAGATAGCTCATGTCCGGCCGAGAGCGAATTCAGGGAACATGAGAAGGGAAGGAGAAGAAGAAGGAAATGAAGAAGGAAAAGAAGGAAAGCTGCAGTCTAGGGAAAAGGAGGTGGGAAGTGGAATACGGAGGACAGGGCCACGAATTGCAAAAGGAAAAAGAGGGAACGACGAGATCAGACAAGAGAAGAAAAAAAGCAAAGAAATACTATGCCGAGACTACTACGGAGTATGTAGAGGAACCAGGTGAGCGAGCATGGGCCGGAAAGTAATAAAAAACGTGAATAATACGAATATTAAAAGCATGCAGTTTAGAAAATAAACGCTAATTTGTAATACCCGTAACAGCGCCGGAGGCAAATGCAGACAGAGGAGATAATGAAACAAGCCTTCCAGGCACTAGCACGAACTTCCAGCAGGCTAAGGCGTTGCATTGCTGAAGACCCATGCCCAAACGACACGCTGCGCCCTCTGTAGGAGACAGCCGGTAGCACGCGGCAGGCTGGTCGGCCGGGCAGTCGCTCGCTTTCATATCTTACGACTACTCCGTACAGCGCCTTCCATACATATTTATGTGATACTGCACATGTACGAGTACAGACGATTCACCCGCTAACTGGGCACGGCTCGCCACGGCTGGCCACTAGAAGGCCGTCCCAAGAACCGCTAGCCTTCGATGAGAACGGGATTTCTTGGCTTCTTGGCGCCTTACTAAATGGGCTCCGCCGTATCTCACAGACTGCTCGTTTCCCTAACCTGTCTACGGACTACGTTGTCTGTATCGCTGCGTTCCACGGGCTAGTTTTTTTTCAGTCCCCCGCCGCAGATCGGCAGTCCACAGCCAACATAACTCGCGGACAGGGCGGGTACCTGAAAGAGCCCCTGCCCAAATAAGGGGGCGTGCTGATAGCCTGGGTAGTCGTATTCTGCACGGAGGTTGTGCTCGTACTCGCACAGCCAAAACAGCCAAAAAAAAGAACCCGTAGTATGGAGCTCGGGCAGGGGTGAGAGAAGGAGCATTACAAAGAGCGTATCTTTCGTATTTTACGACGTACCTGTACCTCCAGCCAAGAACGGACTTGCGCCTGCAGGTGTGTGGGGATGTTCGTCGGTACGTATAGGAGACAGCATACCAGATTGGACGAAATTGATTGGGTCTGGCGGAAAGAGGTGCATCCTCCGCCACGCTGCAAAAAGGACGGTCTTTAATAGCGTGGCAGACAAAGGTACGCATGATAGCCTGGAATATGTATGGAATACTCTACTCTGTACTCCGTGCTCCATTTGGAGTGCTCATACGGAGTTTAGATACGAGCTCGCTGCGTGGAAAGACTGGGAATGGAAAAGTGACAGGTAACAAAGTCGGAAAGAAGGAAATTGGGCTAGAATGCGTAGCGGTCGATGCAACTCTGCAACGGTTGCTACCACCGCCAAAGGGAGAAGAGAAAGAGAGGCAGAGATAGAAAATAAAAGAAACTCCTTGCCTCGCTCGTCTGGATTGCTTTATAGCTTACCGAAGCTCCCGCCCAGAGGCCGTGCATTCCTGTCTATACCCAATACGCCACCAACTAGGAAGTACTGAGGTCCTACTTTGCTGCCTTGCCTCTCCTATTCAAGGTGTCCAATCCCGATATGGCAAGGGAACGAGGTCTCTGTGGGCGAAGGCCGGCGATGGACGGCGGTGTGCATTCGAGACATGTGCTGAGCAGTTACATACGACGTACGGAGTAGTCATCGGCTGCCCTGCCCACCTGGACGCTGGAAGGCAAGGAAGGCAGAGGAAGAGATCCACTGTAAAGACGCCATGCTACAGTACGCGTAAATCACGGAAGGGAGTACTCGTACGTCGTAAACGGCAATGGTCATCAGAACGTGCCGATGGAACGAAAGGGGCAAGCATGAAAAGAGGACAAAAATAAAGAGATGCAGGCTGCAGAGCGAATGCAGCGAATGAAAGCGGCTGAGCGAGCGAGCCAACAGAACAAGAACAGGAACGTGTCTCCTGTCCTCCTTTCTTTCTTTCTTTTTGCCCCTGTGTCAGTATGCAGTATGGCATGAGACGGCATGCAGGGCTTGACCGCTCGGAGTTACAGGACCCCTGGACAGATCAAGAACCGGACAGAATTCTCCGTACAGATAGTCAGATAGCATGGTTGCCGTGCAAACGGGCTGACAGATGCTCGCGGCCGACGAGTCGCAAGATCGTTCCAGGGTCGAATGCTAGACGAGCTCGTACGAACCGCTGCTGCACGCAGTCGTACGGCGGTCAACAGAGAAATACGAAAGTGCTCGTAATTACCCGTGGTGCAGGCAAGTCCGTCCACCCAAAGCTTGGGCCTCTTTTGTGCCCCCCTTTTTTTTAACGCTCCCTGGTCGTTCCCCTACCCCTTCAACTTCGCTTGTCCAGTACCTGCATCGAGGTGGGGTCGATGCTGCAAGCAGGGGCAGAGCAAGACGCAAGAGAGAATGAGCACGAGGCTGGGCTCCGGTTGCGACGCTGCAGCAAGAATGCGTGCTCGCAGAGCCGTTGGGATGCAGCGAGCCATGCGCGAAAGATTCGTACATATGCGAGTCTTGCCCCGTTCTAGGGCGACAGCGCTCGCACGTCCCGCGGTTTCGTACGGCTGTTGGGACGTCTTACAGTACTGTGTGTAAGATACTCGTACGAGGGCTGTCAGATTGCCCGGCTCAACGATCCGGTCATGACAGCGAGATGCATGGCCGATTGTGGAAGGTAGGATACGAGGTGCGGCGTAATTTTCCGTACACCGCACTACTGTGAACGGCCTAGAGCCCTCTCTAGAATACGGCCGAGGTTGTCCAGGGCAGAATGATTAGTACGTCGTATGGAGACGGCCTGGTCAATGCGTCTTCACCAGTTCCTGCAACCGATTTCCCCTCAATCAGCGCACGATCCACCTGTGGAACAGCCGGCAGCAGACGGGGGTTTGTCATCCTTCGGCGCACGACGCGCTTTCGATCTATGCGGACCAGGGCTCGACCGGCTATGGTTTCGGCATCAGTGCATGCACTGCTATGTGCGTAAGGCACTCTAATGCAGAAGCAGCAAAACTGCATGAACTAGACTAGGAATCCCAGCGGCCGTTTAGCTTTCTGGGGCGGTACTCTTCTCTGCTGAGTATCTGATCTATGTCTCTTTTCTTGATTCCAATGCATTGCATAGCCTACGATAGAGATACAGAGTCCCAAAGTACGCCACCAAAAAGAGCCCACTTTCGCTCCTTGCACGAGTATGTTTACGTCGTATTAGTCTGAGCCCGCCGGATTCACTTGGCAGAAAGAGTGTCCTAGCGAGACTTTGCCAGCGGTTACGAGCACTTCTTAGGTGAGATCTTGCAAGTGCTCAGGCCGCGTGCTAGCTAGATGGGCCAATGGCTCTGTCCGTGCCCTTCAGCCAGGTTAGGCGAGATCGGCTTCGCGAACAGAAAAAAAAATCAGAAGGACCCAAGAGCTAACGCAGCTTTGCCTCCCATACAACTAGAATACAGCCGCAGCGGGGACGCGGAAGCACAGGTACATGGTACACATAAATTTGCAGGATTACGGAGCATTACTAAAAAGAATTATGCTGCTCCAGGCTTGCAGAGCGTGCAAGTCATCGATCACCCGATGCATCCGCCCCACACAGACTGCATCATATCTCTATACTCCGTGAACTGGACCACGGCTCGCAACGGTCAGCTGCCCCCCCTTCTTCCCTATCAGTTTGTTGCACATCCGTCGAATTTGAGCCGTGACTCGATCCGAGTCCCGTATGATAGCCCCCCGTCATTCAATACTATGTAGAGCTTGGACTGGAACTGTCTCATGACTGTTGAAATACAGGCGAAAGAAGCAAGATGCCCCCCTGTCCGAGTTCCGAACTGTCTCCGGTCCCGGCTTCGCAATGCTTTCTGCTTTGGCCTCGCCAAGCTTAGCCTGACCTTCCCGCCGAGTGGCTGGAGGTCAAGCCCCCACATGCTGTTTGGCTGTTGTCACCATGGCGTAATACAGAGCAAGGAGGGCGAAAACAGGCATCCCAGACTGCAAATCATAAGATCACACGACACATATACGATCTCCCATCTACGGGCACGAGTACTAGATGCTATTGCTCTGCCTTCGGATATCCGTTGCGTGCTAAGGGTGGGATGCATTGCACCCATGAAAACCTTACCAACCTGTATCAGAATCCACTTAGACGAGAAAGATGGCCCCGAAAAGGGACTGTTGCGCCATCAGGCCTTAGCCAAGATGCAATTCTATAACCGGGCTAAATATATCTGTAGTTTCCCGGTTTGATCCCTGTTTGAGGCCTTGCAAACAAAGAGACACCCTTACCTTAGAACTTTTGCACCAGCTGGATGCGAGCTACTGTAGGTCAACGTTCGGCACATGTCCAAACCCGAACCCACGGCTGCAGCTGATGTATAGAAGTGCTTATGTACTCCGTACAGGCCAGTGACACCTTATCTCTCCTATTAGTTCGGGCCGGACTTGCAGCTTCGTTACTACTATGATGTCTAGTGTGTCTCAAAATCTGCATCCTGATGAATCACGGCTCCCCATACGGAGTACGGAGTACACGCAAGATATCCGAGCGGAAGAAGATCATTGCCATGTTCGATAAAGCTGTTTATCAATAAAGCGCCACTTCAGTCGTTTACTGGTGGTTGCCAAAAATACCAGCTGTACGGAGTACTAAGTGATTGTTGTTTCCTGTATGCCATTAGCTAACAGTCAGTTGTCCATCACCCTATGCATTGTCAATTTGTCATTATGAAATTCTGTTTGATAAATGTAGGCTATTCAAAGTCATTTTACAAAGTAAAATATCAGGTGATCGGTACAGCATATTCCTGATGTTGAGCGTTGATGCTACAGGTTTGTCCCGTGAGAAATAGAGCATACGACCTCTCATATATTACATAATCGGACAACGAAGGGCGAGAAGAATCGTATGAAGCCGGCCGATTAAGCAGCCGACCGGGGTAAATGAAATAACGTCTCAAATGCGGTTACTACTATGTGATAGACTGGAGAGAGGGGATTCTTTGTATAAAAAATCCTATTGTCGTAGAGAAGATTTATGAGCTTAGAACGAAACAGACACGTCTAGCAATATCTGCTACGGCACTCCGTACACGGAGTACAACAAGCTCATGACATTAAATCTAGGCTCCGTGTGACACAGGAAAGTAACCAGCCAACACGAATACATTTGTCAATTTATCACGTAAAACAGAACCTAATATCCACAACGTCACTCGTCTGTCATGTATAAATCGTATTGAGCTCATACTTTGGAAGGCTGGCTGCTATCTTCTAACTCTTGTGCCCACATGGACAGCTAACCCATTTGCCTCATTATTTTTTCTGTTTCTTCATATTTCACCCTAGCCATGCCACGATGCCCTTGAAGCACTCGACTATGACAGATAGGGGGCGAGGGCTTCTTGTGCCTCTGGCTGCAGCCGGCTGTTCACAAATCCGGCAATGGTGCCATTGTGCCGCTTGTCTGCTTCCTTGAAGAATGTGCCTACCCACTGCTGCACGTTTTCCACTTCTGGGAAGTCGTCTCGGGGGCCTCGCTTGCAAGTGTTCAGCGGCGTGTATCCCACCCCAAACCCGATGTCGTCCACATCTGCCTCGTTGACAACCTCGTCACCGATACCGCCTGTCACTTGGGGCGGGTTCTTCAGCAGATCCAGCAAATGGTTGCATGTGAAGCCCCAGCCTTTTTGGTACCGCTCGGCAAATGCCTTGCTGTCACACAGCGTCTTTGTGTAGGAAATCACTCCCAGCTTGCGGTCCACTGGCCGTGCTAGTTGGCCTGTTGTCTGCAGAATGATGGTGAGGTAGATTGGCGTGAAGACACCGGCTTGGAGTGCCTCTGCGTGCTGAATAAAGTAGTCTGCACCAAGGCCTGCTTCGACACCTTTGCCGGATACCAAGTGGTAAAACCGCGCGAACCGAATCTTGAACGAGTCCGATGGGTTGTTCTGCAGCTTGGTGAACAAGAGGGTCAAAATGGTGCCGAAGAATGGGTCCAAAGATGATCTTTGAAAAATGTTAGCATAGATACTCTCCTTTTAACATGCACTTGTAGCGGGCACTCGTGACTTACGGTGGAAGAGAGGTTACAACGGCCTCAAGAATGTCAATGGAGTTCTGTTCTGTCTTCTTGCTGGCAGAGAGCCGTTGAAATATGCCTAGGACCGGCTCGATCTGATTTTCGGCCACGATGGCATCTGCCACCTTGGGCAAGATTGCAGCCAGGAATCGAGCGCACGCAGGGACATTTCCTCTTGTTTCCCAAATTGTCGGTGCCAGGACGATGGGTAGTAAAGTTTTGTAATGATCCGATAGAGCCTTTGTTCGGCTTGCCTCAAGCAGCGCTGAGAGGATCTGGAAGACGTAAGGTACGAATTCTTTGGAAGTCAGTTTCACTATACATCATGCGAAAGGAACAGAAAGCGTAATACAAGAAAGACGTACCTGTGACGTCCTCCCTAAGAACGAACGAAAACGGCTCCCAGAGTTGCTCCTCCAGCTTCGTCCCCACGCTGTCGCCACAATACCGTACAAGAGCGCCTATGGCCTCGAAATGGTAGTAGTAGAAACGCGGGTTACTCGGGTTCAGCATGATCGTCTTAGTGATCTTGGCCAAATGGAGAAGAACACCATCGGCAATGGGTATAGTTCCTTCCTTGAGGACGATGAGAACGCGCATGATACAGCGCATGAGAAATTCGTTCTCCTGCAGCTTCTCAGGGGCGGTATCACGCTCCACCAAGCCGAACAAATGATCCAAGAGATCCTTTGCAAGCGGCTCGATATCGGCACGTCCGAACAGGTGGACGCCGGCATCGTTGGTGAGGAACAGCACCCGCTCCACAGCAATGGTCGCATATGTGTACACGACGTAGTTCGTCGAGGCGAGGTTCTGAATCAGAGGTTGGAAAGCACCTTGCCATTGCTCCTTTGTCAGTTGGCTGCGGAAATTGTGGAGGTACTTGATGGCGTCGACTTTGGCAATCGGCTCTGCGTCGGAGCCATTGAGCAAGTCCTGCGCCACATTTTTCTGAAAAAAATCTACGACATCGACATATTGGTTGACCGTCTTCACGCCTTGGGCTGCCGTGACGGCGCCCTTGGCGGCGATAGCCAGGAACAGATAGATGGCTGTGTCCTTTGCCTTCCAATCCGTCTTGCCCAGAGTGAGGTAGTGGTCAATGTAACGGAACACAACCTTGGTCACGAGCATCTCGAACTTCTCCAGCAGTTTCCGCAAAAAGTCCGTTGCCGCCCGTCTTCTCGAGTCGGTGTCAGACCCCTCCAAGTCGCGGCGAATGAACTCAATCGGCTCATCTTCGAACATCTCAATGTCAGATTCGCGAATCGCCACATTTGGCAAGATAACAGCCTCAACAATGCGACCCAGGGTCTCTTCCGAGTCAAAGGCTGCGGCGTGACGCGGGGACGAGGCAACGGCAGTCAAAAATTGCAGAGCCTTGCTGACAAGAGTGTCGTATCTCTTCCCCGGACCCGTAGATGACAGCACGTCCCACACAGAGCGGATAAACGGCTCTGTGTGCGCGCCGAAATCGTCGTCGTATTTAGTCGTGTACAGCTGCAGTGCGTCGCAGACGTCCGCTTTGACGTTCTCTACTACCGTTGGATCGTCGTCGTCATCGGCAGCCAGGGCTGGGTTGGAATAGGAAAGGTATTTCTGAAAGAGGGCAGTGATTGGCTGGAGGTTGGATTCGATGATAGGCGGCAGGTCCTGGCAGGACAGGTCGTAGAAAATCTTCATCAACAGGCTCAGGGCTTCGAACCAGGTCTTCAGAACCTCTGGACTATCCTTGCTGGCATCGATCTGTTGGTCTACCACGTTGAGCATGCGCATGAATGGCTCTCCAAAGGTTGACAGCACATGGTTGACTTCCTCAAACAGCTCGTTGGATCGGAAAAGTGGCCGCCATCGGACAAAAATGGAGTGGGCAACTTCAAGGACGCCGTTTGTGACCTTGGGATCAGACCCAGACAAGCGACTGACGAGGTCGTCGATCAGCGTATCCCAGCGTTTCCAAAAGTCGGAGTCGGCAATGATGCTGATGGCTTCGCCGAGCTGTGTCTGGATGTTTGGTGGTGAGGAAATCATGAGCCCCACGAGCTCCTGCTTGATGGTGCCGACCTCCTCCTGAGGCAGCTTGTAGGACCCCTCTTCATCGACATAGTTTAGACGGATGAAATTCTTGAAGCAAAGTGCGGCGGCGAGGCGCGTCTTGAGTGGAAGTGGTTGGGAGGAGACGATTTGAAGGAGGGAAAGGCAATACTGGGGCTTCTTCTCCTCCTGGCGTAATGCCGCCTCGGCTATGAGAACATGGACGATTAGCACATCTGAAACCACAATACAGCCCACTTGAGACCGAACTGAAAACGTTAACGCAAAGGACATACCTTTTCTGTGTTGCTGTGGGTCGATCGTGGAGTCGAGAAGCTGCACGATATTTCCGATCTGAAGACTCATTTTGATTTCGGGAGGGTATGATGTACTAAGGTGGATGACCGGTATGGGAGTGGAAAGTGAAAAGGTCAGGGCCAGATGTTCCTTTTCGGGGGTTGTTTCCAGGTGCAAACGATGGACGGAGTATTGATATTAAATTTTTTGGAAGCTTCGTTAGGACAAAACAGAGCTCGTTGCCGTTGGCTGGGTGTTCAAACGGCGGGGACTCAGTGGATAGGTCATGTGACCTACCCCTCTGTGGAACTTTTGGGGAGCTTGTTATATATGAGGCAGCGCGCAGCACATTCTACGGAGTATATTCTTACGTCGTACGAGTGTTGATCGCATCGTGAAGCTAAATTAGCATGATACGATGCTTGTAATCAAATTTCGGTCTGCAAAAAGTTTGCAAACTGGGTCGTATATACAGTAATGTGCTGAGAACGACGAAAGCGATACCAGTTCATAAGGGAACACAAGCAGCTCAGCAAAATTCTCATTTCGAGAACCTCTCGGCTATCCACGGAAGAAATAACCGGGTATACCAAAGCATCTTCCCGTGTTGCAGCATGCCCCTTCCTCTCATGTCAGTCTCGATACACGTCTCACGTCTCGAATGCTTCCAATAGCGGATAGAAGGTGCTCATTTTAGCACACTAGCACCTGGGAGTGGAGAACATTGGGTCTTATCATACGGTCCCGAAAGACCGAATTGGTGCAGCTACTGCTATCTCTGTATTGCGTAACCTACTATCTTCCATTTCTATGGCAATTGTGCCTTTCCGTGCTTTCAACCACCGAAAAATTCCATCACCAAAACGACAAGCACCACAGACGCCGCCCGAGCAGACGGAGTCTCCGCATACGCAGCAGCAGCTCCGCACATGGGCGCCCTGCCCGCACCCACTCGGCTACGACCTTTCTCTGTCTCGTACCCTGTCACAGCCTGCCGCAGGTCACCTGGTCCCCCTTTTGCGATAAGACTATTCTCATCCTCGCCAGCGGAGCACGGGAACGGCGACTCCCTTCCGAAACGAACCAGCCGCATCTAGCTCACCGTTCTGCTGTGGGTCGACGTATGAGTGAAGGAGGACTGTATTCTGCTTGTCAGGAGTCTATGGGACGGGATTGCCTGGAAATCAGCCCACAGCTCGGTTGGCGGATGCGCCCTGCTGGCCGTATCACTGTGGTCCGAGGCCAATCCCAGCACGGCTCTGTGCACTGCTGATTGCCTTAGAGCACGAGGCACGGGGCACGGGGTGCGGAAGCCGAATAGACGAATCTGCGCAACTCGACTCCCGCCTTTCGGGTTACTGTCCTCGACCTCCTTCTAACGACTTCTGTTCCTGCCCGCCTACTCGCCTGCCTTCCATAAGCCTTCGTCTAATACCGGATTTATACATATTGATGGGACCGTTGCTGAACCTGGCGGCCCCTTGACGGTCTTCCTGTGCTTCACACCATTTATGCAAGTAGCAGTTTGCATGTAAGTCACTTGTCTGCTTGCTTTTTCTCCACCCGATGACTGCCTTGTCTTGGTCCATGTTGTGTCTGTTACCCCTGCCTCCAATCAAAGAGGTTGCATCGATTTTCCCAACATTTCGAGCTAGGCACTTGCAGATGCGTGGGAGATTGGTGGGGAACAAAATCTAGCAAGAGAGGAGAAAAAATGTGAAGCCAGACGGGAAGATCCACAAGAGGAGCCACGCAGGAACCATTCGCAACAGACATCGTGCTTCTGGAGAAACGACGAAGAGAACCTGGCAGTGCAAGGTCAATGAGCACATCGACGGGCGTATTGAGCCATTTTCAACGACACGACCAAAGAGCAAAGCCAGCAGGAGCAGAGCGGTCAGCACGATCGACTCTTTAGCTACGCGCAACCTGGTACGAGTATGAGCGGGGGACGACAACAAGGCTCTGTGACTAGGTAGCGCTGTATGATCTCCCGGGATCGGCAATTTCCAGGGACAGTTAGGACGGGGTGCCTGCTCAATTTACATCCACCACCGGCCAGCCTGTTTTGGGCAGAAGATCATTCGACCTTCCAGCACAAATTCGAGTCATCGCCATCAGACCCAATCTTCTCGTGCTTCCGATCCTCGCCAATTCTCCTACAATCTTCTCTTGCTAGTCCTAGGCAAAACCATCGTCCTCGTCTCTTACACCTGCGATCCGTTTCGTGATGACCACACAGCCTTTTGCAACCAGCTAACATGATTCGTCGAATAGTCTCGCTGGGCCAGCAGGCCTCCGAGAGTGACGGCAACCCTATGTCGCCACCACCCAACGACACTGGGCGGCTCAACGAGACCAAGAGCTCGACAGGCCTTGCTGGCGTCTTCAAAGGTCTGGCTGGAGCAGCTAAGCTGACTAAGGCTCCCCTAGCCTCCGTCTCGACTCCTCCGGCATCGCGTTTCACACCTAAGACTCTATCGGCTAGCTTAGCTTCAGCCGTCTCCTCTTCCTCCATATCATCGACCTTACCACCGTCTGAACGGGCCGACACTGACTCGATTAATAATGTCCCCTACAGCGCCATGACCACGTACGCCGACTGCTTGGAACAGCTCAAAAATGGAACAACGTCCGAGAGGGTGACTGCGGCTTCGGCATTGCGTTGCATCATTGCGGAATGCCCGGTTGACTCCGTCTCTGACGTATGGCGCGAATCCAAGGATCTCACTGAACGTGGCAAGGCTCAGGCTGCTAGACATGCCGGTTGGGAGCTGCTGGCTGAGTGTGCCAAGCACGCCTCCACCAATCTAGAACGGAAGGAATACTTTGGCACGATAATGGTGGAGGCAGATCCAGAAGACTTTCATATGCAGCTTGTTGCCCTGATCAATCTCACAAACAACGGGCGTGACCTGGCTGGGTTCGACTACGACGTCTTTCCTGTCCTGACGCGATGGTTCAAGGCGGCCTACGATGCGTCCAAGGTGGCGTCTAAACGGGCAGCATCCCGTGCTGGTGTTGGTGGAAGGGGCAGCAGAAGCAGGCCTGCGTCAACAAATGCAGATAAGAACCTCTCACTGCTCTTTGCCTACACGATCGACTTGCTCAAGTACAGCTTCAAGATTGCGAGTGACGCAGCGATCCACAATCTTCTTGCCGAGGTCCTGGATATTGCCATGAACACCAGCATTGAAGATGACCTTGCATCGTGCATTGATGTTATCAATACTTGTGTCACTGTTGGGGCGATGCCTAGCAAGAGCCTCGACCGCAGCGTTAAGGTACTGAGCTCGATCTACTGCTTGGTGCCCAAACTGAGGAAGTCGGCCTGGGTAGTTCTGACTCACATCTTCAAGTCACACCACGGTCTCCACACCATTCGCATTATTCTCAGCATCCTTCGCGACTATCCACCTGCAGGCGTGGAATCAAAAGCTGCCATCCGAGAGGTGCGTGGCGCCTTGGCTGTCATGCAGAGGCTGGTGGGCAAGGCTGGGTCGAGCGATTATCCCGCGGTACCGTTTGTGCTGCTGGTGGATGGCCTCGAAAACGTAGCCATGCAGTCGCCGGTCCCTCGTATTGTTCATGGCATCCTAGAGCTCATCAACATGCTGTTTGACAATGGCGAAGGCCGTATCAGTCTGCTTCTTGTTGACGAAGACTGGGCTCCTCTTCTCGAAGTTGCCACGATCTGTGCCAAGAAGAGCAAGCTGTCACAGTCGATTGACGGAGCCAGCACGCGAAGACAGGCGCACCCATCAGCCGGCGGAGGAGACGAGTCATTGCAGAAGATGGTCGACAGCGAAGCTGCCAAGCTCACGGCAAGAATCGAACTGCTTCTGGAGGGTTTGCTCAACGATCGTTCGGAATACTCGCAGCGGAGTAGCTGCATCACCTTTCTTACTGCCGTGCACCCCATACTTCCCGATTCCGGGGCCAAGCTCGTCTTGAGGTACTTCCACGACTTCCGCTGTTGCTTTCCGTCTGATGCGCAGTGGGACGCAAACTTGAGATTGGTACTCGATGCGTTCTATGCGAACAGGGCCCGCTCGCCGGACACCCGTCTTCTCGCGATGAAGACGGCCATTGAGGTGCACGATATGTTGGAGCTGGTCGACGGGACTACCGATATCCCGGATGCGGTTCCTAAATTGGTACGGCGTATCCTTGCGCGTGTGAGCGAAGAGCGAGACATGGACATCCTCCACGAGGTCGCTTCGTTCATTGCCGAGATTATTGTCTCTGTCGACAGGGCTCTCTACGACATCATACTGGAGGCTCTTGCCTCTGTCGTGAAGGGCGATGAGCGACGCCAACCACTGGCCATGGCCTCGACAGGCGGCATTTCAGACTCGGCGGCAAGCATGACAGAACGGCCGGACTCGTTGATCGACCAGAGCACATCCGACATCGCAGCTCGTGCTCTAGCTCAGATATTCATGAAGACGATGAACTGTGATGCCAACAAATCAGGCAAGGCATTCGAGGCTCTGATCGCTGTGGCTCGGGACAAGCGATGCCCGGCTGATGCGCGTCTGACGGCCCTGAAGCTGTTATTTCGCCTGCGTGCCGACTGGGAAAACCGGGTGTTTCTCGTGTCGAACACCGAGTCCGACCGTCTGGCCGCCGGACTGCTGCGTACGGAGGCTTCCGTGGAGCGCAGAACTGCCGAAGAGGCGTCACCGCAGATCGCTACACGCCAGTCGAGGGCTGAGCCGTCGCCTCCGCCGTCATTCCATCCTTCTCGGGCAACGCGAGGCATCTCGTTCAGCCAAGGGGGAGGCGGTGCGCGGCCGAATGCATCGACGCACCGCTACCGCCAGCTTTGGAGTCTGCCAGACGCGAATGCGCTGCCGGAAGTGCCGTCGCCAGACGCCAGTCCGGTTCTGTTCTCGCACTCTTGGGAGGAGGCTCTCGAGGCGGCGCCTGAGGCCAACGGAGCCGACAACACGTCCAGCGAAGAGCTGATACCATGTACGCTGAACATGGCCTCGTGGATGGAGGTCGTGTGCGATCTCCTGACCAAGGGCACGGACTGGGAGCTCTACAGCTTTGTGCTCGTGCATCTGCCGTCACAGCTCAGCAACCATGCAGTGTGCAGGGGTGCGGTTCCGGTCATACTGCGCATACGTGCGTCGCTGTGTGACCAGATCCGGCTGAACAGCTCGCAAGAGCCTCCGGCGGCGACGGGTCTGCGACGGCCGGAGGCGCAGACGTGCATCCTCCAGATCCTGACGGCGATTCTTAGCTACCACGACCACTTCACGCGACAGGAAGGCGACGACCTTGTGCGCACGTTTATCACCGGGCTGATGGACAAGAACCCGATCACGTGCGTGCAGGCGTTGTCGATCTGCTGCTTCGAGCTTCCGAACGCGACGGCAAAGTCTCTGGTGACGATTCTGCAGAAGATGTCGCAGATTATCACGCGACAGGGCGTCGCCATGCACATCCTGGAGCTGCTGGCCCTGCTCAGCCGGCTGCCGTGGCTGTACTCCAACTTCCGGGAAGACGAGTACCGGATAGCGTTTGGGGTGTGCTTCCGGTATCTGCAGACGGTCCGGGACCGGCGATCGACTGCGCGGACCAGCCAGAATAGCAGCGGCAGCGAGCTACAGGCGCCATTGTTTGTGGCAGCCGCGTCGATCTACGGGGCGGGCGTGGCACATGTCGATGCACACAGCTCGGAGTCGCTAACAGCACAGCCGACAGGACAGGACGACCTACCCGAGTACGTGTATGCGCTGGCGTACCACGCCCTCACGTACTGGTTTCTGGCTCTGCGGCTGCCGGACCGAGCCAGCTACGTGTCGTGGATTGCCAGCCGGTTGTTCATCGAGGGCGATGGGCGGCAGATTGTGGACGAGCAGGCACAGGTCACGCTCAATTTCATGCAGCAGGTCACCTTCTCGGACACGGACGAGTCGACGGCAGACGAAGACGGCCTCGGGAGCGAGCCGTGTCGGCCGGACAGCGAGGCGGCCAATGCACGGAGCTGGATTGTGGGAAACAGCATCGTGACGATTCAGCCGGTGGAAGGCAAGCCGGGTTGGGCGACGATCACGAAGCGACAGCCGTCGGCGACGACGTACTTTTCAATACAAGAAAGCCTGCACCCGCCTCGGGCCCACCAGACGCAGGGGTTGATTGAACTGGGGCTGCCGGACCAGTCCGCCCAGTCTGTCCAGTCTGTCCAGCGGCCCAAACCTGCCCTGCCGAGCCACCTGCTGGCACAGCTTTTGGCTCCGGTACCACAGCCACACGACTCGCTGTTGCGGCCAATTCCACTGCCGGGCGACGAGGCGGTGGCCCGGGCAATTCGGTCGTTTGACCGCAACTCCACCGTGGACGGACACAAGGTGGGCGTGATCTACATCGGCGAGGGTCAGACGGACGAGGCGGAGATCCTGGGCAACATCTCGGGCAGCAGCGACTACGTCGAGTTTCTCAACCGACTGGGCACGCTGGTGCGGCTCAAGGGCGCGACATTCAACACGCAGGGCCTCGACCGGCAGTACGATTCGGACGGGGCCTACACGTTCTGCTGGCGCGATCGAGTGACCGAGATGGTCTTCCATGTGACAACGCAGATGCCGACGGACCTACAGCGGGACCCGACGTGCATCAACAAAAAGCGGCACATTGGCAACGACTACGTCAACGTGATTTTCAACGACTCGGGCCTGCCCTTTGACTTCAACACGTTCCCGTCTGAGTTCAACTACGTCAACATTGTCATCTCGCCTGAGTCGCGGTCGTCCTTTGTGGCCCGCCGTGAGCTGGCGCTGCAGCACCAGCAGGAGGAGGACGAGGAGCGAGCGGCGGGCGTGCTGCGGGACGAGGAGGGCGTGGATGGCCTGGAGGCCGGGGGTCCGGAACGGGCGCGGACTCGAACGTGGATTCAAGCCCGACCGATGCCGTTCTACAAGGTGCAAGTGATGAGTAAGCCGGGATTTCCCGAGATATCGCCGGCATCTGAGACAAAGGTCATCAGTCTGCGGGCGCTGCCCGACTTCATCCGGCTGCTGGCCCTCAACGCCTCCGTCTTCTCGCTTGTGTGGGCACGGCGAAAGGGCGGCGAGCACGTGTCGTCGTGGCGCAACCGACTGCGCCAGGTCATGCAGATGCGGGAACGCTATGGTCCGAGCCAGCTGCCGTCGGTGACGCCTTCGCCACCGCCATCGACACTGTCGGCCAGCGCGGGCATGGCAGCCGGGGCCGGAGCGAGCGCTGCCACGGCTGCTGGAGCTGCAGCCGGAGCTGTAGCCGGAGCTGGAGCTGTAGCCGGGGCCGGGGTTCGAGACAGCTTCAACAGCCTGCGGCGGTCGTCGATGGCGACTTTTTTCACGGTGGCGAGCGATCCGACCAGCCACCGGTCATCGGTGCACTCGACAGCAACCACAGCCACGTCGGACAGCACGGAGACGGCGACGGCACACGGAAGCACAGATGCATGGGTGGAGTCGCTGGACTTTTCCCGATGGACTTAGCTGGCTTTGTTTTGCTATGGGGTTGGGGGAGTATATACCACAAAAGTTACTGTTTTGAGAGCCTATGTGTGAGGTTGTACTATGTATTGGGGGGTCTCTTTCATTTCCTCTTCATGAATGCGTGAATTGTGCAATGCTCGGTGGCGAGAGGGGTGTGACAGGAGGCAGCGAACAGGAGCGGTGAATGAAGACGGGGCCAGGCCAAAAAATGGGGCAGACTGAGCAAAAAAGACATTCCAGAGGGCGAGGAAGTACGAAAACGAAGGCCGGACCGGGCCATGCGGGCGCAGCCATAGACAAGGGGCCGAAACCGTTGTTGTGTGAGGGCAGAGAGAAAAGAAAGGTCTCCTCCAAAGAAAGGCCGTTAGCCGGTCGTGCGATCATGCACCCTGGAGCCCTGTTTCCCTGCTTCTTTGTCTTTCCGCTAGTTTCGCCAAGGAGACCGGAGAGGCTCGATTTGTTTTTTGTCTTTCTTTTTGTTTCTTTTTTGACAACTGACAGCTTCACACCGCCACTGCTGTGGGTTTCACGACAATTAGTTGATACAAAGTAATCTCACCATGTGGCCATCCCTCCTCTGATCACGTCGCCTGCCTGCCGGCCCGAGTGGTGGTTGAGCAGGGCCTGGCCGAGGGCGCAAGGGCCCGTGGCTGACGTCAGCCCAACAGCCACAACCAACACGACGGCAGGCCCGAAAGGGAAGGCACGGATCGGACATCAAAATAAGGAAACTCTCAGACTCGCCACGCTCGTACTCCGTAGACGAGCGAATGGAGACAGAAGAGAGAGCACCACGCACGCAAGTACGCAACGCACAAAAAAACAGGAGCGTCTAGTCCGTCCCTGGCACCACTTTTCCGCTGCCGTGTGTGTCGCGGTCCCCTGGCAGTGCGCCCAGGTGCAGCGGTCTTCTGGATCCCCATTGGCCAGAAGCCCGATGCATGGCAAATTGGAACAGCGGCTGGACGGCAATAAAAGGCAGAAAAAGAAAGCCAGGGAAAAAGGAAGAAGTGACGAAAGAGGCAATGCACTCGGACCCACAAGGGTGCAGCGTGCATTCTGCAATCGGGCACCGACCACCCCGTATCTGCATTCCGTCGCTATCCGCTAGCATGAACGGAGTGCGCCGTATTATATCCTCCGTGCGCATCGTACGTCGTATACCCTTACTCGTACAGCGTGGGATACATCGTCACCACGGCTGACCCACTGCTCGGTGGAGATCGTAGCGAACCCGCCTCTTGTCCTTTTGTTGCGCCTGTCTTTTTCGTCTTTGCCTCAGCCGTGGACACAGGCCAATAGGATGGAGGAACGCAGAAAAGAGAAAGATATGCAGGCAAGTTTTTTTTTTTTTTTTTTTTAGAAATTAAAAAAAAAAAATGGACAGAGAGCAATGTAAAGTCCTGCTCTTCACACCCACGCTGATCTGCCTGTCCTTCCCGTTTCGCCATTCCCTGCCCTGCCCTGCTCTGCCCCTGTTAGCCCTGTTTGCCCTGCTTTGCCCTTCTTTCCCTGCTTTCCTGCCCTGTCTGTCTGTCCTGTCCTGCCTGTCCGTAGCTTTTGTTCGCCGTCCATTATTATCAGTGCCTTCAAGGCAAAAAACTTTGTGCAGGAGCCTCTCTACATGCAGTCAAGCCCGATCTGTTCCTCTGCCCAACCGTAAATTGCAAAGCTCATGCTTTCCGTCCCTTTCTGTACCATTCCCCCCCCCCTCTCTCCCCCTCTTCTCCCTTCCCCAGTCACGTAGGATACAACGGTCGTCCGGGTCGGGGATTTGTCGTTTCCGCCCACCACTCACTCGCTCATCAAGAGAATCTACTTCGTATGCTGGAAATGCCCCTGTTGCCTAGCTTCTATTGTTTTCCGATTGTACATGAGCACACATCACTAGCTGCTTGGGCCTGGCTCTAGAATCTGTACCTCGTTGGCCCTCGTGGCTCTGTCTAGGCATTCTGGACAGCGGCGGAATCGGTCCGCCCAGCTTGCTGAGATAGCTGCGTTTTCGTGTTGGGTCTGTCAGGTTTCGCACCAGACGTCCCTGTATCTTGCCCATTTTTGAAACCCTAGACCGCCCCCACAGGCCTTTGTTTAGCGTACCACCCTATACAGCCGCTGTACCGGACTCTTTCTTACCTATGGACTGGTATCCCTCGTAGCCGCCTCGGATGGCGTCGAGAAACATTTTCCGCATGCCCTGCTCCTGGAGGCTGCGAACGCAGTAGTCCAGCAGACGGATCATCACCGAGTCTCGAGTGTGGGCCGCCGACAGGTGGTCGTCTGCGTGGTTCAGTTAGCCGACGTGTGTGAGAAACTGTCTCGGCCAGTCAGTGGTCCCTCCCGCAGCCTGGCCCTCTCACTCTTCCCCGTGGCTTGCTCGCTTTTCTTCTAATTTTTCTCTTTCCCTCTTTCCCTCCTTTTCCCGCGTCTCAGGCCGCGGCCCCCCCTCTTCTTCGTTCCCATCGCCCACCGGCCTTCTCGCTTCTCGTCCTTCCTCATTGAGTAGGGGGGCTAATAGGCACGTACCTGTGATGCAGATGCACGCTACACCGCCAACATCAGCGGCGATGGTGCCCGCCCAGGGTAGGTCGTCAGCGGCCCGACTGTGGTTTTGCGGAATGTAGGTGAGAGCAGTGGCGACGATCACGCCCCTCTCCAGTCCTAGCAGGATGTCATGGATGCCCATGGTGCCAGCGAGCTGATAGTATTGGTCATACCAGCCTACGCTGTCCTTGCGGACAGACTCGCGTGCCACGAATTCCAGCACCTGGTCGAATTCGCTGAGTTCACACTTCCGAAACGTCAACCCCCCACTTGACAGCCCATCTGCCCTCCAGTCACCAAAGTCCAGGACCCAGTCGCAGGCCTCCTGGCCGCAGCCGGCGAGCCCAGGCGTGTCGATGCGCCATCCCCGTCGCCGGAACCAGTCTTCGGACGGCATGCCGTACGGAATGCCGTACAAGAGGCGGGGGAACGTGCTGCCCAGCTGCAGCCGCGACACACGGTGCTCGGCCAGCTGGCGCATGGCATGGCTGTGCAGGCTCGTGCCGATTCCGCGCTGTTGGTGGGCTGGGTGGACGAGGATGGCGGCCAGACAGCCGATCCAGGACGAGTCGCTATTGTCGATGAAGGTGGTAAAGGTGGCACAGAAGCCCAGCAGCTCATGCGTAGACGGGCTGCGGACAACAAAGTGCTTTGAGTAGCCCGGCCGGTGGAGCAACCGCTGGAAGGTCGCAAAGTCGAGGCTGAAGCAGGACGGCAGGCTGCGGCACCACAGCTCATGGACGAGGGGAGCCTCTCGCACGTCCCACTCCTGCACCAGCCAGCGCGTCCTCGACGATAGCGCCATAGACGGCGGATCCTGCGAGGATCGAGAGCCCCGTGGCGACGCTGGCGATCGGAAGAGAAAGTCGGCAGCCGCCTCGAGGTGCGGGCGCGCGTAGTCTGGTATTTCAACCAGCGTAGGAAATGGGCTGTCCGTCACGCTTAAGCCCAGGTCGTGCAGGCTGCAGCAGGTCAGCACAATTTGTGGTCGGTCCGGCACGAATTGTCGCGCGGTCTGGGAGAGCGCGATCTGAGATGGTTGGCCAGCGCAAGGTGGTCCGGTGATGACAAAGATAACAGCAGTAGCGAGACGGAGATGACTGGCGTGGTACCCAGTAATGCCGTCTCGGACCATATAAGGGATGTGCCGAACCCAAGGGTGGTACGTGGCCAATGCCCGACCAAAGGGCTCGAACGGGTCCTGTTGCGCTTGTCCCGGCTTTGCTGACTCGATTGGCACGGCAGCCGGCGTAAGAACGTAGAGAAGGTCCCCTTCAGCTAGGACTTTCCCCAGCGGAACGCACGACTGCAGGTCTTGCACAAGGACGACGGCCGATCGATTTGGTTGTCCCGAACTGTCTGGCGGTTCCATTTTCTGTAATCCTGCCGCGCTGGAGCACTCGCATGACCTCTGCCTTGGCCGTTGCAAGACGAGGCGCCCTCACACTCACACTGATGCCGCTATAATAACATCCACACGATTGGGTCAGCGTCGGTCTTCTGCACCACACAGAGAAAAAGAAAAAAAAGGTGTGCCACACGGCCGCCCATATCGGCACTCGTTCCACGCAGTGCCTCGCCTGCCAAAAAAGCATCAACCGAGCCATCTGGCCAGGCACGAGCGTGCTGACCCGCCTGCTTTCTCTCTCTCCTTCTCGGTCTCTACCCTCGCCGAGATCCGAGGAAGGCACGCCGGAGACACACAGTCATGCCAACTTACAAGTAGAGCCTCTTCTTTGCATTACCGTCCGTCGTGACGACTGATACTATCCCGACGTTCGGGAATGGGTGTGCCGGGAATACACAAGCAGCCCCGAAAAATTAGACGGGAAGGAGTTGGCTGGCGCAGAGAAAAGGTTACCGCTAGAGGATATCCGCCCAACCTGGGCAGAGTCAGGACGAGCCGGGGTTTGTTTCTGTGGAGCGGTGCGGCTCGCAATTGGGATGGTGAGGAACCGCTAGAAGGTACAAGGACCCAGGAAGCAACTTAGCCACCGTGCCGAATTGTGGGAACGGCGTCGGGCGTTTGCGAAGAGGCGTGTGTGTAGGTTGCTTTGCTGACCTGCATTCAGCCAAGGCTTACCAGGTCCTTTTCAGACAGGGGGAAGGGAAAGAAAAGGGAGCGTCAGTCTCATCAACTTGGGCACTTGGGCAACTCGGGTATTTGTATAGTTGGCGTCGGTGTTCTCAAAACGGCACGCAAGCCATCAGCAAGGGCTTGTGTGGTGATCCGGACGTCTTCTTCTTTATAAGAGCCCTGCCACCTCGCTCAAGAAACAGGAAACCGCCGCGTCAGGCAGCCCGGCCAGCTGGCAGTGGCCGCCTCGTCGTCACCTGTTGTTGGGCCTGCGTGTTGTTGGTCAGTCTCTGAGCCTACGGGAAGCCCGCCGTCCCTAGCCAGATGGAGGCTGAAGGGGCATGCACCATCAATGGCGCAGGATCTGGCTGAATCTGCGGCCAGGGACGCTTTGGTGGCAGACGGCAATCGTAGGCGCAGGACTGGCAAGAAAAAACGGCACTCGACGGCGAGAAGAGAAGAAGGAGGGGGGGTGAGTGTATGTGTGGTGGGGAAACGGGTGTTGGACAGGGGAGATGGACAGAACTAAGAGCGGGAGAGGGACTGTAAACAAAAGTGCGTGGTGGTCAGAGAAGACGATCAGCAGAGAAAGATGAGTCAAAATATCCAAAAACAAACTCCTCGTTGCGCGAAATACAACGGCGTACAAGAGGGTGGTGTTATTCCGCGAAAATCTGTAGCTGGCCGGGATGGTATTAATGTGGTTCGCAGACAGGATAGCAAGGGAAGTTTTTGTTTATGCAGGAGCACAATATTTAATGTTGTGGGGATGGAGGGGAGAGTGAGAGGGGGGGCTGCCTGTTAGCCTCGCCGGCTCTGATGCAACGGTCAGTGGCTTCAGACAGAGAGAACGAGAGAAGGCAGAGCGGATAGAGAAAGGGCGCAGGCGCAGTTGCCGTTTGAAACGGCCGGCTTTCTGGCTCGTGGTGGATTCTGACGTGGTTGAAGGTACTCTGTATAACAGGCCCACTCGCGCAAATGCGTAGAGTGTCACAGAGACTGCCCCAACGGGGTGGAACAGCAAGTACTCCGTACGTGTGGGAAGGTGCATGTCGAGGCTGTCTCGTCTTCTCCTTCCCAGTCCGTAGGCTTGCAAGCCCACTAAGTTATACGAGCGAGATTGATGGTGGTGTGGGTGGATGTATGTTTTTTTGAAAGTAGTCTTCACATGCGGTAGCAGGCCTTTCTTGTCTCTTTGCGCTTCTGTTTCTGTCCTTTTCGGCCTTTCTGCCGTTTTGCCGTGCCGCTTCGCTTCGTTTCGTTTCTTTTTTTCCTTTTTCCTTTCCTTTTTTTTCTTTCTGTTTTCTCCGTCTTCCACCCCCTCGCACCTCCCGCCCTCTGAGCCAGCGTCTGGTGCAAGTACGTCGTATGCTAGAAAGTGGAAGGGACGAGCGGGGCCACTAGGCCGCTTCCTCAGGTCGCACACACGCTAATATGGGCTGCCAGGGCCTTCCTGTTACGGAGGGAGGAACACACGCGTATTCAGACAGGGAATATACTGTATCCGGCAACTGCTGGATGGGCTGCGATGTTGGTCTTGGATCCGGCTGCTGGCCGCCTCTGTCTGCCTTTTCCTTTTTCCTTTTCCCTTTTTCTTTGTTGTTTGCCAGCAAGAGGCAAGTCGAGAACAATTTAGACAGGCCGCTGTTGTTGGGCTGTGGAGCCGAGCGGTTCTGACCTCCCCCTCCCCCCCGACACGCCTGGTCGCCCTGCATCGCGTTGCTGCAACTGCGTTGTGTTTGCTAGCCGTCTTTGGACCGTTTCCCGCGGCCGTGGCTGAGGGCAGAAGACAGCGAACGGTGCCCAGAGGTGGAGGAGAAACAAAAACAAAAACAAAGATGGAAAAGTCCCTAACCACAGACAAGCTTGTGCTGGCGACCCGTGGCGACCTGTGGCGACCCACGACGTCATGCAAAAGCAAACTGCGCAGACACGAGGTTGGAAATGAGCTGCCTGTTACACAAGCGAATAGAGACGCAGACATGTGTGGATGGTGTCGGTGTCAGCGACTGCTGGACATGTGCAGAGTCTCGCCACGGCTCTCCTGCTCGGACACGGCTCTCCTCGGCCTCAACTTTACCCTCTCGCTGTATTCACGCGCTCTCTGGATGCGTCCCCACACGTGTTCCGGGACTGCCGACGAGAAGGGAAAACGAGCGGCGGCTAGGGTGACAGAAAAGCAAAGGCTCAGAAAGCCCGCCAATCCGGACAATGCTGCGTGTGCAACAGGAAGACAGGCAGACCGGCTTGTCGGTGGAAAGGAAAAGAGAGTTGCAGCAGGGCTAGACGAGACCAGAATAGTAAGAAGGACGTCACCGATGACAACGAACAGGCACAAAGGCACATTCAGGCCGGCACGCTACTCGTGGACACACACGTACAGCGCGCACATACCCCTGTTCGTCCGGTGACCAAGGCAGGTTGCGTGGCATGCTGCCACAGCTGGGAGGCGTATTGAGATACTACCAAGTACATATGTGCGAGCACAGCGCAACAACATACACGGATGGACGGTGCGCGCAATGTAGGCAGGCTGTTGTATCACAAACTCATGCAGCATCACACACCGATCATCATAGACTAGCACGAGTTGGGGTAAGCTGCAGGCGCCTGTCACCTGTTGGTTGCCTTGGGCTTGCTTAGCTCTTTTGCTTATACCCGCACAAGACAACAAGCAAGCAGCATGCGCCGCGGATGTTGCACGCTGGCAGCAGAAAAGGCTGGCCCCCCCGGTCAAGCCCACAGCCGCCAAAGGGTACTAGGTTCATACCGTGTACCATGTATACAAGCCCATGCCTGGACTGCAGCGCCATTCCTCTTCCGACTCCCCCCCCCTTCCCACTTCCTCCGTTTCCGAACTTTTGTCTCTCGCCTCATCTTCCGGTCGTTTACCCATCCATCCGCCTTTTAACGCAACGCGGCTTGGCTCACCAGTTGTGACCGTCTCGCAGTCTCGTTCCAGCTGTGACAGCAGAGCGAATCTGTGAGTGCGAGACGACATTGTCGGCCGTGCCACCCATCTCCTGCTTCTCCCGTGCAGGATGATGGTGTGCCAGCCGTGGTGGCGGCTTACGGACGGAAAGGCAGCGGAAGTTAGCATGCCGCGCACGATCTCGTGCGAGTGCGAGGCCGAGACAGACTAAACAAAGAGGGTGGGTGACACAAGCAGAAGCAGGGCGGAGACTTGTGCGGGTCCAAGTAGCTCTTCCAACTGGGAAAAATGCTCCGGGGGGCGGGAACCAACAGAGAGAGAGGGACAGCTGTCCCGTGTCCTTTCCTTTGTCACTTTGTCATGTTCTCTAAGAGAGTGAGGACCCGCGCGTGCAAGCCACGTGGTCCGTACCAGAGGAACGGAAGGGAAACGAAGGGGAAAAAGGGAAGAGGAAGAAGTGGAAAGGGAAAAAGGCAAAAAGGCAAAAAACAAAGGGAAAAAAGAAAGTGAAGGCAGAGATGAGCTTGCCAGTGGTCATTTCCTGCTTTTCCATCCGCCATCCGACCCCCGTTCGTGCTCACCGCATCAACCCTGCTGTCTTCCGTAGAATAAAGGCGTCTGTGTCACGGTCTCCTCACCCTGACAGGCTGACAGGGTTGAAATCAATCTGTGTTCAACGAACACGACGGGTCCTTGGCCGAGGCTTGACGTCCGAAAGGGACAAGACACGGCAGACAGCTCGCACATACCAGAATTAAACCCGTGCTTGTGTCTTATCTCACGAACCAGGATGGTCTACCAAGGAGCTTCTCGGGTTCGGGACAGGCCGGACTTGAAGCCGTTCTGGATGCATACCACACAAGCGGCCAATGAGTCTGCGCTAGAGTAGCCTCTCCGAGCATGCTGTTCTCCCTTTCCTCCTGCTGTGCTGCTCGTGCACGGCGGCTGGGGGTCAATGCCTGTTCTGTTGCTATTAATACAGCGCATCAGCTGCTGAGCCTAACGAGCAATTGGAGCCCGCTAAATCCTGGTGTAACGGTTGAGAACGGGAACACGAGAAGGGGGGGGGTGGTTTAGCGGGCTACACTAATACAGGACCGCTATTATTAGAGCCGGGGTTGCTAGAGCTTAGCCGTACATAGCCAACCCCACCTGCATCATCGATTTGCTGCAGACACGCGTTTTTATTAGACGCGTTCTAACCACAGGAAAATACGCCGTAAGAACTTCCAGGCCTGTTTCTCGACCTTGTCGCGCTCGGAGGTTTAATACTTCGTCTGTTGTCAATCGGCTTGCTTCCGTCCTTCGCTGAGTCACGATGGACCTCGAGCCAGATGAAGAAGCAGCTGCACTGGTGGGCGATCTGGTCCAGGGTGAGTGCTCTTATTTGCGTCACATGCGGCTCCGCCGACCGACTGACCTGAACAGCCGCCCGCGTGCCGGCCAAACGCCGTCCGTTTGCGGTCAAGCCCACGGTTGAGCGGCTCGCCTCGCTGGCGTTTGAACACGGGCTGCCGGCCGACGCGCTCCGCAACCTCGTCGACGTCGTCACGACTCCCGGCCACCTGGACCAGGCCAGTCTCGGCGCTCTCGTGCGAAACCTGTACCCGGCTGTTTCGGCCGTGCCGGACGACGTAGTGCTTGCCGTCGTCGGCTGCCTCGGCCAGGGCCAGCTCAAGCCGTCGCTGGCCGTCCAGGCGCTGCTGTTGCGATGGCTCGTGCTGGTCTATCATGTGCTGGGCAGCCCGGCCGTGCTGTCACGCGCGTACGGCGTGCTGTTCAACCTGCTTGACACCGTCGGCATCCGGCCACAGCTATGCCACGTCCTGGCCCTGATCACCCGACGGAGACATGTGCGGCCCTTTCGGATCCAGGCCATGTGAGTCGGGAGAGAATGCCTGCCTTTGTCGAGGCGTCGTCGTCAAATACTGACCGTGCGTCCTTTATGCAGACTCAACCTATCGAGACAGGCTGGACACGATCCGAATCTGATCGGCCTGCTGCGCGTGTTCAAAAATTACTACCCGGAAGTGATCGTCGGCGAGGCCACGCGGGGGAGAGCGTCCCCATTTAAGGTAGGTCTGTCCGGGCGAGCCAAGGGTCCATGTCCAATCGCTAGGATGAGCGCCAGCTGACCCCGTACTGCATCGTCCTCTCTTCAGCATCCAGACCCGCCATGGCGTGCGAGGCTGGACGAGATCCAGCTCGCCCGCAGACAAAATCTCCTACAGGGTGGCAGCAGCGGTGCCGCGACGCCCGAGATGCAAACCGGGTTTCGCGTGCGACAGGATCATCAGCTCGGACGCCGGACGGCCGGCGGTGGTGCCGCGCTTTCGGGAATCCCAGCTGTGCACACTTTGCATGCACAGGAAGAGTCGGTCACACTTGAGGAAATTGACAGCGCCGAGGGCCTCGTGCAGAACCTTGAGAAAATTGAGCTGCCGAGCCAACTCGTCGCCGTGCTGGCGGATCCGTTGCTACAGAAGCTGCTGCTGCTGCGGCCGGCAGCTGAGGCGACTGCGCGAGCTGACAACTGGCTGGCGGCTTGTGTGGCTAGTGTGGCCAGCGGTGACAGCAGTCCTGACGAGCTGATGGACCTGATGGAGGCGGTGAACGACTACGTCACCAGCACGCAGACATTTCCGCCCGTGCTGCATCGCTTCTTCGGCCAGCTTCTGTCGACGTGGGACCGCCAGACCCAGAAAGAGCTCATCTTGCAGACCCTCTCGTTTGTGCCGGTCCAGGGCTTTGAAGGTGAGCTGACAGAGAGAGAGGATGAGAGGAAGAGAGTTGTCTAGCTGACATGTATTGCTCCAGAGACATATGTGTCGACGTTTGCGGTTCTGGAAAAAGCGCTTCTCGACAGTTCAGCGACTTCACATCTTGATCTGCTGGCCTTTTACACCAAGGTTCTGCACAACTGGAGAGTGGCACTGACGGCCACCAAGGGTGAAGCGGCGTCCTCCCAGAACAGCGATGCGGCAGCGCTACCGCGATTCATCGGCCATGTGGCCAAGCTGGTGCTGGTCGTGTTGCAGACGCCACCGGCTGTGTCCTCATCGTCTTCGGTGCCGACGGGAGCCGCGCTGGCGGTGCTGGACTTTTACGAAGAGGTGACGGGCACGCTGGGAATGGGCCGCGACGACGTGCTGGAGCAAGTGCAGGCGGTGGTGCCGCCGCCGACAATGGTGTACACGATGCACTTCAGCCAGTCGGCTGCGGTAGCATCGCGGCTGTACGCGGTTCTGGCAGCGTACAAGCGAGCGCTGGAGGCAGCGATGGCGCGACGGCCGGGTCGACAGCTGGCGGCTGAAGAGCGGGCGCGCGTCAATCTGTTCAACGGTTTCCTCATGGACGTCTGCAATTGTCTGTGGCGTCTGCGGGCGTTTTCCGGGTCCGACACCAATGCCCAGGGCTGCCGCGTGCCGGCCGTGCTAGTGCCGAAACTAGCACACTATATGCAGGTCGTGGACCGCGATCTGGCCCTGACGGCCGCCTTTAGCCTGTCGCAGTCGCCGGTGATGTGTCTGCAGGCCATCCGCTATCTCCGGGCGCTGGAAGACGCGGCGATCGGGCAGGACGACAGCGACAGCGGCAGCGCGACGACAGTGACAGTGCGTCGACGCCATGCCGGGCCGGTCACGCAGGCGGCCCTGGTGCAGCTGGCCCGTACTGGCGGCATCAACGTGTCGTGGGCGGCATACCGATCGGGGCTGCTGGACCACCTCGAAACACGCGGTTTTGGCGGCGTTTCGGCTCTGATGCACAACACAATGAAGAACCTAATGAACGCCCAGACGGGATGAGCCGCGGGTCCATTGTGGCGAAGCACCTGTGCGCGTCAGTATGGTCCCATACAAACCCCACTATGAGATGGGTGGATTAGTAGCGCCCGGTCAAAAGCAAGAAACAGGATCGTCGAACTGGTCACAAAAAGAATCAGCACACGCACAAACGACAGGATGGCGGCCACCGACACAGCGCTGATCGAGGCGATTGACCTGACGTACACGTTTCAGGACTACAGCACAGGGATCTCGCACATCAACCTGGCACTGCCAGCGGGCAGCCGGACGTTGCTGGTAGGCGCCAACGGAGCGGGCAAGACGACGCTGCTGCGACTGCTGGCGGGCAAGCGGCTGGCACCGGCGGGCAGCATTCGGGTGGGCGGCCTGGATCCGTTTTCGCACAGCATTGCGGGCGTGACGTACCTGGGACTGGAGTGGGTGCTGAACCCGGTGGTGCGGCGGGACATTGGGGTGAACGAGCTGCTGGCGTCGGTGGGCGGCGATGCGTATCCGGAGCGGCGTGACGCGCTGGTGGCTGTGCTGGACATTGACACGTCGTGGCGAATGCACGCGGTCAGCGATGGCGAGCGACGCCGCGTGCAGCTGGCCATGGGCCTGATTCGGCCGTGGAACATCTTGCTGCTCGACGAGATCACCGTCGATCTGGACGTCTGGACCCGGGCCCAGTTCCTCGGCTGGCTGCGCAGCGAGTGTGAGCGCCACCCTGACCGCGCTTCTGGCCTGCCGCCGCCCACCATTGTGTATGCCACCCACATCCTTGACAACCTCGCCGGCTGGCCGACCCATCTGGTACACATGCATCTCGGCACCGTGCGCGAGTGGGGTCCGGCCGAGCGTTTCCTCAACGACACGGCTTACTACCGTGACCGCATGCAGGACGACGGTGCTGCCGGGGCGGCCGGTGATGCGGATGGCGAGACAAAGGACGGGGCTGCCGCCAAGAAACACTTCAACCCCAGCAGTCTTCTCGGGGCTTCTGGAAACTCGCGGCTCGGCGATTTGGTGCTGTCGTGGCTGCGTGATGACTTGCGCGAGCGTGGCCCTCGCAGCCAGAACCGTCGTGGACCGGAGGGCCTGACGTATGCGGTGGGTGGCATTGGCGGCTATGGGGCTGAGAAGCATGTAGACGAGGAGAAGGAGACGGAGAACTGAAGAGGTGGATGAGGCCGGAAGAAGAGAGGAATGATGGCGAGAGGAGTCGTCCGGTCTAGGCTGCAGAGCTGGGACGGACCTTCCGTTTCCAGCTGCCTAGTGCGTTTCACTACAATTTCAACAGACACGCGGTGGGAAGGCGTGGGTGGAGGCAGGAACAGCCCAGCTTCAACGCTGTGGCATAAGCATAGTATAGATTTAGATACATCAACACATCAACACATGACCGAACTGTCTTCACTCGAGGTTCGCCTTGACGCCCGGATGCACGCTCTCGAGCACGTCCAGCAGCTCGCCGAAGAGGCGTTCCTGGATAGCAACGCCGGCGGCAGACGTGACGGCTGGACTGGGCGGCCAGACAATGCCCGAGTCCATGTACTGGCCGTGGGACTCGTTCCCGGCAGCAGCGGCGGCGACGAGGGTGCGGGCGCCCATCTCGGCGGTGCGGCCGAGGAGATGGAGGCCGGCCTGGACGACGTAGCGGAAGGGGACGGGCACGCTGCGGAAGAGCTCGGTGCGGCAGAAGCCCGGGTTGAGGCAGTTGGCGGTGACGGGAATGTGATGGGCATCGAGGACGCGGGCCAGCTGGCGGACAAAGTAGACCTCCATCAGCTTGGAGGCGTTGTAGCGGTCGTGCGACATGTGGGCGGGATCGCGGAGAGCCTCGAAGATGGACGGCGCCTTGGTCTCGTTGAAGCGAGCCTGCAAGTATGAGCATAGGGGAGCGAGAGGACGAAAAGGGAGGAGGCCAGGCTCACAAAGAGGTGGGCATCAGACGAGACGACGACCAGGCGTGGCCGCACGTTGTACTGGATGGCGGTGCGGCGCAGCAGCGGCAGCAGCAGCAGGCCGAGCAGGCCGGTGGACAAGACGTTGACGGTGATGGTGGTCTCGTGGCCGTCGGCCAGCGAAAAGGTCGGGCGGGCGACGCCGGCATTCTCGACGACGACATCAAGGCGGCCCAGCTCGACGGCAGCGCGGCGTGCCAGAGCGGCGACGCTGGCAAAGGAGGCGAGGTCGACATCCCAGACGTCGATGACGCAGTCTTGCTGGCGATCGAGTGGCAGCGACGCGCGAATGTCGGCCGCAGCAGCCTCGGCCTTTTCGACGGAGCGGCAGGCCAAGACGACACGGGCGGCACCGAGAAGGGCCATATGACGGGCAGCCTCGAGGCCGAGACCACCATTGGCACCGGTGACCAGCACGGTCTGGCCGGCGAAGAAGCCGGAGGGGGGCAGCGGGATCGTGTGCCACTGTCCCCACAGAAAGTGAAAGGGGTAGCTGGGACGACTGTCTGTCAGCCATCAAGGCGTAAGGAGAGAAGAGCGGCGTGTGGTGTGTTGACTTACAGATTGAAGAGCATCGCGTCGTTGTGTGGTGGAAGCGGTGCAAAGACACAAGGACAAATGGCAGTTGCAAGTAGCCGCTGTCATGAGTTTTCCAAATCAATAATCCCTCACCCCATCTGAAACGCGGCCCAGCTCAGGCCACCCGTTCCTCCCCGGTTACCAGGCCCGCAGCTTCGGCAGCAGGAACTGCATGATGGGTAGCATCTCGGCTCGGCTGCGCGGCATGGCGTCGTCGCCGGACGGCCGGACCCAGCGGGCAGTCTGGACGACAGCGAATCGGTTGCGCAGCAGCAACACGGTCTCGTCGGACACGGCCTCGCCGTCGACGGCGCCGCAGACGAGGAGGGGCGTGTTGGTCTTGGGAGCCTCGGAAGCGGCCACGGCGATGGCGGATGGCACGTCGGCGCCGACAGTAATCACTCCCTTGCAGGGGGTTTCTGTCGGTACAGCAGCTGCCAGGGCCAGCGCAAACGTGCCGCCCTGGCCGAAGCCGAAGAGCAGCAGGTCGTCGGGACGCCAGCCGCAGCGGGCACCCAGGACGTCACGCACCAGGCGGCCGCCGACGAGACGCAGAGCGCGGTCGAAGCCGGGATCGGGGTCGATGTCGGCGCCGCGCAGCTGCAGATCGTCGCCCCAGTGGAAATGGCGCGGGCCAGTGCCAAAGTCGTCGTCGACATCGTCCCCAAACGGCACCGCGTTGGGCCCGCGTACGGCCACGGCCAGCACGCCCGGCAGGTTCAAGGCGCGGGCAAAGGACGCAAAGGGGGCCTCGCTGTCGCCGAGGCCGTGGAAGAGCAGCAAAATGGCCGTGGTGGAGGCTGGCGGGTCGGGAAAATGCAGGGCGACGGTCAGGTCGGGGGCCAGCGAGGCAAAATCCTCTTCGGTGGGAACACGAGTCATGGTGGGTTGGAGAGGAAGAATTGGTAGGGGAAGACGACAAAGGAGTGGGAAGTGAAGCATAAATTTGAACAGACTACGTGATCGAGATGCCAAAAGCAAGTTGCAGTCTAGAATGGCAGAATTCTCAGTACGGCAGGCACGCCTGCAGCCCAGCGGGGAAGGAGCGGCGGGGTGGACGGAGCAAAGCAGGTATTAGTGGAGAACTCGCGGGCTTTCTAGCGTCTAGTTCACTATTATACCAATTGGGACAGATGGCTCGAGAGATGAGAGACCAAGACGGACAAAGACGGACAAAAGACGAGACAAAAAGAGACCACACCACTCTACCGCAGCCACTGCGTCGTCTCGCCGTCTAGACTACGGCTGCGCACGCGCGACGGCCCCGGCGCCATGGGGATCCAGTCGCCGGCAGCGGTCCACGTGCCGGCCTTTGTGTAGTCGTCGCTGTTGCGGCCTTCGAGGTAGGCGAAGCGGAAGTACTCGTCGGCGGCGGCGTCGACGGGGCGCTGCCAGACAAACGAGCGGGCGCCCGACGAGACCTCGTCGCCGCTGTCAGGGTCACGGCCATCGGGCTCGAAGAAGGCGCGATGGCGCTCGACGTCGTTGACGAGCACGCTGATGCCATCATAGCGAGGACCAGGCGGTGGACGCCAGAAAAAGGTGATGGAGCTGGTGTTGGCTGCAGCAGCAACAGCAGCAGTAGCCGCAGTAGCAGCCGCAGTAGCAGCTGCACTGGCCAGCCGCACGACCGGCGGCAGCAGCTCCGGCAGCGGCGAGCCCAGCTGAGCATCGCCCTGCAGGGCAGCCGGCGTCTGCAGCAGCGAGGCCCAGCCCCAGCGACAGGTGCCGTTGATGAAGAGGCCGACCAGCAGGCCCTGGTACGCGAGCGCTGGACGGGTCTGCATGCTGGTGCCGGGCAGCAGCAGCAGGGCCAGGATGTAGTGGTGGATGCGCAGGTTGAGGTGTGGGATGGCGGCACAGAAGCAGAGGCTGCTGACAAAGAGGATGTACAGCTTGAGGTACGGGCGCAGGCGACCCTCCTGGCGGAAGAACCAGATCTGCGAGGCCACGATGACCAGCAGGATGGTGATGATGGTGGCTAGGGCAGCCTTGGCGCCCGGCTGCTGCTGCAGGTCGTGGGGCGTCAGCCGCGCAATGGGAATGTAGTCGAAGGTGTAGTTGGTCAGCGCGCCGACCCAACAGGCGCCCAGCCAGAGGACCGTCTTCTCGATGTGGGCGGCAAAGCCGCGACCGAGCGTGCGACGCACGCCAAGCTTGTCGTAGATGACCCAGCCGGCCAGAGCGGCAGGCAAAAAAGCGCCCAGCACGATGGACACGAGCGAGGCGGTCGACTCGGCCGGAGGGGGGTCAGTGGCCAGGCCGACCGTCCAGAAGATGCCGGTGAAGACAGGCCAGAAAAAAGCGGCCGGTGAGGCAACCATCAACGAGAGCACGACCGAGAAGACGACCGAAACGGTCAGCAGCGGCCAGCGGGGATCGTGGGCCGGACAGTCGATGCCGTCGAGAAACTCGAACGCGAGCGGGAAATGTGAGTCAAAAGCCACGCTGTCGATCTCGTGGTGTGTCGACGCGGCAAAGGCCGACTGCCGGCCGACGAGCCGGACGACACCGCAGCCGCCACGGGCATCCGACACGACGCCGGCATGGATGGCCGCGCTGCAGAGAAACGAGTCGCCGCGGTAGATGGTCGCATTGCCGTGGGGACCGCTGCCGGGACCACCAACGACGAGTGTGCGGTAGACCACTTCCTGGTCGCCGACAGCCCGCGGATTCAGCACTGCGTAGCCGGCACAGCTCGACGGACAGCGAAATGGGAACCCACTGCCGCTGAACGGCCGGCAGTCACTGCCGTCGAGCCCGCACTGGTTGCCCGGCACCCAGTACGTGTTGCCGCAGCCAATGTCGGCCGGCGTGCCCCAGCCGGCGATCTCGCCGGCCCGCAGTCCGCGTCGCAGCACGACCGCAAACGTCACCAGCCAGAGCCAGAGCCAGCCGAAAAAGGCCGCTCGTCGCCACAGCCACCGGGGCCCGCCGCCGACTGCTGCTGCCGCCGCTGCCAGCAGGCGGTCCCGCAGCTGCAGTGGCGCCAATTGCACGGCCGGCAGCAACGGCTTGATCACGTGAGCATGAGCGTCTGGAGGCCCGCGTGACCATCGGGCGGCTGCCACGGCCAGTCGTCGTGCCGGGTATGGCAGCCAGCGCCAGTGCTTCCACGTCCCTGTCTCCTGCAGGAATCGCGGCGTCGGCGGCCCCTCGCCGTCCGAGTTGGTCATGTCGTCGTCGGCCTGCCCCAGCAGCGGCGCGTCTGCCTCGTCCAGGTGCTCGTCGTGGTCCGATACCAGGCTGCCGCTGCTGCTCGGGCCGCTCGCCACGTCGGCCACGCCAATGGTCACCTCCGACGACGAGCCCGATCGTGACGTCGCCACCTTTACGTCGTCCTGTTCGTTGTCGTCCATCATCGTAGAGGTTGCAGACAGAGAAGAGAGGGCGAGAGCTAGAGAAAAGGAAAAATGAGAGTGAAAGCGAAAAGAAAAAAAAAACGAACAGCTGCGAATGAGCGTGGAAATGGAAACACACAACAGCTGCTCTTGGTCCGGAGTGTCCGACCGGGATGGGATCCGAAACGTGCGTTGGCGCGCTGATGGATGGGCTGGCAGAACCAGACCCAGACTTGATCGACAAGCTGTAAGATAGTATTTTATGGAGTACTACGGAGTCGTATTGTTACGGATCCGTCGGCGACTTCCTGGCGGGACACTCACGTGATTGTGTCCCCTGCTAGCGCCCCACTTGCCGCGGGCTTGCGGTGAGGTTTCTGCACACGACAGCATTGCGAAAGCCCGAAACATCCAACTGCCAGCCCGTGGCACCACCATCGGCACAGCGAGTGAGCGCTTCGTGTGCGTCGCCCTCCATGACGACGTCTGCAGACGCGCCCATGGCTTCGGCCCCGACACCGTTCTTCCGCATTCTCGCGACCGCAGCCAGAGGTACCACGGCCGTCTCCTCCGACCATGGCGCCCGTTGCGGCTTGCTGGCACTTCCTCGGTCACGTGGCTTGCCGCTGTCAACACCTGCCTTTGTCGCTGTCACCTCACGCGGCTCTGTTCCTCACGTGACTCCCGACAATGCAATCCGCCATGATCTCTTTGCTGCTGCCTATCTCGCCCTGGAGGACTGTGAGTGGGGATGGGACGAGATGAGACGAGATGACGATGCCAGATGAGACCAGAGACGGCTGACCGTGACTGTGCAGTTGTCGAGCAGGTGCCTCTGCAGCCGGACCGCACGCCGCCCATCCTAACGACGCCTCTGGACAGTGCAACGTCCTCCTCCACCTTGACGTCGCCCTCCCGCCTTCACGCCTTCTGTGCCCTCCCCCCGGCAGCCATCTCTGTCCTCGCCCCTCGCCGTCACCCCGCTGCCGCCGCCCATCTCGGCAACGGTCCCGGCCACATCTCCGTCGTCACCTCTACCGGCTTCCAGAAACTGACTCTCGACGCCTACCACGATGCCGTCGACGCCCTGCTGCCCGACATCGTCGTCCCTATGGCTGACCTGACCTATGGTGGCCATGGCGGCCTGTCGTACCCGACGGCTAAGCGCGCTGTCCGCATGGCTGACCGCACCGAAGACTGGATCGACCAGTTTCTGTCGAGGACCACCAACACCGCTGACGGCCCTCACGTCTTCGCCCCAACTCTGCCGGTGCCTTATGCGACACAGTGGCAGTACCTCAACGGCCTGGCCGACTGGATGACCGGCCAGGGCGACAGAAGCCCTCAGAAAGCCCTCGCTGGCCTCGCCGTCTACGACGTCGACCTCCTGCCCGACCTGCGCGCCGACTACGACAACTCCCTCGCCCTGCTGCCGCGCCTGTCGTTGCACCCCGCCCCCACCCCCCATCATATGTTGCGCCAGATTGCTCTCGGCGCCGACCTGATCGTCCTGCCTGCCATCACTGCTGCCTCTGAAGCTGGCCTGGCATATACGTTCTCCTGGGATGTCGCTTTCCAGGCCGAGACTATGCCCTCTGATCGCCCTCTTGATCCTCTCGATCCTCTCGATCCTCCCGACCATCCTGACCACTCTCCTGACCAAATCCTCCCCCTTGCCGTCGACCTCTCTGATCCCTCACATGCTGCCTCTCTTCTGCCGCTCGCTCCCGGCTGCAGCTGTGCTGCTTGTGTCGCCGGCCATCATCGCGCCTACGTCCACCACCTGCTCGACGCCCACGAGATGCTCGCCTGGACCCTCCTCCAGATCCACAACCACCATGTCGTCGACCGCCTCTTTGCCGCTGTCCGCGCCACCCTCGCTGACCCCGATCCCGATGCCTTTGAGCGCACCCGACGCCGCTTCCACCTCGCCTTCGCCCCTGACCTGCCGGTCGGCTCCGCTGTCCGTCCCCGCGCCCGCGGCTACCAGGCCGTCAGCAATGGGCCCGTTGACAGCCGCCTCAACAAGCCTGCCTGGGGACGTCTGGAAGAGGTCGGCCATTGAGCCGGTCTAACGGCTTCCCTTTCCAAAAATACAAATTCACTCCAATGTACTCCAATATATTGCTGACTAATCAACACTTCTCGTCATGTGTAAATCGCACCTTTGCTAGACTACTGTGGTAGTAGCAAGACGCCTTCTACAATCCCGGCTCCTCTCCCCCCAGGTCTACTATCCTCCTGCCTTTTTTCTTCTTCGGCTTGGCAATGACTGTCGTCTCTGCCGCTGAGGCTTCCGTTGTAGCTTCCGCTGCTGCTGCAGCTGCCTTCTTCTTCGGTTTGGTTGCCACGACTTCTCCGTCAGCCGTTCCGACAGCCTTCTTCGTCGCCGTCTTCTTCTTCTTCCTCACCACCACCACACCCTCGATCGGGATCCCTTGCGCCATCTGCACCCGTTCGTTGGCCCGCTGCATCTCCAGCCGTCGCTTTTCCACTTCCTTGAGCGCCTGTGCCATTTCCGCATCGGCTCGTCGTTGCCGCTCGTAGTCGTAACTGCTGGCTATCGCCCTACTGCTTCCACTTCCACCCCCTTCCCCATCTCCCGCCACTTCCTCCAGGCTCAGTGTCCCAATGTAGCTCGAGTCCACCTGTAGTAGCGACTGCTGGTGCTTCGTCGTCTTGCGGCGCGGCTGCTGCCGTCCGTCGCTCGACACGTCCGACTCTAGGCTACGCGGCGTCGATCGTCCGCTGCCGGCCAGCATCTCATCTGCCGCCACCACAATCCTCTTGGGCCGCGCCCGTGCCTGATGCGGCTGCCCTGTCGCGCCGCTCGGCCGCGCCTTGGCCGCTCCCAGAGCCTGGAGGTCCAGCTGCATCACCGGGATCGAGTCAATATCCAGGTCCTGGCCGTTTTCCTTGGTCAGAATGTCGTGGATCGGCGTCGATGTTCGCAGCCCCTTGCCACCACTCCCTTGGATGTAGAACGGATCATCGCGGTACCGCTCTTCTCGCTCGGCCTTGCGTCTCGCTAGGATGTCGGCATCAAGGTATGCCTCCTCGTCTGGAGCCTGTTGCTGCTGTTGTTGGTAAGAGGACCCCGCTTCCGGTCCCTCTGGCAGCCTGCTAATGGCCGGCATCTCTGCCGACGAGATGCTGGCCGGTGCTGCTGTCTGGTAGTAGTATGCGTCAAAGTCGTCGTCGTCGTTGACGCCACCCGTCGTGATCTGCCCGCCATCCTGATCTGCTGCTGCCGCTGCCGCCAACAGCGCGCCCAGATTTGCGTGGATCGGCTCGTCCAGGTCTAAGCCCTGTGGCAGCGGTATGTTCAGCTGCGCTCCCGCCGCCACAGAGTTCAGCTCCCAGCCGCGGAACAACGATGGGATCGCCTCCGTCAGCAGCAGCGGCGCGTCCTGCTGCACGCCCTCGATCGACGGCGACTGCGCCGACGCTGCCTCGTCTGCCAGCCGCAGCAGCTCCGACAGCTCAACCGCTCGCTCCTGCCACCCTCCAGGCTCGGATGCTGTGATAACGGCTCCAGCGCGTGCAACATCCGCGCGATCAGCAGCGACACTAAAGACCGCCGCTCGGCCGTCCACAGTACCGCATCATTGCCCGCCACAAACGCAAACAGCTTCGCCAGCGCCTGCACGCACGTCGCCAACACCTCCGCCGCTCGGATCCGTGGTACCAGCTGCAGCAGCAGCGATAGCGTGTCCTCGGCCGACTCCAGCAGCTCGGCATACTCACCCACCATCCACACCATCGGCCGCAGCGACCGCGTCGTTACCTGTACCGTCGTCGCCGATGCCGCTTCTGTGCTGAGCTGCCCAATCACCGAGTTGGCTGCCCCCACGGCCGCTGCCCGCATCGCCCGCACCTTGACCGCCACGTTCCGCAGCTCGTTGCCGACCCGCTCCGAGATGTCTGTGCTGCCTGTCCGCACATACCACGGCCCGTTGTTCGCGTCCGTGCTGTCGCTGTCGCCGCCACCGTCGCTGTCACCCCCCCGTGACGGCGGCGCTGTCCGCAACAGCTGTGTCAGGATGTCGATGTACCAGTCAAAGTCCGCAATGTTGCTGTAGTTGTTCTGCGCACACATGGACAGGATCCGGTGCATCACGTCGATCTTGTAGTCCTCCGGCAGGAGCGCCTCCTGGCTCTTCGGCTGGGCTGCCGCTTCTGCCTCGTCGTCAGAGTCTGCCCGGAACTCCAGCTGTCGCACTTCGGTCGTCTTTTTCGGTGCTGCCGACGTCGACTGCTTCAACTGTCGCATCAGCCGGCCCACAATCGACATCAGGTTGTCGCTGCTGACCATGCCCTGCACCAGGTCGAGCGCCTTGATCCGGATGCTGATGTCTTGGCTGTCGATGCACTCCATGATCACGTCTTCCTGCTCCGATACGAGGAAGGAGTGTGTCGACACGATCTTGTTGAACGCGATCAGCGCAACGTATTTCACTGTCCACCATGTCAGAGTCTGTCTGCAGCAGGCCGCCATGTCTTGCCAGCACTCACAGTTGGGGTCGTCATGGACCATGATCATCCCTCGCAGTTTGGTCACGCAGAGCGACGCGATCTCCTCCCGCCCGGATATGTCGTCGTCGCTGCCCAGTATGCCGCCTTGGATGATTCCGTTGATACACTCGTAGAGAAGCGACATAGCCGGTGTCGTGCGGATGATGTCGGTCAAGGGCGGAAGCAGCTTGCGAACTAGACGAGGCTCGAGTGGCGTCAAAGTCGCAAACTATCATGTTAACTTCAAAGACGAGTAAGAAGAAAGAGATTCCAAGAACCTACAAGCTTGATCAGTTTGATGGCCATCCAGTTATTACCGCCATCAACCAAGAGCTCAAAGAGCCGCGGTGCCAGCGGCAGAAAGTCTTGTGGCCGGCGCCATCCGAGCTCGCAAATCACGTTGACAATGGCCGCCGTCACGCTGGGATCCTCGGTCGGGTCCATCAGCCGGTCCTTGATCTTGGGCCACGCTGCCCGCAACGTCTCAGGGAAGACGAGCGCCATACGGTAAAGCGTCACAATGGTCTTCTTGCGGATCACACGGTGCGAGTGATTGAGCCGCGGAAGCAGGTCTGGCAACACCGACATAGCCAGCGACGGCGTGATTAGGTGTGGCAGGGCCGCAATCGGCAGCTGGATAGTCACAGGCGACGATGAGCACAGGTCCTTTTTGAGCAGGTTGGTCGCCAGCATCAGCACCTCCGTGTCCGTGCGGAAGCTCTGCACTGCCGCCAGGTATCCAATGCGCTTCTGGTGCAACTTCTGCGACGACATCACCTCGAGCACGTGGAACGACGCCCACGACATGTCGTGTCCGACCATCTCGAGGTAGACTAGCTTCAGCAGCGCTGTCGCTTTGACGTCCATGTCCTGGCTGCGCACCTCGGCCCGACATTCTTTTAGGCTCTTCTGGATGTACTCCTTCTCGTTTCCCTTGTGGTAGCGGAGACCCCGGATGAGATCTAGCAGCGATTTTTCGAACCTGCATGGCAGAAGAGCCGTCACGGTTAGTCCACCGACATTCTGGTCCTAAGAGCAGAAGAACAAAAGAGAAGATCAAGCAGAACAGCGGAACAGCGGAACAGCTAAACAGAACCCAGAAAATGGCCATACATCGTGACTGGGACGTCCGAGGGCCGTCAGCCTCTTCCGCCACCCAATGTCGGTATGTGTTTGTGTTGTGGCCGCCCGGTGCCGTCCGGAAGGCGGAGACAGAAGCTCCCTTCGTCTCGAAAGGAAGCTCAGACGCGAATAGGTAAAAGTGAAGACGGTAAACGAGGCGATAGCCGTGGATCGACATGCATCTTGCGGGCACCCGGCTGTAGTCGTCGATCGGAAAGGACTGAGGCCCGGTCTCGCTCAGATTACGCTGCTCGTTGCCCGTCGGTGGGAGCCAGCGGAGTGTTCATGCAGGAAGCAGCTGTGTTGGAGCATTCGGCGCAGGCGTCGTCCATAATATCGGGAGTAATGACGGCCCCACGCAAAATACAGTGTCGTTAGTGCGTGATCACTCATTACGTATGCGATCCGGCAGCCCTACGCACTGTCCCTCCGGAACAAGCTTCTGCCGTTCCGAGAACTAGGCCTTGGACCGGCTCAGAGTAGAGAACACCTAAAGCTCCTCCGATCGCAAGCTTCCCGGGCCCTCCTGCCACCACTCCACCACTCCACGCGCCGTCCAAGATGGCCCCCTCCCTGCTCCATCCGCCGAGCCGTCTGTCGGCAGCAGAGGCCCTTCTGCTGTCGCAGCGTGCGCCCGCCGTGCTCGACAGCCTTCCCAGCACGGTCAGCTCGTCTATGCTGCAGTCGGTCATCGCGCCGACTGACGACCCCGAGATCTGGATCTCCTACGAGAATCTGCTGCTGTCGTGTCTGCGGACGGGCGACATTGAGTCGGCGCGCGAGAGCTTGCGCCGCCTCGTCGGCCGCTTCGGCGAGAGCAACGACCGCATCAAGGCGCTGGGCGGCATCGTGCGTGAGGCCGAAGCCGAGGACGAGACAGCCCTGCTGGAAGTGCTTAAGAGCTACGACTCTATCCTGAAGGAGGACGACAGCAACATTGTTGGTCTTCCCCCCCGCCAGAACTCTCGGCACACGACGTCTTGCTGACCGCACGCAACAGGCCATCCACAAACGACGCGCTGCCCTATTGCGCTCACTGGGTCGCATCCCTGAGGCTGTCTCGGCCCTGGTGGCCCTTCTGGACTTCACGCCCACCGATGCCGAGGCCTGGGCTGAGCTGTCCGACGTGTACCTATCGCAGGGCATGTACCCACAGGCCGTCTACGCCCTAGAGGAGGTGCTTGTGCTGGCGCCCAATGCTTGGAATGTATGTCTTTCCGTTCCTCCTCTCTCTTCTCGCATGCATATCATTTCCCCCTTTCGGAACAGGCGGCTGACCGATCTGCTGCAGGTGCACGCCCGTTTGGGCGAAGTGCAGTATATGGCTGCAACGACATCTGTCAGTGGCGACGCCGTGTCGCAGCAGAAGTACACGGCCGAATCGTTGAAGCGTTTCAGTCGCAGCATCGAGCTCTGCGACGACTATCTGCGTGGCTATTACGGTCTCAAGCTTGTACGATCACAAAACTCTCCCTCACTTACCACCCTGCAGTGCACGACCAGCACAGAATCAACTGACAAAGCCCATTTCGGTGGCATGCAGGTCACGGCATATGCGATCGAAAATTCTGGAAAATGGCCCAAACGAAGCGTTGACACGGAGGACTTTGCCCTACCGGACACTGCCACCCTGCAGCTGCTTAGTCAGCTGGCGACCGAGAAGCTGTCAGAAATCGTACGGCGCGGTTCTGCAAAGGAACCCCACTGGAGTGGATATGACCAGGCCGAACTTGCAGCAGCACGGAAATTACTCGCGCAGGAGACGGCCTCGACTGTTCGATAATGGTCCTACCATGTAAGAACGGAAAGCAGGAGTGGGGTCCCTTCAGGCAGCCTATCTCTGCCAGGCGTTCCCGATATCGCTTCCGATCTGCGCTCGTTCTTGACCTCTTCCTTTTGTTCCCGCGCACATGCACAGACGATAGTGCGCGTTCCAGTGACTTGACGAGCATGCCGGCGCAGCGGGAGGGTGGAAGTATCGTGCACACCCATCGGCCATCTCCAGGCCAAAAGCGGGCTAGACAGGCGGGAAGAGACAGCGACGGAAGGGATTTGGGGAGGCGAGGAGGCGAGAAGGGACAAGAGAAAGGCCGGAGAGCCGAAAAGGTATCAGAGCCGGGCAATGATAAGGGAGGGGCTGGAGCCAGCGGCCCGGGAGTGCAGCACTTTGGCGTTGGCGTTGGGCTGGTTGGGTTGACCGTTGGGTTCGATCGCTTAAAAATGGCCTGAAGCGGCCCACATAAGCCATTTTCATTCCTTTCCATCTGCACGCCGTCGTATTTATGGCGCCGCCATCTCCCTTCAGTAAGATTTGTGCATCGGACCATGTGCGGTCGCAACCGGTCCTTTCGCGCTCTAGAGTGCGAACAGGAACGATGATTCTCTGCTGCTCGACTGCCTATGCTAATTTTAAATTTCTTGTCGGGTGGACTCCTTCTCACACGGACGTGGCTCCAATGGACAGTGCACAAGTGGGGAGGGGAGGTGAGGCAGAGGAGTCGTAGTATGACTCGTATATGGCCCTGGTCGTCCTCCTCTCGATCCGGTTTTGCCCCTCTCTAGTTCATTTCGTCAGCGCTGCAGTTCGTGCATACGACGTCTCCACGGAGGGGTCTCCTCCCCGTGGGCATGGAGGTTGACCATGCGCCTTGCACCTGGCGTCCCGCCGATTGGGTGGATAAGAAGGAAAAGAGGGCAGGTTGAAGGTGAGGGCTCGGGCAGGACTGCCCAATCGCACGGAGGTCTAGTTTGGAGCGGCGATGCTGGTCCGCTTCATCGTCCGCCTTGTTCGTATTGGTAGTACAAAGTACTATCAGCTTTGAGTAATGTGTCGTGTCGCCGGCGGGCAGGCGGCCGACACAGCTCTCCGATCGTCTGGCAGCAATCCAGCGTGGTGCACACAGTGTCAAGATGCAACGTGCAACACAGGCGGCCAAGGGAGCCGTCGCGCGCGTGTGCAACGTCGCCAACTCGCATTGCATCGCCCATGTCATGAGATGAGGCACATCTTGCACGCAAGCACAAACATACCGGCTCTTGCAGGCTATCCCATGCCGTTCCACTCGTCGTGCGCTGTCAGCCGTCGTCATCGGCAGCACGGCGGGTCTGGAAGGCAGCGATCTCGTCTAGGACGACGGGCCTCTTTTTTGGTTCTTTTTTGGCTAGTGAGTCAACGACCAGAGCGCCGACGTCTTATTGGGCGCGGGGCCTTTGCTGGCACGTGTCTGATTTCCTGGAGGAATGGTCGTACAGAGTAGTGCCCGCTGCTCCATGGCAACCTGCGGCCTAGTGAGCGAGCGACGATGAGGGTCGATGTCTGAGCTGGTCACTGCTCGAGTGGCTAAGAGGCTGCACAGATTTGGTGAGCAGCCTGTGCGAGTAGCCTGCTCTCTGCATATTTAAATCCGGCCTCCACCCCGGGCCTTGTGACCTTGGATCTGGACGGAATCGGGACAGAAAACGGCAGACATAAAGAAGCGGTCTATAGGATTCTGCTTCGAACGGCTCTGCCTTTCTTTGAGCGACAGACAGCGTCTTCCTGTCAGTTGATTCGCCATCGCAATAGCACAACGCCCGATATATATGGCAGCCTGGTCCTGCGGATCAGTTCACCACGGCTGTACGGAGTACTTCGTAACGAAAGAGCGAGCGACAGCACCTACATATGTAAGCTGGTTGTCGGGGCCTTGGAGTTGCCCTTGCTGGCTTGCCCGCTAGCACCGACCCAGCCTAGAGCGGGTTTCAGCGGATAGACTGGCTTGCCGTGTCGACCTCTCTGTGCGCCGTCTGAAGCTGACGACTTATTAGCGTGTTGTTTAAGTTGCGAGCACCAACCTATCAGCAGCTGCCCAGGCGCAAATGCGACCAGTCACGACTGCCCGTTCTATCGAACCCGACCGAAACCCAAGAGAGGGGGGTCAACCAGAAATAATAACAATAATAATAATAATAATACAGCACAGGCACGAGGGGAGTCAACAGAGGACAGAGACGCAAGGAGGGAAGGCACGCCTACTAAATAGCGTCGCTCGACGTGTCGCGCGCCGTGACAAAAGTTCCTCCTTCCCAACTTCCAGCAACGGCCAGCGTCACCGCTCTACGTCCTCTCTGCACGCGTACCCGAGGCCCCAGCCCAACTGGCTGCTCTCTGCTCTCCCATCCGCCGCCTTTTCGCCTTCGCCACACTCACCTACTGCCATCCATTGCCTCGTTACAGCCACGCAAACAGGGTTGTCGTGCGTTGTCCCAGGCTGGTTTCCCATCTCTTGCATTGTAAGGACCTCGCTGCTCTCATCTGATTGGGTTTCTTTGATACCCCTCCCCGTATTCATAGCCCGTAACCCTCCTCACCGCATCGGATTCCACGCACCGTTTTTTTTTCCTCTGCGCCCCCTCTGTGCCCAATCGCCTTCCTGCTCCCAAACTGTGATGCTTTTTCTCCCCACACAATTTTTTCTCCTTCCCTCTCCCGTTGTCCTGGACCCGACTCTCTTAAAACTTCCCGCCGAACCAGACGAAACCCCTCGCCAGCACAGACTTTCCCCTTGGCGAATCGAATCTCGCCCTCTTGTTCCAGCCGCCCTTCTGAGATCTTAAATACTCCCCTGCCTCCGCCTCTTTAAATACGGCCGCTTGTCCTGACATCCTGACCGGCAAATACCGCTGCTAATCGCCGCGTTCGCTCCCTCCAAAAGAACAACCACTAATTCTCACCTCGACTGCTCCAGTCTCTGGTCTACCAACAAACACTATCCTGCCAGTTCCTCGCGCCGGCCCTCGAAACTAGGCAGAACGCGCGACCGCTCAATCGCGCCCTTACACTCACCCTACCCCTTCGTCCGATACGCCCTCCACAAACCCCGTTTTGATCGTTTTCATTCACGTCTGTCGCGTTCCCTGCATACCCAAGATCGCTTCGCAAGTGCAAAACACAGCCTATTCACCTCCCTCCTTGGCCAAGCCTTTGCTCCGACCTTCTCAGTGCAGATTGTCGTGAGTGGAGGGTGTTTCCCGTTACCTTTCCCAATGTCGTAAGTGAGATCGGATACCGATGTGGCAATCTACACTTTGTAGCGGGGGAACCATGTGGGAACAAAACTGGGCAGAGAGCCACATTCTCTTTTTTTTTTTTTTTTCGAACGCAGCGCTGACAGTCCTCCAGCAGACGTCGAACACGCTTTTCCGACCAGCCTTCCACCGGCTCCTCGCAATCCTACGACGGCGAAGACTCGTCCTCCCGCAGCCCAGACTACAGCGACGAAGACGACATAAACGGCACCTTCAACGACGAATACGACGCGGCCGCACCCTCTGCCGCTACTTCGGCCAGCTACCACCAGCAAGACCGGTACCAGAAACCATCTCCTCGAGGCAGCGTCCGCTCGCATAGCCGATACGAACATCAGCGAGTCTCTGGGTACCACGCACCCTCTGTGCCAACCGGAACAATGAGCGACCCATCGGACGACTATCCGCAGTACATGCACCGCACCGGCTACAGTGCGCCGCCGGCAAACAGCTACTACCCGCAGCATGGCGCACAGAGCGCCGCATATGCTCCCAGCCACGGCGGCTACGGCCACTACGGTGGTCGGGGCGGCCAGATGGTCCCCATGCACCAATACAATCCGTTTGCGCCGCACATGGGTGGCAACATGGGTAGTAACATGGGGGGCTCGATGGGGGGAAATATGGGAGCCGTGATGGGGGGCGGTATGGGGGCCGCTATGAGGGGTGCCATGGGTGCCAGCTCTGCCCTAAACTACTACAGCGACCCGCGTACGTCCAATCACGACATGATCCCATTCCAGCAGCAACAGGGCTTTTACGGAGGCGGTCCCGGCTATGGCCTTCCGATGCAACCCTACATGTTCGGAAATCAGCACCCACCCCCACCCGAAGTACCGGCTGCTACTACCCCAGCTCTGCCAGAAGAGAAGAAGCCCGACCCGGAAGTGGAGCGGATAAAGGAGCAGTTGAAGCAGCTGCAGGCGGAGAAGGAAGCCAAGGAAGAAGCCGCTCGGCGTCAGCAGATGGAGGACGCCATCCGGCAGACCGCACAGGCCGAATTTGCACGGCAACTAGAGGCCTCGAACAAGGAGCGTGAGGAGCAGGCCAAGGAGCTCGAACGGGCGAAGAAAGAAGCAGACCGCCTGGCGCGTGAACGGATGGAAGCCGAGAAAAGGGCGGATGAGGAGAAGCGGATACAGCAAGCCGAATCGATAAAACGCATCGAGATGGAGGCCCGGGCCAGAATGGAGGCCGAACGCCGAGCTGACGAGGAGCGCAGGAAGCGGGAGGCCGAGGTGGCGGCACGGGTAGAACAAGAAGCCCGGTCCAAGATTGAAGCTGAACGTCGGGCGGAAGAAGAGCGGAGGAAGAGAGAAGCAGAAGTGACGGCACGGGTGGAGCAGGAGGCTCGATCGAGAATAGAAGCCGAACGCCGTGCCGACGAAGAGCGAAGGAAGAGGGAGGCCGAAGTAGCAGCACGGGTGGAGCAGGAAGCGCGAGCCAAGGTCGAGGCAGAACGCGTGGCCGAGTTGGAGCGAAGGAAGAGAGAAGCAGAAATGACGGCACGGGTGGAGCAAGAGGCGCGATCCAGGATGGAGGCCGAACGCCGTGCCGACGAGGAGCGGAAGAAGAGAGAGGCCGAGGTAGCGGCACGGGTCGAACAGGAAGCACGGGCCAGAGTGGAAGCCGAGCGGCGGGCTGAGGACGAGAGGCGGAAGCAAGAGGCTGAAGTGAAGGCACATCTCGAGCAGGAAGCCCGAGCCAAGATGGAAGCCGAACGGCGGGCACAGGAGGAGCGGAAGATACGTGAGGCGGAAATCGCGGCGGCTGAGGCAGCAGCTCTGAAGGCGCGAGTGGAAGCAGCGGAAGCGGCAGCCAAGGCCAAAGCAGCAGCCGACTTCAAGGCGGAACAGGAGGCCAAAGAGGCGGCGGAGAAGAAGGCGGCGGAGGAGGCAGCATACCGGAAGAAACTCGAGGACGAGGCCAAGCTGAAGGCCGAGATGGAAGCTCTCAAGAAGTTGGAGGAAGAGAAGAAGGCAGCCGAGGAAGCGCGGCTAGCAGAAGAGGCGAGGAAGAAGGCAGAGAAGGCGATGAAGGAAAAGATGATGGAGGAGGCGAGGGCAAAGATGGAGGAAGCGGAAAAGAAAAAGGAGATGATGCCGGTCAAATTCAAGGATGCGCTTGGCCGCAAGTACAGCTTCCCGTTTCACTTGTGCAAGACCTGGCAGGTACGTCGCACCGTCTTTTTCTCTCCCACACACACATGGACGAAAGGGATGCTAACCTGATGCTGCAGGGCATGGAAGAGTTGATCAAGCAGGCCTTCATTCAGGTGGAGTTCATCGGCCAGCATGTGCAGGAGGGACACTACGATCTGATCGGGCCGGACGGAGAGATCATCCTGCCGTCGATCTGGGAGCGGGTGATCCAGCCGGACTGGGCTGTGACGATGCAGATCTGGCCAATGGACAAGATGCCGCCTCTTCGTCGGCCTGGCGTGCCAGGTGCGGTGCCGCCTCCTGGAGTCCCCGGACATCCCGGACATCCCGGACATCCCGGACATCCCGGACACGGTCAGGCTGCTGCACCGGCTAATGGTGTCCGATACCCGATGGCTGGCGGGATGGGGCGCGGCGTGCCCATGCCGTTCCGACCGGGGATGGTTCCCGCCGGTGCCGCAGGTCCAGGCCGGGCTGCAGGGCCAGGGCCGGCACAACAGTGGCCCATGGGAGTCCCTGGCCAGATGCCACAGGTTGTGCCGCAACCTGGGCAGCGGGCCCATGTTGTCAACGGTGATGGGTCCCGACACCACGACAAGAAGAAGTCGAGCTCCAAGACAGCGGGCACCCTGCTCGCATTCATGGGCGGCAAGCCGGTCAAGGTCAAGAAGTACGTTTCCCGTTTCCCGATTTCCTTCTATGCAAGGCAGCAGCTCTAGACAGACCCGAACTAACGGATGGTGTCTCCAGGCGCAAGTAAAGCGATGGGCTCGCATTCTGTACGATCTGCCACGATGGCTCGTCTTGTATTCGACAATGTCGCGGCTAAAGTCCAGCTGCTTCATCGTAGGCTTTCTTTTCTGCTCCTGTTGGCCGTCTTTGGATATCCCCACTATTCCTTTGTCTCTGGTTTCCTGTTTATCTGTTTATGCTGTGTGACGGTTATGCTTACGCTTACGCTTACGTTTACGTTTGTTTTATTATTGTTTGACGTCTGTTGCCTTTGCCATGTTTGCTTCTGCTTTTGCTTCCATCTAGAGCGTTTCGGATTGCCTCATGCATGCACTTTGGACGGAGTATGACGAGTGAGGGCACAGGATTGGGGCCGGGGAACAGGACAGGAGGCAACGTTGTTTTGGCTACAGTCACCGGCTATCAAAACGGACACCATATGCGAGCTTGGGCATATGGACATGCAAGATGCAAGATGCAAGGAGGGCGTTGCTTCTTGGGGGGGCCTGTTTATGCTCGTGTTCACTCTCCCATTTTCTGTCCTCGGGCCTAATCCCCAAATTAATTGAGAGGTTTTTGATGCTATTTTAGAGGAAATACAGAAACATATTAGTCTATTTTGAGCCACCGACAATCACAGCTTGGTCTGCCGGGAGTCCAGGACGGCTCTTGCGCGGTCTTCAAACGCGGCGATCATCTTGGTGGCCATCTCATCGCCGACCTGAGCGGCGGCAAGCTGGTAGAGCGGGTTGCGGAACTGGAAGCGGATACGGAGCTCCACGCGGCTCCAGGACGACACGGCAGCCGCAGCGGGCGGCAACGGCTGTGATTGTAGCTGTGACTGTGACTGTGACTGTGATTGTGACTGTGATTCGGCACTGGCGAGCGGAACGACGGTCCAGCGGGTGACGAGGCTCTCAAACGGGTCATCCTGGGAGGAGTGAGCGGGATTGGGCGCCACTTTGGCCTCGTCGGCCTCCTGCCTCTCCTGCAGTCCGATCTCAGCGCGCTCGTCTTGCGTCAGCGTAGGCCTGCCGCGTGATCCCGACACGGCCTCGACGATGCCGCGGCCGGGAAGGCAGTAGACGTGCGACGAATACGTCTGGGCGAGGGGGCCCCAGCCGACGGTGAGATCAGCACGAGCGGGCCATGACGTTGTCGCGTCCTCGCCCCCCGACCTCCACCGCGTCACCCGGCTCTGCGTGCAGTGCGGCAGGAAGGCAGCATAGGCGTCGACGTCGGCAATGAGGCGGAAGAGATCACCGGCGGCAAACGGCAGCGTGCGCGCAGTCGTGAGCGTGTGAGCGGCGTGGGCTGTATGGGTTTGGCCGAGCGCGGCGGCGGCCAGCTGGAAGAACGACCGGCTGCCGTGGCCCTGTGTCGAGCAGCGCGGCCAGGTAGCCGGCCCCCGGCAGCGGCACCAAGCCCGGATGGGAGTCGCTGCCGCCATGGCGCTGCGGCTGGAAAAATCTCGAGACGGTGGCTCTCGTACTTTCCGTGGTTTCTGTGCTTCTATAGTTCTTTCTGTGCTCTCGTTCGCACAGTCCTGTCGCTGGCATTCTTGCTCACGCAGACACGGCGGGCACTGCTAGCATCGTCCAGATCCGTCTCCGGAGACCATCCCTGCTTGTGGGACATGCAGCAAAAAAAAGGACCAAAAAGCGCCGGTGGGGCACAGCCACACTGGATGCAGCACCAGCCACAACCTGGCGGACTATATGAACGCGCTTAGATCGTCTCGACAGAATTTTTTTTCTCCCACAAATAAAATTTGCTTATACTGCGGCGACAGAAAAGCAGCTGGGTGAGAAAAGGATCCCTTCCTTTTTTTCGCCCCTCCTCCGTCCTGGCCCATCATGCTTCTGTGCCGGAACGGTGTCTCGTCTGATGCGATCCGATAGCATACAGGCCCAGGAAAGGAATGCAGAGACGAACAAGTACTTTTCTTGACTCATTCCTGGAAGAAGCAAGACCCAATCTCCCCAAAAAGCACTTATCTTTTTGAAACAATGGCAGAACAGGCTGTGCCCACGGCCATTGCTGCCGAGGACGAGGCTGCTAAGGCGGTCGCGTCTCTCACGATCGGCGGAGAGAACGTTGAGAAGGATGCTGCTCATCGGTCTCACGATCCCAGCAGCAACCAGAAGCGGACGGACCCGTTCATGTTTGGCCAGCGGTTCCTCACAGAAGAGGACAACGTGTTTGAGTACAACGCGTGGGACCATGTCGAGACGGACGACGCATTCAAGGAGTATGCAGAGAAGCAGTACGAGCTGCAGCGGCAGTCACCGGTGTCTGACTTTGACAAGAGTATGTTTACTCCTTTCTTTTCACCAATGCCTCTCCCGACTTCTATGATGATTTGCACCAATAAGCATAGTTCATCTGATTTCATGATGACAAAACGCAACCATCGTCTTTCGCTCCCATCTGATTAGATTGTCACCACTCTTTACATGTTCTCCATTGCCTTTTCTGCTTTGCAATCGGTCTTGCTGACACATCTACTCCATCAGCTCGTTTCAATGGCGACCCGGCCAAGTGGTGGAATCTTTTCTACAAGAACAACACGGCCAACTTTTTCAAGGACCGCAAGTGGCTGCAGCAAGAGTTCCCCATCCTAGACCGTATGTGTGAGCCGGACGCCGGCCCGTCCACCATTCTCGAGATCGGTGCGGGTGCGGGCAACACGGCCTTCCCCATCCTGAAGCGTAACCAGAACCCACAGCTGCGGATCCACGCATGCGACTATTCCAAGACGGCCGTGCAGGTGATGCGCACGCACGAGGCGTACGACACCCGCTTCATGCAGGCCGACGTGTGGGACGTCACGGGCACGGGCGAGCAGTCGCTGCCGCCCGGCCTCGCGCCAGCGTCGGTCGATGTGGCCATCATGGTCTTTATCTTCTCGGCGCTGGCGCCGGGGCAGTGGGAGCAGGCTGTGGCCAACGTGGCGCGCGTAGTGAAGCCGGGCGGTCTCGTGCTCTTCCGCGACTACGGGCGCGGCGATCTGGCCCAGGTTCGCTTCCGCAAGGGCCGGTATCTGGAAGAGAACTTTTACATTCGTGGCGACGGGACGCGGGTGTACTTTTTTGAGCAGGACGAGCTGGTGAAGATCTGGACAGGAGTGGGAGGTGCAGAGGATGGGGATGAGTCTGAGTCTGACGTAGGCAAGACGGCCGGTCTGTTTGAGCTCGAGAAAATGGGCGCAGACCGGCGACTGATTGTCAACCGGGCGATGAAGCTCAAGATGTACCGCTGCTGGCTGCAAGGACGCTTCCGCAGGCTATAAAGCGTAGCCAATGGGAAACTCAGGCAGTACGGCGTATGTGAAGAGACGATCAGATGGCAGGTGTACAAACTCGTGGTGACTAGACTGCGTCGTAATGGGCCCACATTGACTCGGCGAAGCTGGTGACGTTAGTCAGCCTGGCGAGTGCCCTTTGTTTGGAGGCTATGTAGAAGAACGTCTCGTATATGCCAAAAAGTGGGTCTGCAAAATTGTGGGCATGGCAGGGGCGAATGACGTCGTTGCCCGGCCCCTCTTCGACAGCAGGTCTCGCGAGGTGGTGGTCTCGGGCAGCTGAGTCGAGGCCTGCGCCTTCCTCCCTTGGGGATAGCGATGGGTGGTGACGTCGTCGCTGTCGGCGTGCTGTTTGTTCGCATAGCTTTCTTCGATTGTGAGCAGCACGAGCTCGTCAGTCTCTTGTCTCTTATTTTCCTCCGTTTCCTCCATCCCCGTCTCTACTGCTTTGTGTCTCTTGTTTTACTCCATACACTTCTCCACATGTTCGTATCGCTGCCGGTGCTACAGGGTACCGTCGAGTTCCATCACTGCTATCTGACTGAATCAATCTGACACGTTCTCTTCCGGGGGCTGACTGCCAATCACGAGCTCTCACGGACCTCCTTTGGCTGGAGCAGCTGCAGAGAGAAACGCAACGCAGGCGGGTCCCAATCTCGTATTTGCGATGCAGAACCAGCAGCAGAGCCACCGTCGTCAGCCAGGTAGGTCAAGGCTTTTTCTTTTCAGATCCTGCTGCACGACTACTTGAACTGCAAAGATCCTCTTGGAACACAAGACTGACCACTTTTTTACGCCTGTATAGAACTTTCTGGCCGGCTTGTTTATGCTGATGCGCGCAGCCTGCCGTCATATCCGTCTGCAGGCCTGAAAGACGACAGCACAGCTGCCAGCATCGCGGCCGCCATCGGCTGGAAGAGCCAGCTGCAGTCGCCCAGCGACGGTACGGCCTCGCCGCCGCCGAGCCGTCCATCGAGCACGCCGGCGAACGCAGACTCGCTCAAGGCAGCCACCACAGCAGCCTCAGCAGCCGCAGCTGCTCTGTACCAGCGGCCGCCGTCAGCCAGCCCGGACCCACCACCAGTGCCGGTGCCCGTGATTGTAGAGCTGCCGGGATCGTCAGACGTCGGCAGCACGGCCGGATCATCGATGGCTGCAGCCACGGCAGCCATTGGGTCTGCCACCAGTCGCCACCGGCGCACGGCCAGCGGCGACTCGGCCATCTCGCCATCGAGCAGCGCCGTTTCGGCCAAGCGGACTGCCTGGGGCAATTCGGCAGCCAATCACGCGTTCAAGAACAACAACGGCAACAACGGCAGTAACAGCAACGACAACGGTGTGTCTCCGGCACGGCCAGTCACCGGCAAAGAGCCGTCGTTGCACGCGGCCAAAGGAGCGATGAAAGCGGCACCACAGCAGCAGCCGCAGCAGCGGGCGCGACACCGCAAGAGCTACTCGTCGCACTATCCGGACGGCACAACCACGATGACGCCGGAAGCGGCCAACGCGCTCTCGGCTGCCACGGCTGCGAGTGACCGATTCAGCTTCGTGGGTGAGGCCGGAGCTGTGCCGTACACCAAGATGGACAGGCAGATGTTCACAGCGACACCGCCGGTGGCGCTGGAAACCGAGGACAAGAAGCACAACGACATGCTGCAGGCGTCGGCGGTGGAGATGGCCCGACGCATGTACAACCCGACGGCCGAGAAGGGCGACAAGGGCACGACAGCGGCAGCGGCACCGTTCACGTCGAGGCTGCAGGAAGAGGCGTACAGGCTGGCGCAGGTGCGATTGGAGAAGCTCAATCAAGAGCACCAGAAGAACCGGGACTACCGGGACCACTACGTGGACCCGAAGCCAACGTCGTCAGCCGACGGGGCTGACTCGGACGGGCGATCGTCAACGACGATGTCGAGCCGATTTGCGGTGCGCAGCCGCCTGCAACGACGGCGTCGGGCGTCGAGTGACAGCGAGGTGGTGCCGGAGCAAGTGTCAGAGCGAGTGTCGGAGCAGCGGCAGCCATCAACGGACCTACGCGGCGCGGCCGAGGTGGACTATGACAAGCGGCGACGGGACCGGCAGTCGGTAATGGCAGCAGCCCAGCGCAACGTGCGAGCACAGCTGCACGATATTGACGAGCAGGTGTACGCGAACACGGGCAGAGTGCGGCCGTCGTTGCGGACGACGTGGGAGCACAAGGCGGCCAGGACGGCACAGGCGCGCAGCGATGCTCGACTGGACGCACAACCGCTGGCCAGCGAGGTCGATTTGGGCGGTGGGCGGTTCATGGCGCGCTCCGAGGTCGAGCGGATCGCGGCCGCGCGCGTGCAGCCGCTGCTGGATGAGATCAACGACAAGGCCGAGCAGGAGCGCGAGCGCCAGGCCGTGCTGAAGCAGGACGAGCAGGACCGCAAGGACGAGGCCCAAGAACTCAAGGCACGCGACAAGGAGATGAAGGGAATGTACGTGCGGCTGAAGCGGGAGGACAAGGCGGCAAAGAGGGACAAAGGCAGTGAGCGAGCACGGGACGGCAGTGGTATCGATGATGACGATGACGACAACATCAACAACGACGACAACGAGGCCGAGCTCATGACGGCTGCCGCGAGCGATGGCGGGCACTTGTCGCCGTCCGTGTCGTCACAGGTATCGCCGACGTCACCGACGTCGCCCACATCGCCAGGACGGCTGTCGAAGCTGTTTGCGCGAACATCGAGACTGCAGAGCCGCAAGGCTGTGGCGGCCGAGGAAGTCCCAGTTACGACGTCTACAACGTCAGCTGCTGTGGTCCCGGCGGCTTCTGTGGTCCCAACTACCCCGACAGCTCCGGCAGCCCTGGTTGAGTCTGCAGACCTGAGCCCGGCAGCGGTTCCTCGCCTCGAGACAGAAGTCCCAGACGAGACCGGAGAAGGCCAGGCCCCGGAAGAGGTGTCGCCGCAATCGCCACAGTCGCCGCAGTCGGATGCATCGTCGTCGGGCAATCCCAAGGCGCGCGTCAAGAACTGGATCAAGACACGCTTCGCACGGCCGCGAGCCAAGTCGACCGTTTCGGCCACCTCAGCCACCGAAGGCTCTCCCTCCACCGAGCGTGCCTTCATCGGTGGCCACACCCTGACCCAATCCGGGGCAGCATCCACGACCGCAGTCCATCCTACTGGCTCTCCCGTCACGCCTGCTGTCGCTGCTGCCCCGGTGCATACGCCTCCGTTGCAGGCTACCATCCTGCCGGCCATTCCGGTAGATGGCAGCAGCCTGGCGACTGGTTTTGGGGTCGGGACCGTCGAAGCCATCGGAGCCGTCGGGACCGTCGGGACTGCTGCAGCAGTCGGTCTGCCGAGACAGGTCGAGAATGGCGAGAATGAAGCAGACGTGTCCGAAATGTCCCCACACGAGAGGCAGCAGACCAGCGACGGGACCGAGAAGACGACAGTTGGCCAGAACACCCTGGCTGCCGAGACGCAACCGGCTGGTGGCAATAGGTCCAGCTGGGACAGTCACGGAGGCTCCAGCAGCATCTACAGCGCTGCTGCTGCTGCTACTGCTGCTACTGCCGCGACAGACAAGACGGACGGCGGCGAGCCACTGCATCCGCCCGTGCTGACAGCCGAGCAGGGCGAAGACAATGGCGCCGTGGAGAGCGTGGAGCGCAGTGTGTCGCCCCTGTCGGTGCCTCGAAGCATCCGAAATTTGGCGGCAAACAAGAGCGTCAGTCCGGTGCGCGACTCGCGCTTCTTGGAGGACTTGCACGAAACTGCTTAGGTGTGTGCTGACTAAGCCATATGATTGGTACGTTGGAGGTTGGTAGGTTGGTAATTGGTTTCAGATTGGTTGGTTAGTTGGTCGGCTGGTTGATCGGTTTTGTTGGTTGATGATCTGTTTGATTCCCACCTTGCTTTACACTCATTTGGTTTCAGGTGTTTGGATGAGGAGAGATGGGTTATGAGGATATCCCGGATTATGTCCTGTTATTGTATATTTCTATCTATCTTACAAGGGCCTTGTCACAGCCAATATGAATATGTAAAAGATTAGTCGAATATGTGGCATAGTATGATGAGGAGTCGAAGTATTCGAATGTGTCGAAGTAAAAATCAAGTAATTGTCGGTACATGTACCCGTATGCATCACCATGTTCATTGTCAATCACCATGCCATCTACATGGTCCCCGAAAGCTCATGTCGGTGTCTGTAAGCCCGACCAGGCTCAAAGGTGTTGCCGTTGCCGGCGGCGTAGTCAGCAGCGTAAGAGTCCTGCTGAACACGTGACGAGCGAGAGGCTCGAGTAGCACGAGCCGCACTCTGGCCATAGGCGTCGTGCATCTCGGCAGGCGCTTCCGAGTCGACGGGGGCAGAAGCAGCAGCAGTGTTGGTATTGAGGCTAGCGAGGCGGACGGGATTGGATTCGGGACCAGCGAATTCAGAGTCGCCGACGGTCTCGGCAGCGCTCTTGGGCGGCAGGCCGTGACGGGTGTGGACAGCCGGATAGAGGTCGACAGCGAAGGAGAGGACGTAGAGGGTGAAGACGTAGGCGATGACCCACTCGATGACAGCGCCGCCATTGGGCGAGTGGGTAAAGGTGAGGCAGACGTAGACGATGGCGAGGACGAGCTCGACGAGGATGAAGGCGAGCTTGACGCGAAAGGAAGCACGCAGGATAGGGACGGCGCGGTTGTGGCGGCCGAGGCGGTGAAACTCGCAGCAGGCGCAGATGGCGGCGAGCACGTAGCCGGCGAGGAAGAGCAGCAAGAAGCCGTCGTGCAGGCGCTTGTGATGGGCGACGTCAAAGACGGACAGCAGGATGAGGCCGGCGGTGCCGGCGAGGGCAAAGCCGATGGCCAGCACGGCCAGCAGCTTCTGGCCGGTGCTGCCGTTCGGAGTCAGGCGGCCGCGATGACGCAGCCAGCGGTCGGCCACAAAGGAGAGGTCCAGAAAGGCGGTCGTGACGCAGCAGAGCGCGATGAAGACGGGCTTGAAGCGCGGCGATGCGCCCACGTCGCTGATGTAGGCCACCGACTGGCTCGCCTTCATGTTGGCATAGTGCTCGCGGTGTGTCCCGACGGTCCAGCCGATGAGCATGCCGAGGAGCATGCCGAGCCACGACAGCCCCGAGACGACCGGGAGCATCTGTCAGGGGTTAGCACCGCCCGAGGATGGGAGGAGAGCGAGAGCGAGACGGGCAGCCGAGCCGAACAGAACACACGTACCCAATACGAAAACCCATACATGGCGATACGATGACAGATACACGATACACGCACCCACGATGCTGCGACGGTAGGATGAGTCCAGGGGAACGAGCCAGTGGCCCGACCATCGCTCGCCTGCTTGGGATGTTGACAATTCTTGGCGCGGTGACGTCACGCTGCATTGCACGTGCACGTGAGGAGAAACGTACGACGTCACGGCCATCTGCACAGCCACACACACAGCCACATGTGCGCCTCGTTCATCACGCAGCCACATGCAGCGGCAGGCTTGAGGGAGCTCCGAACCAGCAAGCCAAGATGAGTGCGTCGCCGCTCCTCGCGATCCCGACCGACACGCTGCACAAGTCGACCTCGCCGGCGGCTGCGGTGCGGTCGCCGTCGGGGCTGCCGTCGCGGCCGTTGACAAACGACAGCATGGCTGCAGGAGGACGTGGGACAGCGCCAGCACGACGAGCCATCCCGATGGACGTGGCCGAGCGGCTGAACGAGGAGGAGAAGAAAAAGTACATCAAGGGTGGGTGTCTACTCCTGTCTACTCTACTCCTCCTATCTTCTCCCCTGCTAACATCTCCAGGAAAGGAGCTTGGCGAGGGCACGTACGCGGTCGTGTTTGAAGGCCGTCTGCGCACAGACCCGACGCAGCTGGTGGCCATCAAGAAGATCAAGGTGCAGAAGGAGTACAGCGACGGGATCGCGCCGGATGCGGTGCGGGAGATCAAGTTTTTGCAGGAGCTGCGCCACGCCAACATCATCCGGCTGCACGGCGTCTACAGCACGCGCGACCAGAACCTGCATCTGGTGCTGGAGCACTTGCCACGCGGCGATCTGGAGATGCTGATCCGCGACACGGCCGACATCCGCTACGGCGCTGCCGACATCAAGGCCTGGATGGGCATGTTGTGTCGTGCCGTCGCCTTCTGCCATGACCGCGCTGTGCTGCACCGCGACATCAAGCCCAACAACTTGCTCGTCGCTGCTGACGGCGCCCTCAAGCTGGCCGACTTCGGCCTCGCTCGCGCCTGTGCCGATCCCTATCGCCCCATGACCGCCAACGTGATCACCCGCTGGTATCGCCCCCCGGAGCTGCTCTTTGGCGCTCGCCACTACACCGGCGCCGTCGATGTCTGGTCGGTCGGCCTCGTCTTCGCCGAGCTCGTCATCCGCAACCCCTATCTGCCCGGCAATACCGAAGTCGAACAGATCGCCCTCGTCTGTCGCGCTCTCGGCACCCCGACCGAAGACAACTGGCCCGGTGTCTCCCGCCTCGACGCCTATGCCGTGCCCACCGATCGCGTCTATCCCGTGCCTACGCGCGACGTCTTTCTCGGCCCCTTTGGCACCGTTGGCCCCGACGGCGTCGATCTTCTCATGCATTCCCTCGTCCTCGATCCACGTCGCCGCATCTCCGCCCGCGGCATGCTCCAGCACCCCTGGTGGCACGTCGACCCACGTCCCACCCCCATCCAGGACCTGCCTCGCCGTCATGTCCCGTCCGAGAAGGACCGCGAGCGCATGGCTGCCGATCTGAAGCGGCGTCCGGGTGTCGAGGATGACCGGGGGGCCAAAGTAGCCCGACGACTCGATTTTGGGAGGAAGTGAGACGGAAGAAGACGACGGGGCGGACCAAAGGTATGAGATTTCTAAGAATAAAGAACGAAAATAGAACAAACAGAAGAAATCAAAAAGAAAGGACATCAGAAAACAAAAGACAGTCTGACACCCTTAATTGCATAACATGAATCCAATTCGCCCCGCTATATGAATGCTCGCTGTATGCAAATATGGCTCGTCATCCTACATGCTTCATGGCCACGCCTCCCCTACATCACTGCACACTCCAGCCCGTACATTGCCCGTTCCACATCCCGCTTCACCTGGTACCAGTCAGCTCGCCGTTCGGCAAACTCGTACACCTCCTCTGCCCGGAACACACCGCCAAACCGGTCGTTGTCCGCAATGATCACCGCCATCTCCTTGGCGTGGTGCTTGGCGTCGATCAGGTACAGCTGACTGAGCTCGCGCAGTGCCCGGAAGTATGCCAGCAGGTCCGTGTTGCGCAGCGTGCGCACATAGTCGAAATACAGCGTCATATCCGCGATCACGTGCACAGCACCCGCCATGCTAATCCGCTGCCGCTTAAGATGCTTGCATACAGCCGTGAAGAGCCGCAGCCCAACCTCGCCGTTGAACACCTCCAGCATCGTCTTCTCTGTGCTGCCTTTGAGCATGTTGGTGTGTCCACGCACGAGCTCGACCACCCGCAGAGCCGTCCGCGTTGGCCCAATGTCCAACACCGCCGACGTGCTGCCACCCGAGCCACCAGTCGATGCCGAAGCCGAAGCCGAAGCCGACGCAAACGCCGAATTCCCAGATCCCGATCCTGCCCCGGAGCCAGAGCTTGCTGCCGCCGCAAATGCAGAGAATTCGCTTCCTGCCGGCGATGATGCCCGCTTCGACTTGGGCGTCGACGCGCCCGCTGACGTCCCGCCACCCACACCGCCGATCACGCTGGCCCGCGCCCCGTTGAGCGAGAACAGAAAGCCCTCGGCCACCGCATCAGCCGCCTCTGGGTAGTAGTCCGTCGGCTTCTGCGTCGTCGCGCAGATGTACTCCACCTCGTCCATCAACACGTCGATGCCCTTGTTCAGACCGGCTGCCACGCTCTCGTCGATCATCTGCTCAAACCGCTTCTTGGCCAGCCCGGCCGCGTCCAGAAAGTCGTTGCGGTCCGCAATCTTCGGCCCTGCCAGCTGCTGCTCGTAAAACACGTCGATCATCTGTGAGATCAGGTCGCCCACGTTGACCAGCTCGATAAACGTCATCAGCGGAGCCACACCTCCCGTGTCCTTGGCTTCGCTGACTTCGCCTGAACCTGTCCCCGTCACGGCCCCGGTTCCACTCCCGCTCTTGCTTCCGCCAGAACCGCCTGCCCGTGGATTGTACTGCGACAGATGCTCCACCGCCCGGTCAAATCCTTGCTTCACGTGACCGTTGCCTAAAACCCGCAGCAGCTCCACAAAGATGGCTGAACACTGCTCGCGCGCTTCGCCGCCTGCCCGTCCGTCCAGCTGCACAAACACCGCTGCCCGTCCCAGGCCCATCTTGGCCGTGTGCACCAGGTTGAGCGCCATCTCAATGCTGAAGAGCGACCGGATGCCCTCCAGCCGCGTCGCCATCAGCGCTGCTTTGGCCGCCAGCTCGTCGTCGGGCGCCTTGTCCGGCAGAGACTTCATGTTCACTGCCGGAACCGGTGTCGCCGTTCCCGATGACCCTGGTGTTGATGCTGCTGTCGCTGCTGCTGCCGTGCTGCTTGTGTGTGCAGAGCTGCTGTTGCTGCTGCCTCCCAGCAGCTGGCCGGGCAACACCGTCACCGGCATCATCACCACCTTCTTGAACGAGCTCAAAAAGTCCTTCTTCACCTCCTGCCGGTTGAAATTGGCCATAAAGAACGACTCGACGCTGGCGTCCTGCTCCGACAGCTTCTTGTCCCAGTCACCCACCTCCTTCTCCGCGTTTTCCCGGAAAAAGTCCAGCTCCTCCTGCAGGTAGAGGTCGAGATGCGGCTCAAACGTCTTGTATGCCATCTCCTTGGCCTTCCGCACACGTCCGCGCACCGTCCAGCCGTCGGTATCGTCCTCGGCTTCGACCTTGATCACCTCGCCGAGTCCGCCGAGACTGCCGCCACCGATACGACCATACAGACTCCGCGTCTGGTCTGCTCTCTTTGATCTGCCATTCATGGCCGCCGCTTGGGCACTGCCTGCTGTTGCTGTTGCTGCCTTCGCTGCCGTCGTCGCTGCTGCTGCTGCTGCTGCTGCTGCTGCCGCTTCCGCCTCCTTCTTCTCGGCCTCGGCGCCCTTGGGCGGCTCAAGCGCCTGGAAGAACTGCAGGCACTGCTCAAACAGGCCCGACACCGCTGTTAGGTAGGCCGCCATGCTGCGCTCGTGCGTCTCGTCCAGCAGCGGCGTGATGTACTCCATCACAATGTCCTCGCGCACCTTGTCGACAAAGGCCCAGAACACCGTTGCTGGCCGCGGGAAGATCCGTCCGATCATCACGCCTTGCTCGTTGACCTTTTCCGCCAGTCGTCCAAAGAACTGCCGCGATGGCTCCAGCGTGATGATGTCCTCCACACCCGACTGACCCGAAGCGCTCGCTGCATCCCCCCAGACTGCCGACGATGCCACCGCTGCTGTCGCTGCTGCCGCCGCCGGCGCCAGTCGAAGGCACTCCATGTCGTTGCTAGCCGCCACTTCGCGGTCCGAGAAGAGCGGGTGCTTGTGGATGAAGAGGTCCACACCCGCCTTGCTGCCGTTGAGCACGTCTAGCACGCTGGCGTATTTGTTCATCCGACCGTCCACGTCCCAGAACTCGTAGCCCTGCTCAAACTCGCGCAGCACCGCCGCCTCAAAGATGCCCACCATCGTCGCCAGCCGCTCCTCACGCAGCCGCCAGCCCTGGGCCCAGTCGCTGTGCGCGAACCGCTGCAGATTCGCCAGCATCCTCGCCTGTCGCTCCGGGTCGCGGAACACCTTGAACACCGCCGGGTCTGCGTGACTCTTGGCCCGCACCAGGTCATAGAAGAACGGCGCTAGTGCCCCGTACACCCGGCCATACTCCTCGCGCGCATGCCCGCGGATGCTGCGCACATTTTTGAGCACGTCCAGCAGTGCCTCCGTGTCCTGCAGCGGGTCTGTCACCGCCCGCTGCGGCTGCTGCTTGTCTGCTGTTGTTGCTACTGCTGCTGTTGCATGGGCTGTCTGGCTGCCAACTCCCTCGATCGCCAGTGTCTCGAACCCGTCACGAACCTGTCCCAGTTTCTGCTGCTGCTGCTGCTGCTGCTCTTGTTGTTTCTGTCGCAGCACGAGCAGCTGTTTTCGCCGCTCCTCTTCGAGCGGAGCGTCAAACAGCATCGTGCTGCCGCCGACACTTCTCCCTCCAGCCCTGGCTGCCCCAGATGGCAACACTCCACCTCCGCGGCCAACCATTCCTCTTGCTATAGCAAGACCGCCTGCTGCTGCTGCTGCTGTCGCCGTATCGCGCCGCCGCCGGACCAGTGCCTCCTCAAACCGCCGCCGTGCCTCCACTTCGTTCCAGCATCCCATGCTCTGCAGCCGGGATACCCACCGGGTGTCGTCGTAGACCATCTCGCGGAACAGATGGCTGACGCGGGCGAAGCGCATCAGGTCTGGCACGGGAAGGTGATCCAGGATGGTGAAGAGTATCTCTATACCGACAGAAGAATATGGATCAGCTTGGAGACAACGAAACAGCTTCTACCTGCCAGCTACTGACCTGCTGGCAAGACGCTCTTGTTGTCGATCTGCGTCGCCTGGAGCACGCCCAGGATCCCGCTGTTCCGGAATCCGCCACCCGAGCCCACCTGGCGGCCGCCACCATTGTAGTTGTATGAGGACATAGCTCCTGTTGTGACTGGGAGCTGAACAAGTTGAGCAGAAAATCAGGAGAAAAAGCCACACGAGCTTTGCCACGTGCTTGCTTAACAGTCATTCGCAGAGATCACGGCGCATAGGCAATGCGGCGCGAGGGATGCCACAACCAACGCCAGATCATCGGATTGTGTCCTGCCCTGTGGTCCAGCGATGATGATCGATGCAGGTGGTCGTGATGTCGAGGAGGTGAGAGCACTGAGGTGTTTGCTTAGTTCGCCATGTAGCGGTGGTGCGGTTAACATAAACCAGCCAGTCAGCTATCACAGTGGGGGAAGGGCCCAATATTTAGAGCCTAAATGTACGGAGTAAGGCAGGCGCAAGGGGTTCTGGGGTCCCGCAACACGGTTGCAACTGCCATCTCGTATTGCCCCTGTCGACCCAGCTGGCAGCTGTTAGCAGCTGCTCCAGAACCACTTTCTCCGTTTGTCTCTCCACTGTAGAATTGTGATATGGGTTGTCTACTCCGTTTATCCTCTGTACATGCACCACTGCCGTCCTGCCTCATCATTCCTGCCTCTCCTCTGCAACGCTGGCCAGGAGATGCCGCCGCACTAATGCATTGTTCTGCAGCTGCTCTTCATCCGCCGCCTCCGTCGCTGCAGCTGACCGCCGCGCCGAGCTGCCAAAAAGACAGTTCCACAGATCGGCCTTGGCCACCTCCTCACCAGCCATCTTGTTCTTACTCATCAGCTTCGACAGCTGCGCCTGCTGCATCTCCAAAGAGTTGGCCAGCTCCAGGTTTCGGTCCAGAAGCTCGGGCGTCGACTCGGCCGACTTGCCGCGTAGATTCCGTCCCATGTGTTCCATCCGTCGCTGCACCGACAGGTTGTAGATCGATTCCTCCACCGTGCCGTCGACAATGTAGAGCCACACTGTCGTCTCATTCTCCTGCCCGATCCGGTGCACCCGTGCAATGGCCTGCAGCTCCAGCGCCGTGTTGACCAACGGCTCGCACAAAATCACGTGGTTGGCATTCACCAGGTTGAGCCCGCTAGAGTGCGCTCGCGCGTGCAGTAGAAAGCACTCGATGCTCGGGTCCTCTTTGAACTTGGCGATGCCGTCGCAGTCGCTGAACCGGGAGAAGCCAATGTGGTAGTGCGTGAAAGCCTGGGCCAGAATGACGAGAAATTCGGGGAACCTAAGTCGGGGTGAGAAACAGAGTAACATAGAGATTCTAAATCCGAATCAGACGTACTGCGAAAACACAATCGCCTTTGTCCCAGGGTCCGATGACCGCAGCCATAACAGGTGACGGATCAGCGTGTCTACCTTTGTTGTAAATGACGGGCCTGGCAAGTCCATGTCCAGCTGGTCCGCACTGAAATTCGAGTAGATGCCCGTCTTCTTCGACCGGCCTGTCTGCCGTCCAAACTGCTCGCCAACGTCTCCTCGGCTGCTTCCACTGCTGTTGTCCCCATGGTCTCCATGGTCTCCCTCGGCTGCGCTCTCGCTGACCACCTTGAGTGCTTGTGGTTTCAAAACGATATTGTGCAAGTTCGCCAGGCTGAGCTTGCGCTTGCACATCGGACAGTTGTGATGCGCCTGGAACCAGGCTGTCATACACTCCTTGCAGAATTGGTGGCCACACACCGTCAGCACGCCCACTACAAACGTCGATTGGCAGATCACGCAAAGCCGGTGTTCATCCTTGGCGTTTGTTTCCTTAAGGTGCACCACTGCGATGATTTGTTAGAAGTCGGCCAAAGGCGCAAACACATCCACACCCCCGACATCACTTACAGTACCGGTGCTTCGCTTCAGCCGTCGCCAGCGCATTGCCTAGGTTCTCCTCTTCTTGGACAGCGGCCGTGATGGCCTCGTCATCTCGCGCGCCTTCGTAGAGGGCCACCATGTCGGAGACGATCTGCAGCTGTCGATAGAACGCAATTCGCGTGTTGAGCGCGCTCCGCACCTTTTTTGCCTCCTTCTCGAGCATCGCGACCGCCTTGGTCTGCTCTGTCTGCTGCTCCTGTGTGCTTTTCAACTGTTCCATGATACTGGCCTGCTCTACCTGCGCCCGACGGTTGTCGCTGTTCGCATGGATGCGCAACTTGGCCAACCTCTCCCGCAGAGACACCAGAGCTGCCCTCAGGGACCACGGACTCTGCTTGCCCTGCAGATCGGGAACGACGGCTTGTCGCTCCTTAAACAGGCGCATCATCAGCTTCGGTGCAGGCCCGTCATTGTTTTCGGCCAGCCGATACGCGACCTGCTCTTCGTACTTGGCTAGCTCGCTTGGTGCGATGCCTGTCAGTGCAACGTGCCGGTCGCTGATAGCCGCTTTGAGAATGGTTAGATAGGCCTGGATCTCGTCCTGAACCTTGGTCGAGTTCTCGTATTCGTCACCCGTGATCTCGATCTCGTCGTCTTCATCCACTAGGTCCTTTAGCAGCAACTGTATCACCGCCTCCCGCCAGCTGTCGATCTGGTTTGCCTGGTCGTTGAGTAGGCCACCAAACTCTTCCAGCTCCTCTGCAATTCGGCGTCCCTCGATGCCACCTGGCTTCGCAAACACGCACTCTGGAATAACAGTGAAGCTTTGCGAGGCTGCCTTCCCCGAAAGCTCCTCCATCTTCCGTCTGGCCTTGCCGCGGTTTTCCTGCAGGATCTCCTGTCGAACTCGTTTGGCCCGTTCGTACCCCTCCGTCTCCAGTCTCCCCAGCCTCCTGAACTCGTCCGAATCAAGTGCCGTCATCGTCTCGTTGGACTTGATCTGGAAATACGCATTGGCACAGAAAAATTCCGCCCTATGCTGAATTTCGAGTGCATATCGCAGCTCGCGTTGTGCGTCGCCTACACGTCCACCCGCCGCCTTATCTTGGTCATCAGCGTCGTTTTCGTCGCTCTCGCTATCGTCGTCATATCTTCCGTTGTGCGGTTTCCCATCGGGTTCATTCACTCCGGCCTCCTTCGCCTTCTCTAACTCCGAGATCAGCTTTTCCCGAGCTGCCTGCACCAGCGCCTTGCTCTCCTTCAGCACATCCTGCCAGAGTTTAAGGGCCAACTGTACTCTAGGCGAGTTTTCCAGCATCTGACCTCGCTTCAGCTTGTGTGTTAGTATGGCCCTCCTATCGACACGCAGCGAGCTTTCGCTCTGCTCAATCATTGTGTCCAGAACGTCTGCCAGAGTCCTGATGGGTCCGGCTCGGTGGCCGAGGGCACGGCGGTTCTGATCGCCGATTTCCGGGTGAAGCGCGGTTTTTCGGAGACGATTCAAGGCCGATCGCATGGCCTCCAAAACAGCAGAGTCGTTAGGGTCCCAGTCAGGCCGCAAGGGAGCCCCATGGGTATCCAATCCACACAGCTCGGCAAGCTGCCTGAAAAGGCTTTGATAATGCTGCTCTTCAACAGCAGTAAACGGCATCGTGATGACGTACCGTTTCTGCGGTGGGATAAAGAGCTCATCCCCGACCACCAGCTTCGTGTGGCGCATAGAGATTTGCGAAAAAAGGGATCGAAACACAGCTTTGTAAGATCTGGTAAGATCCTGCCACACCTTTGGGATGGACGCATATGGCTCGTAACGGAGAAACACCAACAAGCCCCGCAAGTCTAACATTGTAAGCATCGATGAGGGTTGAAGACGATGACCTTGTAACACAATTCACGAGTACTTGCCTTGAATGTCGTCCTTCACAGGCGTGCCGGTCACTCCCCAGGCATTGACACGAGGGACCACTCGCACGATGGTAGCAGCGTTGCTTACGCCACTCTCGATCTCCTGCGCCTCGTCGAGGCAAACACGCCACCAGCTGAGCTGAACGAGTGGAGAGCGTGGTCGTGGTCGTTTGCGTTCTCCTCGCAAGTTACGCTGCGGAGGCTCGACGGCAAAGTGCAGCTCAGACCGCAAGTCACCGTACGTCGTTATAACTACGTCGTGAACGGCAAACTTTTCCACCATGGCAGCCTCGCTGGCTTCGTCAGGACAGGACTTCCTCATGCCTTCATACACCATCACTTTGAAACCAGGGGCGTGTTGTTTAAGCTCGGAAATCCACTGACTCCTCAGCGCTGGTGGCGTGACAATCAGAGTGGCGCCTATTGGTCGGGGAACTTGAGTCGCGGATGGGCTGACAGCAGGCGACAGTGTTGACACGGGTGGCCGACGATGCAAAAGGATGAGCGATATGGTCTCGACCGTCTTTCCCAGCCCCATTTCCTCGGACAGGATGCCGCCCCGGATGGCCCTCTCATTCGCCTCAAACACAGCAGGATCTCTGGTAACCACTCCGAACAGGCTGCTTACAAAGCAGGACTCGCCGTCAGCATCCACGGTACGTATGAAGTGCATGAAGGCTTGTTGGTCAGACGGCGGCTGGTACGGGATCACACCAGGATTGCCGTTGCCACAGTTCGTTGTCCATTGGGCGCCCTCTCGGTGCAGAAGCCATCCGACAGCCCTACGTTGAAAGGGGAAAAGGTTGGCGGTAAGCGCAGGCACACGCATCGACTCAATCTCGCCATACTCGGATTTTGACGGAACATGAGCCGCCTCGTAGAAATCCTGCGGAGACCCGAACTGCTCGGCACCACGCCTGTCCGGCGGGCGGTCCAGTGGGATGCCTGGAAAGAACGCAGCCAACATGTGCTGTCGCAATTCCCGCTGCGGCTCTAAATGGAGAGATCCGTCCACAGATATGTTTGTGTTCCACCGAAGCTCCAGGTTGACGGCCAAAGTAGCCTGTCCCTCTGTGAGACGCACTTCGAGGCACACAGAAGTCCAAAAGCGTCCTGGTTCTGGTGGGTCTGGGCCGATCTTGTTGGCAGCCTTCAGCATAAGCACATCCTTTGCATCCAAGGGTCCGAGCTCATTGGGTGTCAATGTCACTTTCGCGTTAACACGACGTCTGTCCCGGGCAGTGATAGTGAGCCCATCATTCTCGCGATACACAAAGTCGAAGAACCGGATAGCGTTGCGTGATGTAGCCTCCTCGGCCACAGAACCTCTTCTCGAGCTCGACTTAGTTACGGCTAGCGATCGGCGAGAAACAGGAATATACGGGTCGTCGACGTGGCAGTCTGATTTGGATCGCTTTGCAGGCCGCTCGTCTTGTTCTGAGCGCTCCTTCCCGAGAGACTTGTTTGATTCATCAGAGTCGTCATGGGCGATTGAAAGTAGATGGTCGATAAAATCGATAAGAGGACCGACTAATAGGCGAGTTAGTGGCCGTTGAAAAGTGATTCAATGTACAGAACGTCATGACAGAATGGTAAGCAAGCCTCATTTTAGGGAGCGCATGTGTACATCAATGAGTCGCCATAAATCTATGGTGCAATACGAGGGGCGGCAAAGTCAGGCAGGGCTCACCATCTTGAAAGGGGGGTATTGAAGCTGCTTGAGGTGGAGGCTGACTTCGACTCGACCTGGTCGCTTTAGACGTCGATCGACCTGGAGGCATCGGGACTAGGCAGTATTCGATGCGATATTGGATTGATGGTCATCCGAGTTACCATCCGGATGGTCGTGAAAAGAGAAAGGATGTACGAGAACTCGTAAAGCACAGAGGGGGGGAACTTACAATGATAGAGGTTGCCATTCACGGCGCATAGGTACCTACATAAAAAGCTTATCGTTATCGCATTCCATATCGCGCTGGTCGTTAATAGGCGCGTTGCTGCCTATGTCGTGCTACGAGTATGGAAGTGGTCTCCACACATTCGGCGCTACTATATTCCTGCTCCGGTCAGATTTTCCAGGCGATCGGTTTGCCTTCCGTACAACATCACGACGAGCACATGTGGATGCAGAGGAGGCTTTGGTGAGCCAATTGCAGTGGGAAATCTCGAGCCTCTGATTTTGTTTGGCCGTGTTTTGATTCTCCTTCCAAGCTGCACATAGCGTGCCGCACCTGGGAATCGCACAGAGGTGGTCTGCTCGTAGAAGCAGAATCGGTACGTTCCGTGCACCTCTTTGCCAAATTTAGCCCCGCGAACCTCTTTCTGCCCATTGGCTTCGGAGCCCTGCTGACAGCCACGATCGGCATAGCCACCACAGCTATGAGCTCCCTGCGGTCAATACGGCCCACGCTGGGCCTGCTGCTCACGCCGCCAAGATGGGCACCTGCTGCCACAGCACAGCTCGTCCAGCAGCCGGCAAGGCGATGGGCACACCAGGGTTCAGCAGCGAGCCCTGCGGCGAGCAAGTCTGGCTCGGTGGCGGACAGCCGCATCCCGGCACCCATCCCGCTGGTGCCCGACGTGGCGACCTTCCTGACGGTGATCGGCCGCAACATGAAGCAGCACGCGGCCAAGTTCCCGACGTGGGAGGCTCTTTTCACGCTGACGTCGATGCAGCTGCGCGAGCTGGGCATCGAGCCGCCGCGGGACCGGCGGTACCTGCTGCGGTGGTGCCAGCGGTTTCGCGAGGGCCGGTTCGGCATATGCGGTGATTTTGCGCACGTGCGCGACGGCGTGGCCGAGCTGCGGGTGCGCGAACAGGTCGACGAAGCCGACCCGCTGCAGCTACACAAGACGGTGGTGAATGTGGACATTCCGGCGCCGACGGCACCAGAGGCCGAGGCAGAAGCAGCAGAAGCAGCAGAAGCAGGCGAAGGCGAAGCCGGACAGACGGCCGCTTCTCCACCGACCAGCAGCAGCCTGGCCGAAGCCATCCGCGTTCACGGTTACAAGGTGGTCGGCGCTCGCACCATTGCTGGGCCGTTTGCGCTGCCGCTCAAGGCTGGCAGCGGGGCTCGCGTGCTGGTGACCGAGGGCATGTGGGAAGACAAGCGGGGCCGCAAGATCGACGGCGGCGAGCGGCGGCGGGCTGAAGTGCGCTTCAAGCGGCAGGCAGCCGAGCGAAAGGCTCTGCGCGAGTAGCGGAATCGCCTTCAATGGAACCACAACCCTGCCGCCCACAAATCACCCCCCTTTCCCTTCTCCTCGGCCCTTTGTCGTCCCGGTGTACTATTTACAAGACGCATGCATGTACAATAACCATACCACATCTCACTGTTGCATAGAGGAGGAGGTGCTAAAAAAAGCAAAAGCAAAAAGGAATAAAAGCTTGTTAGCCAATGCAATGTGGACGTCGCATCCAGGCTGCCACTGCTGCCCAACTCGGGGAAACGCGGCTGGTGGATCACCTGTCTGGCGCCCACGAGTACGTAAGATCCTCGAAAGTGTCCGAAGGTATTGTCGCAATGCAGGAGCGCATGGTGAGATTCCGAAGCCGTCTTAGCCGCCGTTGTATCTTACGTGTGCCAAGCGCCTGGTGGCGGTGTTATGCTATCTTGCATGCATGCGCAGGCCGTTTCAGCCCTGCCAAGTGTCGAGACGCGTGTTCACGCGGGTCGAGTATCGACTGTCTGTTGCTTGTGGCGGCCCCGTTGTGCAGAATCTGTTTTCTCTGCCCTAAGAGGCTGCTCCCGCTACCAAGGACTCGGGAAGGCTGGTTCAACGCTCTGCCTTGTTTCTGCACAATCGGTCACAGGCGACGAAGAGACTGGGTGGCAGCTTGCCACCAACTCGTGGTCGGATGACATGGCATGTGTCTGATTTGCTCGAGAACGAGGCCGCTGAGAACTGTCAGGGCAACACCCAGATCGACAGCAGGCTCCAGTCCAACGGCATAGACAGTCACAAGTATCATCGTCGGCAAACCCGACACCACCGACGTGTGTTGGTAAGCAACGTATACGTTTTCTTACAAGTCGTATTGATGGCGTGGATGCCGCATGTAACGTCCGGAAATAAAGTCGGGCCTGAAACGGCTGTCGGAAGGAAAAGCCGAGCTCGACTCGGTTCGGAAATTATGATGTCTCCGGCCGAGCAATATTAGGCAGCAGTGTCCGCGAGGGGGTCAATAGCGAAAGCGATAGCGTTTGGTGACCCTTCTTAGCGAACGTAGTTAGTGTGTCGCACTAGCACCGGTGACTCATTACGTCGTAGTATGGTTGTATCTTACATACCTCCACCCATAATCCACACCAAATCTGCGAGGACTCCGTAGCTCTCTCCGGATTATCTCTGCGTGCTCTTGGCATTGCTCGTACTCAGTACCTTCCTAGGTTCCGGCAACAACAGCACTATCAGCGTCGGTCTGGCCCCAGCGTCACCAACCGGCCGGCATCTCAGGTCACCTGCTTGTTTTCTTCTTGAACAGCTGTCACAACTGAGCCTGCCAATCTCACTCCTCGTACGATACGGATCTGCTGAGCCTCGCTCGCACTCGCACTCGTCTACCCAAGTAAGATACTACCATGCAGGACACACCGCTAGCCGGATTCGGCACCCGTACGTCCGATTAAGGTTTGGGGTCCCTTTCTGTTGTCTCTTGGCCCACTCAGTGTACGCAATAAGTCGCTTTGTACGGAGCAAAGGTCCTGAATGACCACTTTGGTGGATGCCTGGCGAGAAGCTTGCCTCGACCGGAAGTTGAGGTATTAATAACTGGTCCTGGACATAACGCGGCTATACGGCCTCAAGAGGTCAAGTGGAAAAGCACCAGGTAGCGCGGAAAGATACCCATTACGTATGCCTCCCAAGGTCAAGAAACAGGCATCCCGGCCCGTTATATGCTCCAGAACAGGCCTAAAGCAGCCGAATGTGGCCAAGCCGCCTGTCGGTGGCGCATGCCGCTGCGTCACAATGTCCACCTCTTGTACGGAGTACTCCGTAAGAAACTTCTTTTTTCCTCTTGAACGCCCGGTGAGGCTGACCAGCCTTGAGTAGCAGCGACCAGACGGGGCCGTCAAAATCACGTCTCCATCAATGGCTGTTGGGGCCAATCAGATCACATGGATGTAACGTTTTGTTGTCTCAAAATCTACCAAAGTTAATTAAAGCAACGGCCACTCGGTGACTCGGACACGACCTGCATATAACAGCTGACGCTGATATGAATCATCGCGTATCGCATCCACGAAAATAGGCATTGAAATGGGCTGCCAAATTCTGACGAGCCAATAATGACACTCTGCTTCCTTTGGTCTGGCAGGCATGCCATTTACGAGTCCTTGCAGCAAGACTGGCGCAGGGCTGTGCTCTGTCGTACTGCTCGTATGCAGGATTCGTTCGATGGATGCCTAGTCCTGCCTCCCAAAGGACTGTTCGTTCAAACGTAGCTCGTCCAGGTACCCACCACCCGCCTCCGCGGCAACGGCTCTACCGCCAATGAGCCGGGTCGGCGATTAAAAAAACGCCGTCATCCGGCTGAATTTGCTTACTCATCTACACCTTTGTATTCATTGTAGGATACGCTGTGCCCATCTACAACCCTACCTTCCACGAGCCATTCTACCATCTAATACTTCAATCAGCTATCTTTTAGCACCTACACCGCTCTGCTATACGCCCACCCTGCTAATCCTACCATGCCATTCTCACATATGGCCTAGCATGCTGCGTTTTGCAATCATAGTTTGATAGCTTCACTCTTCTCCGACGTATTCATAAACTAAGCCACTCAAGCCCCTCTCCACAGGACCCCATTCTGGGTGGGTGTGCTAGTGGACTCCACACTGGCGCTGGCTGCTGCTGGTCTCGTCCAAACATGCTCAAATCTTACATTGAACCGATTTTAACCTTTCCATTGATGCCGTCTTGCCGGGCTTGCAGTGTCTTGGCAGTATGAGTACTGTACTCGTATACTTCGTTTGCAACTCGCATATTATTCGATCCTATTATTTGGGCCTCTGTCACCCCGTTCTGGGACCTCGTAGTCCCAATTCGCGGTATGTTTCCCTCCCTGGCCATTTTGACCCTACGCCTTATGTCTTCTGATCGTCCCCCCTTCTTTACCCTGTTCCCTGTGTGCTTCGCATTTGTCATTGGAGCTTGGGGTATATTATGTTGTGTAGTATTATCAGCTAGCATAGCAAGCTGGACAAGCAATAAAAGTGTCTCCTGCTCTTACTTCTCCGTCTGACTGTCTCAATCCGAGTCATTTCTTGTTTGAAGCTTCTGACTCGTCCATTCTTTGTAAGTCCCCTTTTTACTATTTCTGTCTTCAGTCTCCCCTCTATTCGATGTCTGCCCAATGCATCATCAGCCCTTTTCTCCACTTTCCCAAACGAGGTCGAACCCGGCTTCTTACGCAATATTCGCTTCCCAAGTGTTGTTGCCTGTTTCTGTTGCATACACGCGCTTCCCTCGGCTGCTGCTTCTCTTCCTGTTTTGAGTATAATATCCTTAGGCAGACTTCCCCACTCGTCATCCCTGCTGGAATCTGGATATCAAGCACACTTTCTAGGCCTTGTCTGCTATCGCTCCTACCTCTTTCTCATCCGTGATCTTTTTCGGATCCGCATAACAGTATATGGTTTAACCCTCCTGCCTACAACACGGCATTTCTTCGTCTCCGCCTACGCGTTGCACATCCTTGTGCCGTAATCTTTTTGTTACATCCTTCCCGCCTTCCTCTGCTTCGCCTCATTTGTTAGCCTGGAGTATCTTTTTGTTTTGGATTATCCGATCCACGGCCGTGTCAAAGCGGCAGAAAAGGTGAATTGGAAATCCAACCAGCGACTCACTTCCGTTTCTCCTCGACCCCTGCCCTCTTTCTTTATCACCACCCCCTCTACTCCACACAACCATATAACGGGACAGATGAAGCATTGCATGCTAGTGCAAATCCTTTGTCGTCATCCAAAGTTGTCTGATTTCGCTACATCTGCACTGCGTTCCCACACAGCACCCTCAAGCTGCCCACTGTGACCTGAGAACGGGACCCTTACCCTTTTCATTGTATCCCGTTACAGGTTATCATGGCTATCATCTAAGCCTTGCGGGGATGTGCCAGCTCACAGCAATAATAAATTACAGGGAGAGGCTTATACACAGACCCTGGCTCTTACTTTTCCTTCCTGCCGCTTTTCTTGTTACGGTCTCCCTACCTCGTCTATTTCCCATTCTGCTAGTTCCACCATACCTGGCATTAGCGGGAGGGAGAATCGTGCAGAAGGCAAGGCTGCAGCGAGAGCATACAAAACTGGTCGTCATCCAGAAGTTCCCAAAAACCCCCAAATCAAAGACGTATAAGGAGGACTCTCCCAACATTTCTCTTTGAATAAAGCGTCATCCTTAGATCAGTCCACCCCGTCAGGGTTCAAGCTTTCCCGCAGCACCTCAACGCATGCACCTTAAGATACTCCACACGCTCTTCCCTCTACCACGCAATTTGCAGTCTTTCTCTCACTCCTGTCCATCGAAGGTTTTCCCCCATGTATTGACCCTTACACCTGAATCGCTGTACACAAATGGTCTCTCTCATTATTAACAAGCGCCCGATTGAATTTCTTATTATTTTCCCTCTCTGATCGCGCTACTTTCCCTTTTTCAACCCTTTCCTCTCAAGTTAAATGTCCTCAAGCCAACAATTTCAAAAAGATATAGAGGCATCCAGCCATCGACGGATTCGACAGCGCCGGGACCGCGACTCAGACGAGCTTGAAGAGGCGACTGGGCAAACAACTTCACGAGCCTCTACCGACCAAGACTCCGGCTCTGACACCGAAACAGAGTCGCCTACAAAGAAAAGCAAGAAATCCCGAGGCAGGGGCAAGGGCAAAGACAAGGGGAAAGGTGGAGAGGAGCAGCAACAGCAACCACACAACAACACGATGTTGCCGATACCATCACGATCCGGGCGAGCGTCCTCGAGTGTACGCCGGCAACCGTCCAAGGGCAAGACAAAGACGGACGACTGGAGTGAGGTGACAGACCCAGAGGAGCGAAGGCGTATTCAGAATCGCATTGCCCAGCGGAAATTTCGTAAATCCGTCCTACCCCAAGATCGTCTCGGCCTCGCTCCGAGACGCACAATTTTGCCCCGAGATGGATGCTGACAAATCCCTACCCCCACAGGCGAGAAGGCACGCGAGCAAAAGGAGCGTACAGAGCGGGACCAGCGCAACCAGGAACATGCCGCCAGCAGCTACCAAGTACCCGGGCCATACGACTTGGCAGGCGACGGTGAGCTGTCGGGATTACCTTGGGGCGGCCCGAGCTTGCGCTTTGTAGTGGCCAAGGGCCACGAGTCACTCAGCAATCAGGGTAGCCGGAGGGCATCTGAATACCTGACCGACGAGATGGCAATGTATGCCTCCGCCAGTCGTAGCCGCAGAGCGACAGAGGCGGCTGAAGGGGGTGCCGCAGAGGCAGACGCCGCTAGCTACAGATATAGCGACGACAGCCAGCTGTACTTTGCAAGCGGCGACGGCAGTCAAGCTGGCAGCAGTCGAAGCAGCAGCGATTTCACATACACCAACTTAGCCGAAGACCCGCAGTACTTTGACGAGTCTCCCTACTACTACGACTAGTCTTGGGAGCTCTTTACGATTATGACTGTTTTCTGTCGACACTCCATACTACTATGCATCTTATGTACGACTTTTCGGCCCCCCTCTTGCCGTGGCGACATGGCGGGTCCAGCGACTATGAAATCAAGGTGTTTGATTTTTACCGGCCTGCATCCCCTGGGCTGGATGTGCCTTTTTTTGTTTTTTCTTTGGTCCCCACCCCAACCGCACTACTGTCTCCTCTCGTTCAGATGGCACTTTCTCAATATCAATCTCCTGCTCACCCATAAACTTCATTCTCCCATCTCCTATCTCCCTTCGCCATTCTCCAGGTTCCTCTCAGTCTCAGCAGCACTGTATTACCACCACCGCAAAATGACCCCTATTCTTCATAGACTCAAGGATAAATGTCCTAAAAAACAACAATGCCAGGATAATAAATGCAACACGTCTGATTTAAACCAATCATAGACCATGTAGAGCCCGCTCGGTATTAGCGTGGCTTCGGCACTGCTATGTAACTTACGAGTACACCGTAATTATTGCATCACCAGACACTTTCGCAATTGACTCATCCCCTGGGCTCGCATCTCCGATGCTCTACGGAGTATTAGGGGCGGCAATATCCGTGGCAAACTCATTTTCCCAATAATGCAAAAATACCGCACCCTGGAAGAACTGATGTACTTTTTATTTCCCCTGTCTTCTGCCAGATCCATTCTCGTCTAGCATGGGGCCAGGCCTGCATGGCGTCCTGTAGCTCCCACAACTGATGCTATGTCCCACCGAGTGATACAGTAAGATACACAGTGCAAGTGGCATAGTCAGAAACCCAGATGGGCGCCTGAAGTTTTGTGGAGAGGCGGTCCAAAGAGGCATGCAAGCCGGTTCAAAGGTTAGGCAGCTATCTGCATCCTTGCCAGCTTTTTGGCTTTTGTCAGCAAGGGGGAAAGGGAGGGGAAGGGGGCTAGGCAGGTGACAGGATGACCGGTGCCTTGGGCGGTACCAAAGATTTTGAGATCTTTCTGTCCCCATTTGCTCTCCTCTTCAACTCCATAGTACTCCGTAGTACGCCAAAGGGGAAGGCTCGGAAGTACGACCATCCGAAATTTAGAGCCGAAAGATAGGGTATACCGACAGAAATGGACACTCCTAAAATAGTCATCCCCAAAAGGACCTAGGAGAAATGTCATATCTCCTGGCGGATGCAGAGCAGCATGTGATGTTTCTACGGAGTATATTCCGGAAAGTAAGATTCGGGGTTTATATGCCCGTGTCGGTGTTTCCTAAAACAATAACCGTAAAGGTGGGTCCAATAATTGTCTGTTCACCTTAAAAGGACTAGTCCCTCAGCCTCGTGTTTTTCATGTACTTGATATCACGTGATAGCAGAGAATGCTTTTGTGCTGCTAAGCAGCCACTATTCGCGCGTCAAAGTCTCAGGATATCTTCGCCTTATATTCTGTGCGTCCAACGCCGTCTGTCTATCTCTCCAAGGAGAGGAAAGTGGTAGGAAAACGCCGTATGTGCAGGCTGCCAAAAAAAGCGCGCCTCCCCTACCTTCGCATCTCTATACGTCCTCAAACTCGATGTCGTCCTCGTCTTCGTCGCTATCCTCTGCTTGGGCTTTTACCGCCGAAACAGGTACTTCTCCGATTTCGTCCTCCACCTTGACCTTCTTTGCCAGCCGCCCGGCCTCAGACGGGCTTGGCGGCTCTGACACCGCTTCGCGCTTCAGGTTGGACTGCGAGTACGACTGCCGCAACGGAGACGGCGCCTTGGGTATAGACCCTAACCGTGGGGGTGGTACCGAGGTTGGCGGTGCCAGTCCGATGGCATTCGAGCTGCCTGGAGTGCCGCTTGCCACAGGAGTGCTGCCGGCGGTCTGTACCACGTCCTCAAACTCGGCATCATCCTCGTCTTCCTCATCCTCGTCCTCGTCGTCCTGGCCAGCTCCCGCCATCTTCTTCCGTGCTTCCTCGGCCGCTTGTCTCTTGAGGCGCGAGAAGTAGTCGTCGATATCGGCCTCGGCGTTGGTGTCGTTTGTGGCTTTGATGGTCGGGTCTTTGGTGTCGGCATCGGCACCGCTGCCTGGCCCCTTGCCAGGTGCTAGGTCCGTCTTGAAAGCTTCACCAGTGACCGTGCTGTTAGACATCCAGCTAGGAAGCGCGTTCTGCGCAGCGACACGCTCGCGGCGCTCGCGCTCGGCTGCCTTCTCCTCCTCCGTGGGGCCGCTGCCGGCCTGTATAGAGACAGACAGGGTGCTGGGACCCGTGTTGGCAAGACCCTTGACTGCGGTGGGCCTGTTCATAGCGTCGACGCCGATGCTGGCAGCTATCTGGTGCGTCGCGTCACGAAGGACCGGCCGCTTATTGTTGAAGGCTACCTCGAAGTTGTTATCGGGGATGACGACGCTGTCGATCTTGGGCAGCAGCTCGGTGATAAACTTGAACTGGTTGTTCATGCGCGTGCTGCGCTCATGGCCACCCGCCCGGCCGCCATCGCCATGGCGAAGGACAGAGCCGCAGCGGTGGCACAGAAACCCTGAAGTACTAGAGCTGTCAAGCACCTCCATCTGGGTCCATTCCGCCTTGCAGCGGTCACAAAAGTATTCCTTCTTCTCGCTAGGCGGCACAACTGGCCCCTGTAGGTCTTTGTCGATTTTGTAGACACGCCACTTAATGGCATCGATTGTCTGACGGTAGTCGATGTAGTAGTACGTTCGGTTGTTGGGCCTCTGCTGGCCTTCTCGAAGTTCGGACCGTGAATGTCTACATACCGTCTCGCCAGGCACAGCTTGTTAGCACCAACCAGACAGAGAAACCGCTAAAGGAAAGCGGGCCGTGTCATACGAGACCAAGAGGCGATCCTCTCGTAGCTTCTGGCACATCTTGCGCAGGTCCTTGATATTCATGCTGATCAGATAGGCCAGATCGTCGTCTGGCACACTATGGACCCCGGTCGAGGGAAGACGGTCAGCTTCGGTAGCAAAAGGACATAGAAGAGCCCCGCGTCAACGCAGCTGGCACAGAAGTTCCAAGCGCAAAGACAGTCTCTCCCTGCTCTCCCACAGACGAGAAACATACGCCGAGTGGATGACCAGGGCATCAATGATCAAGATGTGCTTCGTCTCGTAAAATGCCCGGGCCACGGACCGCACGAGCGTTTTTGCGAGATCCATTGTGAAAAGTAATACGCTGTCGATGAAAGCGATATAGAAGAGACTTGTCGTAGTCGCAGCGAAACAGGAGGGGAGCAAACGATCGAGGCGGTGCTGGGGTGACTTCGTTGCAGTGAGGCAAAAGGGCCAGCGGTCGAAGCAAGTCTGGTAACGGGGGGCTGAAGAGTTGAAGCAAAGCTGAAGATGAATTATATAATTAAGGATGGGCGAAATATGATGGCAGCAGCCAGCGCGCTACCGAAGAAGAACCTCCTCGTTGGTCATGATTTTGGACAGATCGAAAGAATCTGCAGGCAAATCACGAGCAAGGACGATGCAGTCGAAGGGGCGTGCGCGGTCGCAAGAAGGACAGAACCAAACCTGGAAGGGCAAAGCTATATCCGATGCCCACGGAGATGAAAGCGTGTAGGGCGATGGGTGTAGAGCCTGCGTTGCGCGTTAGTCGACCGGGGAAGGCAGAGGCGATGGAGCTGTAAGGGCGATGATGCTTTTTCTGGCCGCATGAGGCTAAGGAGCTGATAGGCATGCGACTAGGCCATCGCAACGGAAAAATGCGCTGCCGGTGGGGACTAGCGCCTCTGATGATCAAGCCTCATTATTACCTCTTCGCCCATTCTTTCTTTATTCAGGTACAAAATCAATCGAGCCAACAACACACCCTTCATGCGGAGACTATAATACAAGCGCAGCATACTCTCTATCGCCAACACCATTAGAGCTCGTCAACCTGTTGTTCCTCTTCGTCCTCGGGTACCTCCAAAAATGGCTCCCGTTCCGCGTCCAACAACGCCTGGACGTCCAGCTGTGGTGGTTTCGAGTCCGCATTCAGATAGTCGAGCGCCTGCATGGCCTTGCCGCCGCATGCTCGTTCCAGAGCGAGGAAAGAGAAGTGACCGCCGACGACAGGACGTGCCTTGAAAGTTAGGCCAGGCGGGTAGCCGCCGGTGCCCTCCGTGTCGTAGAGGTCGGTGAAGGGCATGTCCGTGTCGGTCTCGTTGAGCCAGCGCGCGACACTTGCGAGGATTTCAGCGCGCGTCGACCGGCTCGTGATGGCGGCTGCAAAAAACTCCCAGTCGCTCTTCGTGTAGAGGTGCCGGCTGTCGAGCGGCAGCCCGTAGCGTTGCAGGACATTGTGGTACCAGTCACTCTGGGCCTTGTAGATGCGGTCAGGTATGAACACAGAGCTGTGTATGGGACTGCCGATGCTGCTGCTGTTCTCTTCTGGGATGTGGAAGCACAGCAGTGAGTCTGCAAACAGGTTGTACAGCGTCGTCCACGACCCATACCAGTCGTATGCCAATTTCGCGTGGGAGCCATCGCGTGAGATGCCGTATTCAATCCATTTAGTCACGTAGGTGTCCGAGATGTTGCGGTAGTGCTTTGCGTCTTCGTTCTCGCCGAGAAGGTCGGCAATGTCGCTCATCGCCCGGATGCCGATGATGCCCTTGAGCGCCAAGTTGGTCTGGTATGCCAGCCAGCCAGCAAAGTCATCTGTGGACAGCTGCCAGCGCGGAACAAGCGACTCCCGCACCAAATATCCTGTCCACTGCTTCCATAGCTTATACGATCGTGCTGCCCATTCTTTTGCCTGTTTCGAGCCTGTCATCGTGACTTCTCCCGTCGACGCGTCGTTGTCCATACCCCACGGCCGATCGAGGCCGCACGCGTCCATCAAAACTGCCTGCGACTCATTCAGGGCAAACATAGCGGCACCAGCCATGTCTGTGGCAGCTTCGGCTGAGCCGCTGTGCCCAAAGGCCGGCGTAGTGTCGTACTTGAAGGCGTTGATCAGCGCCAGTCCCATGATGAGCATATTTCCACACTCCTCCACAGGCATGTATTCGTCGTTCCCATCGTCGTGGCCCGTCTCGTTGGGGAAGTGGTAGCCAAGGTCATGCATGCTGTAGTCGTTCGGATACTGTCCACTCAGCTGGTGCTCTAGCAACGGCTCCAGTAGATAGGCGAGCCACTGTGGGTTCGTATAGAGAAAAAAGGGAAAGGCCGGGAAGATGACGTCGACTGTCTGGCTGTTGCCGTTGGACGAGATCTCCTTGAGGAAGAGGAGCGGGTTGTCGGGCGTGCCAGAAAATTCGGTGGCGCCCAGCACCTGGCGCGCTGACAGCGATGCGATCTCCTCATACTCCTTGGACCCGGACTCGAAGGCGTCCTTGGATAGCTGTTCCGAGTAGCGACGGGCAAGCTTCGACGCGGTCTGAAAGTCGCCGTAGTGGTACTGGATTAAAGCGTCTGGCGTAGCCAGGTAGCTGGCCCAGAGCGGCCGCATGTACGTGAGGCCACGAGCTGAGGCATACTGAACGATGGGATTCTGGACCAGCGCAAAGGTGAACAAGACGCTGTCTGTTGTCGTCTTGTTTTCTTGCAGGCGAAACGACTTGGCAAAAGCAAAGACCGGCTCGTCCTCCATGATACGGCGGAAGCTGTTGTCGTTGGAATTGCCCAACATGCCGGTACGCGCAAACTCGGAGCGGATGCCGGCTGACACTCCGCTTTCGTGCCGCACAGACGCCGGCGCAGAGAAATAGAGCGTCCCCCATTCTGCGCGGTCGGCGAACTCGGTGAACAGTTGCTCCACCTCGCGCACAACCTTCCACGTCTTGATTGGCGGTGCAGACGGCGAAGACGTGTCTGCGTCGGTCTCAGCACTACGGCCAGACTCGTTAAGCTCCCACTTGATGTGGCTGCCCCGGTCGCCACTAACCCACTCGCCGTTCAGATCAACGTAGATGTCCACATCAAAGTCGCCCTCAACGATGACGCTCAGATACGCTGCTGGTATCGACTGCCGAAACGTTGAGGTGGGAGTTATGGGCGAGAGAAACGAGAGTGTCAACTGCAGCGTCTCTCGATGGCTCGCACCCCAGCTGTCTTTGTGCGCCGGCCCCGGAAGCAGGTATGTGAGATTGGTTGTAGAAGCATCAAAAGAAGCACCCAGATACTCGGGTTTCGACACCTGGAATCTCTTGTCTTCTCGCGAAAGGGAGTCGTGAGGTCTGCCCAACAGAGGATAAACCGAGTTGGTAGCGGGCACCGAGGCCATGACAGAAAAGCCGATCTAGGATCTGTGAGTCTGTATACTGAAGACATAGAAATGCAACGATTGCAAGCTCAACGCACGCTCTGTCCAGTCCAGAAGATGGGCCATTGCTCCCAAGGGTTCTTGCGAGCACTAGACAGCCATGTGCTGAGATACGGGTTCCGCACGATGAGAGGCAAAACGGGTGGCGTCAGTGTCGATGCTGCCGCAATGACAACGAGACCTAGAGTTGTGATGAGGCGGATAAGTTTCATGGCCAGGGAGCTTCAGATGGACTCTGGAAGGCCTGCGGAAGACCGGGTTTAGCTCCGATGGGAGAATACAAATGGCGAGCACATAGAATGGCAAATGGCTAAGGAGAACCAGTCAAATAGAAGGCGTTGATAGGAATTTAAGAGACTATGATCGGAGACGTCCAAAAAAGGTGCCAAAAAGAAAGTCGGTGTGGGAGCACAGAAACTACTGGGGAGAGACAAATGGGCAGATGCTGTGAAGTAATGCCTCGGAAAGCGAACAATGACGCATTGAAAGAGCTGACCTGTTCCCGCTTTACCCCACACTTTAGTGCGCTGCAGGCACTGACGAGTCCTCCCCTTTTAGGTCACGCGGGTGCCGTAGCTGGAAATAGTGTGGGTTACTCCGTAGATGGCTGCGAAGCCCCGCTTGGTTTGATTCCAATGAACGTGGTACGGAGTACAATTACGACTATCTCACGAACCACTGCACAAAGCGCTGTGAAACTGGCGCTCTTTGAACATGCATGACTGCTGAGTAAAGGTATACATTCTAAAAGCGTGTAGTCGCCGTTATGGTAATATTGGTAGACGGTCGTAAGGCTGAGGGATGCACAAAATGGACGTCAGCATCTCGTTACCGTCTTGCCATCCACTTTGCCGTTTCTGCCGAGACATCCCGCGCAACTGGAGCTTAGAAACGGACATTGGTTTATGACATGCCCAAAATTAGATTGTCATCGCCTATACCTTCTGTAGCAGCACTAAACTGGTCGTCTCAATTTGTGCTGTGCATAATACTGTATTCTAAGCACTACTTCTGGGGAGAATCCGTCCCCAATCTTTGTGGCCATGGGCAATATACCGAGCGTTTCTATCCGGGCCGTACAAGACAGTGCTATAGATAAATCAAATGAAAGGCTATCAGGTTCTTTTTGCTGTCTACAGCCGTATACATTTCGCCTGTGGATGTGGCGTAAGCGGCGTTGAATTTGCTTATTGGCACTCGATGTAATTACATTGAAACTTGTTTTGCATCCGTTGTTGCGGAAGTTACTGAGAGACAGGCGACAGTGGGTTACAACATGGTTTTTGTAAGAGACTGCCTGCATATATATGCCAGAGCCACCGAGATGGCTACATTGAGTTTTGGCCAACAATAAAGTAGGACGTAGCATGTTTGCAACGTCTATCAACAGAACAACTAGAGCATCTGTGTAGGAGCTGACTTCAATATCTAACGAGACACCTCCCGAATAGCACAAAATAAGGACGTGCCTTCAAAGTTGTGAAGAATGAAAGAGAGAGCCGTGTCAAAACAACTCTTTATACCTCAAGTCGCATTGTATTTGCCCCTGATATTTTTTCCCTATGGTCTATCAAATCTATGCCTTTTTTTTTTGACTCCCCGTCTCCATGAAAGCTCATAAGGCCGTACTATGATGAAGTGGCACAGTGATTGAATTAATAGCTCTACGTTGCAGATGGACGTCGTTCTAACTACGTGGTGAATATGTCCTCGGACATTTCGGATGACCAAAGCCCCTAAGCTCCGGAAATGTCGTCTACCACACGTCGTAGGGCGTAACTTCGTGGTTCTTGCCATCGTCGCGTACATGTTCCCGCTTGACGTCCCGCTTCATTGGCTTGCGCATATCGTAAGCGTCCTCGGAGCTCTGGCTCGGATCTGTCGAGTGGTCGCCGTAGTATTCCTTCACGACGCGGAAGACGCTGTAGCCCATGCTCTCGTAAAATGTGATGGCGCGGTAGTTGGTCACGCGAACAAACAGGTCGACGAACCAGGCATCGTTGGCGTCGGCCGCTGCCTCCAGTTGTTCGCTCAGAAGCTTGCCGATACCGAGCCGGCGCGCATCGGGCGCGATAGTGATAGCCGTGATGTGGGCGTGCCAGGGCAGGAAGTGCTCCGAATACTTGTAGACATCGGGCGAAGACTCGAGCTTGCCCATAACTAAGAGTTGTCAGCACTGGACATGATTGAGACCGCTGGCCGAGAAAGGATCGGCGCAGATGAGAAGGGTGGAGCGCACTGTATCCGATGATGTTGCCCTCGCTGTCTTCTGCGACCTGGAAGAGCGCAGGCCACTTGGCATAGTATTGGAGGTAGAAAGACAGCTCGTATGTTTCGGTTAGGGGATCGAGGTTGCACTTGGAAAGCTTGTTGAGGTCGCCAGGCGTGAAGCGGCGAAAGTTGGCCATCTTGGACGTTGGCTTCCAGCGGCTACGGCCTGCCACCGAGGCTGACAGAGGACAGCAGAAGTGCGCGAGGATCAGCGGACGGTGCTGAGCCTTTGTGGTCGTATCCGTTCTGCAGTTGCGTTGTCACCCGGGCGATATCGCATCGCAGAGCGTCAAGAACGGAGTAGCTCCCTGGAATCGCAAAAGCAGCGAGGTTTGCTAACCTGTCAAAAAAAGCAAATACTGACTAGCCCCGCCATCCATCCCACCAGCCGCCGTTGCTTAATTGTCGGGGAATTCCCAGGCCACGTTTATAGCGTGTCTTAGGGGGGGCACATGTACCTTATCGGACGTGCAGCAAAGCGCTGTGGGAATGCGATAAGCTGCAAGTACCTTACCGCTGTTTCAGCAACTGCGACGCGTTGTAACGGTAGGAAGTATCTGGCCTGCATCAAATACACCTGTTGAAGAGGCGATACTTGACCGCTCTCGTACGTCTGTACCAGCGATTGATTGCGTCTGGCATAGGCAGGTTCGCATTTGAATCGCAATTCCATCCCGGTCTGCTGTAATTACGCCAATCCGGGACTGCGCCCCAGTTCGTTGTATTGCTTGTTTCGTCTTGTGCTATAGCACCCCTCTTACCCATTCCTTAATTACCTCCTCAATATCCTTGTTCTGTTATATCCTGGCAACACCGACAGACCACAAAACAGCACACCAGCACCGGGGCCATTGTTTCTGATTTTAGTGTCCGCAAGCCAACGGCTGTCCATCCTGCTCCTTTTTCCATCCGAGCACTCACATTCACGAGCGTCCGATAGACCGGCAAAGTTACGAGACGAGCGGCGGCCGGTAATACGGCAGACGCTATAGGCACACAACTAACCATGTCCTCACCAAATATTACACCGCGGCACTCGCGGCGGTCCACCATGGACTACTCGCCACAAGACCGGCGGAACTCCAAGTCGTCCTCTGTCCAGGACCCCTCCACGCCCTCCCACGAGTCGCGTCCGTCGTTTGGCAACAGTGATGGCCTGGACGTGTTCAGCAGCAGCGTGGGTGCAGGCGGCGACGGCGGCGGCGGCGGGATGGGGCTGGGCAATCTGGCGGACGAGCTGGCGGATGCGCTCTCCGACGGCGAAGACGACGATATCGAGGGTGACGAGGAGTACTACGACAACGAGGCTCCGGCGCACGATGACGGCGCTGTACCGCCCGACATCAACCTGTCAGAGGCGGCGTGGGACGACGAAGACGCGGGAGATCGAGAGGGAGGCGGCGGGCAGCGCGACAGCGGCGTCGACATAGCACTGGCATCCAGCCCTGGAGCGCAGCGGACAAGGAACACGAGCCTCGACCTGCCGACAGCCAACGGAAGCGGCAACGCACGGGGTCGACACCACGGCCACCACAAGCGCAGCAGCGTCTACGACGGCTCAGAGTACGGCTCAGACTCGGATCTAGACACGCCGGGCATGCCGCCCAGCCTGGTGGCCAAGATGGATGCCGTCGAGTCGTTGGCACGACGCGGGACAGAGGAGAACGGCGGGCCGAGCGACGGCGTCTGCCGGCGTCTGATCGAGGAGCTGCGCGACCTGGGATCGCAGGCAAACATTGAGGGAGGAGCATCGAGGTAGGTGCTGTGCTGGAGAGAGACAATTACGAGATGTGCCGATGTGCAGGTTTGCTGACGGTCCAGACTGATCACGGCCCACTCCGCTCTGACGACACATCTGGCACACCAGACACGACAGCTGCACGCGCTGGCGTTCCCTCTCTTTTCGCCGCTGGCCGTGTCGCCACTGATGACAGTAGGGGGTGGCGGCGGTGCTGACGGTGACGACGGCGACGACGACGAGGAAGACAAGGACTCGCTGTCGCCGATGCTGACGGCGCTGGCCGACCAGATGCCACGGCCCAGCACGGCGGCATACCAGTCGCTGGCGGCGCTGCACGGGCTGACAGGCGACCTCGTGGCGACGCTCAACTACCTGTCGGACACGCTGCACATGGCACGACAGACGACGACGACGGCGACACGGCGACTGCGCAGCGCCAAAGAGCTGGTGGCCGAGATGCGGCGCGACGAGGAGCTGCGGGAAGAGGGCGAGCGATGGCTGGCCCGCGGCAACTGGGACGAGCGGCTGCGACGGCGCGAGTGCGCCCACGTCTGCGGCGAGGTTGTCGGCGGCTTTGAGGAGGTCTGCAACGGCTGGCGGGCGCGGCTGCTGGCCCAAGCAGAGGCGGCGCAGGCGTCCGCATAAGGACAGCGAACGGATCGGCGGACGGACGGTGCTTCATTTCACGGCACGGCGATGCCAGCCTCTCTGTTTCGTTATCTATACTCCTGTCCGTTTTTCTGCCCTTCATCTGGGCTCGATACAATGCGCATTGCACACACAAGACCATGGATAGACCTTGCAGCACAATTATACGAATGCATACATCTAGGGGTAGACGGGAATTGCCACTCGCCGAAATGGCGTGGTCGAGTCCTGAGCGCTTTCTAGGTGGTCTTGACCCCTCCGATCTATGCATATTATTCGTGCACAGGGTGTGGCAAATCGCCTTCCGTAGCCAATTGTCGTCGGCGCGTGCGTCAGATCAGCAGGCCACACAGAAGACCGGGTACGCTGTCCAAGACGGTTCCTGGCCTAGGCCATCATCGGCTTCTCGTAGCATGTCCTAGCAGAGACAAAAGGGGGACGTCAGCAGACGGGTCAGTCTATTTTTGGTGTGTACGTTCTTGCTGTCTTGCTGTCTTGCTGTCTTGCTGTCCTACTTTCCTTTTGGCTGGCCTGGTTCCCGTTGCGGATTTTCCAGTCAGCAGTCTCGTGCTATTTGATAATACGAGCACAGGCAAGGCAATATGCAGCCAGATGGTATGGCGTACGCTCCCCCTTTTTTTCTGCCTTCCAGCAACGGCTGGAGCGTGGCCATGCGCTAAGCGACTAGCTGCAGAACCCCAACACCTCCCCATTGAGTTGCTGAAGAGCCCCAGATCGCTATTTTTATGTGCCCTTTACAGGCGTGCTGCTCCGCTACAACCAGCAGGCAGGGCGCTAACCAGCCAATTATTGCGTGGCTGCCAGCCTTTTATTGCAGCTTATTTCCTTTCTAGTATTGCTGCTGCATCCAACCTATGGGCGATTACTCTCCATCCATCCTTTCTCCCTCTCCCAGCCTTTTCCTCGCCTCCCTCTCATCTCATCATCCACATCCGACCATCGCCCCTATTCCGCCGGTTCTTTGGCTCCCCGCCCCCCATGTACCTCGTCGCGCCCGGTGCCCCCTGTGTGTCTTTCTGTATTTCTTCTAGCCTTGATCGGGACCGTTTGGATGCTCTTCCTCCTCAGGCCTCTTGCGTCCGAACCATCCGCTGATCTCCATCGACCGATCGGAATCTGTCCTGCCCCCTCTACCCCCTAGCAACATTCCAGAGCGCCGTTTGTCCGTCTGGGCCGGTTGAACACACGAGATTGCGACCTCCTTTCCCCAGCCCTTGGCACAAGCCCCGGCTCGCTCCTTTTTTTTTTTTTTTTTCCCTCGCTGCCTGAATCGACATGTCCGCACCAGACAGACTTTTGCAGTAATCCTCCCGATAGAGCAACCCAGTATGAGATAATGACCGCATGCTCGTCTCCCCGCCCTCATCGTCATACCTATCGCTGCCAGCACCATGCCGTTCCTCCGTCGGCGAGGCGTCATGGCCAGCGAGTCTGACATGCGCCGGCACACCTCCTTCTTCAATCCGCTGGCCATCTCCAAGCAGGCATCACCACCGCCAATACGTCCCGAGACGGCCATCCCCGAATCGGAAGTTCGCAAGTACTCGATCCAGCTTCCTCGTTTTTCCAGCAACGTCGTCGCGGCTGCCGAGCAGGATCGCGCCAATGCTGGTGGCCTGGATTCTCTCTCTCTGAACACCATTGCGCCCTCTTTTCCCGCACCGCCCATCACCCCTCCGGTCGACAGCATCCACCAGGGCGAGGCCACCCGTGGCGCCATGTCCATCGAAAGCGATATGGACAGACCCGAGTCCCCTCCGATCCAGGAGCAGACGCCCAAGCACCACCGCTTCTCCATTCTACGCTTCCGCAATGCCTCGGACTCCCAGCTGGCTGCCAGGGCCCGACAGCAGGCCCTGGCCGAAGAGATGCCCCCCATGCCTCGCCGTATGTGTCTATCTGTATTTCAAGACCCCGCTGCCTGTTGCTAACGCGCTGTTTGTGCGCCCCGTCAGCCCCCGAAATCATCACGACCGCACCCACTTTGGAACTAGGCTCTGCGGCTGAGCGACTGCCTGGGCACAGGTCCGCTGTACGTGTCCGAAAGTCCGGCGAACTTGCACGGATAGACGACGAGGGCACCCCTGGCGGATCTGGCACTAGCTTCCGGAGCTGGCCGAAGAGGGATAGGCGCAAGTCGATGGTTGTGCAGTCAACAACAGACGGCAAGCATTCTGCCGTTGCCTTTGATGAGTCGACTTTCAACCAGCACGGAAATCCGATGCTCCCCGAATACGGCGACGACTCCGGATCGGCGCTCGCTCTTCCTGCTACCCGGCTCTCCGAGTCGTCTAGGTCTGACGGCAGCTCTGCCGATCGCGTCTACGGCAGTACCACCACAACCACCCACACCGTTCAGACCACAACGACCTTCTTCCGCCTGCCGCGTCGCAAGAACGCCAATCCACCACCCCTTTTCCCCATCGGCCACTTGCCCCAGAAAGGACGGCCGATCACTCCCTCCGATACACCGGTGCCTGCCAAGCGCTCGTACGAAGGCAGCACGCGCAACGACATCTCGGCATCCTCACACGCCGGCGGGCTCTACGTCCTTGGCGAAGGACAGTCGACGCCGACACAATCGCGACCGTCGTCCCAGAACAAGGCGTTATCGACCCCGTCTGGAGTCGGACCATCTCCAGCTCTCGTTATCTTCCAGAAGGGAAACCACTCGCCAGCGTCTGCATTCTTTCGCCCAAGCTCGCGAAACTCGGGCCGCTCATCGCCGACACGCACGACTCCTGTGCCTTCGTCTGCCGCAGCTATGCATCTTCGGGGACGATCGTCTACCCTGAGCTCTCTGGGCCGAGACTCTCTCGAAGGCAACCACCCTCCACCCACCGTGAGGAGTTCATCTTCTGCCACAGGCCGCAAGAGCTTTGGCGACCTGCTGGGATTTAGCCGCTTGAGACAGAACTCGGAACTCTCTGTCCGCCCAGGCTCACTCGCTCCCGGCACTCCCTCGAACAACTCGCTTCATTTGCCGCGGGACTCCATCACCCTTCCTGAACGGCGGGACGACGATACGCCAGCCAAGTATCTGGCCCGTCTGGAAGAGGTTGTCAGTCGCAGCGTGATTGCCAGCGCATTATCCAAGTCGGCCGACCAGTTCTCCCAGGCCGTTCTGCGCAGCTACATGCGCAGCTTTAGGTTCTTTGGCGACCCAATGGACATGGCCATCCGGAAGCTCCTCATGGAGGCTGAACTGCCAAAGGAGACGCAGCAGATCGACCGCTGCCTGCAGGCCTTTGCAAACCGCTACCACGAATGCAATCCAGGGATCTACAATTCGCCGGACCAAGCATATTTCATCGCATTCTCGCTGCTGATTCTACACACCGATGTCTTCAACAAGAACAATAAACACAAGATGCAGAAGCAGGACTATCTCAAGAACACGCGTGGCGAAGGCATTTTCGACGAGATTTTGGAAGTCTTCTACGACAACATCACGTACACGCCTTTCATCCATGTCGAGGATGAACTTGACATTAACGGTGATCGCATCATCACCCACAAGGCTAAGCGAAAGTACATTTTCCCCAACGGGAATGTGGACATGGCCAAGAAAACATCCAAGGAGCCCATTGACCCTTACACGCTCATCATCGACAACAAGCTGGACATTCTGCGGCCCAATTTCCAGGACGCGATGCAGCTCGAAGACCCTTATAGCTACATAGGCACAGCAAGCTCGCTGAACATGAAGGAGTTGCAGAGTACATTTTTCCGTACTGGCATTCTCCAAATCGTCTCGGCGCGGTCCCGGCCCGATGCCTTCATGACATTGAAGACAGTCACGAATCCGGAGGAGGCCCATCCAGGCATCGTGGACATCAAAATCACAAAAGTGGGCTTGCTGTGGCGCAAAGAGGCCAAGAGGAAGAAGGCACGGTCCCCGTGGCAAGAATGGGGCGCCATACTGACTGGGGCCCAGCTGTACTTCTTCCGCAACACTACGTGGGTAAAGAGTCTGATTCATCAGTATGAGGGACATGTTCGGCATGGCCATGACGGCATCCCCGTTATATTCAAGCCGCCACTGGAAGAGTTCAAGCCCGACGCACTGATATCAACCGACGGCGCCGTTGCCTTGTTGGACTCGTCCTACAAGAAGCACAAGCATGCGTTCACATATGTGCGTCGCGGGGGCGATGAGGAGGTGCTTCTGGCGGACAACGAAGAAGAGATGAACGACTGGCTCGCGAAGCTCAACTATGCGGCTGCGTTCCGGACGTCTGGCGTCCGCATACGCGGCGCCATCGGCAGCCTGTACGAGGGCCAGAACAGACGGGTGCTGCGGCGTCTTGGGTCGGCCGAGGGCCAAGCGGTGCAGACTCCAAGCGGCGAGGTGACCATTACGCGCAGCCGGATCGACCAGAAGATGGCGGAAGATATATTGGCTGCACGCCGCGACATTATGCGACAAAAGGTTGCCGACGCGAACGAGAAGCTGGCAGGCGTAGAGAAGAAGCTGGAGGTACAGCTGCGCAACTCACGACATCTGCAAATCATGTCGCCCATTCAGCCCAAGACTCGCGAGCAGATGCTGCACTCGGCCGCCCGCATGGCCACCCAGGTACAATGGACGCGGGTGGAAATGTGGCGTCTCAAGTGCCATCGTGATATCCTGGAGATGGATCTGGACGAGGAGCACCAGGCTGTCGGGCTAGGCTCAGAGCACGCACTGGAAAGCGGTGCCGCCCTTGCAGGAGCGGTAGCAGTGGCCCCCGGCTTGGGAGGAGTGGCGGCCGAGGGCTCCTCGTCTACGGTAAATCAGCTGGAGCAGAAGCCCGGTCTCAGTCGGGAGGACTCGCTGGCCAGTTCGGCAAGCACAGTGCTGCAATGCAGCCCAAGGCCAACGACCCATTGTGGCTCTCTTGCCAGTGGCAGCGGTGGCTCTGGCAGTGTGATCGGTGTCGTTACCGATTTGCCGCTGTCAGACGCTTCCGCGACACCATCAAGCGCCACGCCAACGGTTTCGACACAGCACAATCGTCACAAGTCGGCAGAGCACACACCTACGACTGCTGGCAGCCCTGGTGTGCGGAAGGCGTCAGTCTCCAGTGCGGTGTCCGCCGGCAGCCATTCAGCCCTGGTGACGCCTTCGCGCGCTGCACGGAGGCCGAGTCTGCCGAATGAATCGACGTTGCAGCGCCAGACTCCGACGACGGCAGTTCCCGCCGAAGACTCGCAGCTGGACCACACGCCGGAGCCGAACGACGAGGATGCGGATGAGCAAACGCTTCTCCAGAAAACCGGACTCCTGGAGCCTGGACTGAGTCTCGTGGGGGCTGAGGCCGGGAGCGGCAGGCCGGCACTGGCCGAAGAAAGCAGCACGCCGTTAGCAACCGGGACACAGCACCACTACCCGGCCTCACTACATAGCCTGCCGCAGGCCCAGGGCATGTCCCAGCAGTCGTCCCCGTCGCAACACGACAAGAACAAGATTCGGCGCAGCCTACACCGCACTCTCAGGGAAGGTGCCGGCCACCTTTCGCACCACCGAGGCAAGAAGACAAGGGAGACGACCTCTGCTGGTGGCTCTGATGATGCGGCTGGCGAACCCGGCGTGCTCGAGCGTGGGAGCGGGTCGTTTGTGGTGCACGGAAAGAAGGCATCTGTCATCAGCTTTGGCGGCGATTTGCAGTCGATTTTGCCGTCAGACGAACGTCTGCGGCAGAGAATGTCGCTCCAGCAGTCATCGATGACGACGGGGAATGGTCAAGGCGATGCAGCGCAGTCGCTGGCGGAAGAAGCCGAAGGCGAGGGCGTTCGAGGTAGTACGCCTGCTGGGAACAACGATTTCCGGGCAATGGTTCTCCAACACGATCGCAATCAAGAACGACGAGAGTCTGCAGCCAGCACCAGCACAGCGACAGCTCGCAGCTTCCGGGAGCTGCACAAAAAGTATTCCTCCGTCCGGGCAGCGAGCAAATCGAGTACGGGTGGCCGGTCGGCATCGCGTCGTGACGATGGCGAGAGTGAGGCCGCAGTGAGCAGTGGGCTGGAAGGAGGGCACACGCCGCTCACACCAGCCCTGGAAGAGTCAGAAGGCAGCGGGGAAAAGCACTTTCCTAGAAGAGGTAGAGGGAGGATGGCTGACGACGAGAGCCAGGACGACTCTGACGCGGTGACGGATGACGACGAAGACGACTACGACAACGACAGCATCTATTCAGTCAACGAAGACGTGCCGTCGCAGTTCTTCACGTCCGAACCGCCGGCGTCTCCGCGGGCGAGGACACCGGAAGTGGGAGACGATGAGTCAGCATTGGAGCTTGACAGCGGTTCTGCGACAGGACTCGCGGCTCAGACCATCCACGCATAGCGCGCGAGGGGGTTGGCTGTATGTGAGTCTGTCAGACAGCTGGTGATCTGATGAGACAGCGAAGACGGTGGCGGGACCGGGTGCCTGCTGCTCGGGTGCATTCTCTATATCCAATTTCCTTTATGTTTAGATGGACCTGCATGGCCGACATGGCTCCGACGCACCGCCTTCTGTGGCACTCACTCGTTTCTTCTTTTACTTTTCATTTCTTTTTATTTATTGGAAGAGCGAGAGAGAGAAAGCCGGGGGCTGATTTTCGAAGGGCATTGATCACCAACAAAAAGGGCAGAGAGTCAGGGTCAGGACGTTTTGAGATGGACATTGATATCCTTTATGCATGTACCTGTATCAATAGACGGGCGCTGGGACACAAGTGCACGGGATGCATAGAAAGCATTTGAGTACAAATTCAGAGTTACAAGCACGACAGCAGATCTGTGCACGATCTGGACGAGATGCGATGTGCTCTAGACCCTAGGAATGGGTGAGACAACGGAGAAAAAGGACGTATTTTCCAAGACAAGCGAACAGGAAAAGTACTAAGGCAACCGCAGGGAGAAGAGAAGAACAACGCGTAAAGTGATTTAACTATGGGGACAGCAGTTGAGCGCGTCACGGGCGGCCAATCACAACGGGCAGCAGCCCCTGCGCGCGTCGGGCAGATCAGAGAAGGCGTAGCCGGTCTGTCCCCACCTGGGAGGCCTGGATAGAGTGCTGTGACCCAGTCGGCACGCGTTCTTGGTGGGCTGCATCGTTGGGCTTGCGGATGGATCAAAACAAAGAACCAGAGCAGAGACAAAGTTTTGCGGAGCAGCAACGCCGTTGTTTGTTATTGCTTCTTTCGGCCTGGTCTGGGCACTATTTTACTCCGACATCCCCCCCTGCTCGCCCACGGTGATTTCGTGACCGCGCTTGAGCAAGGGCCCGACGGCAGAAGAACGGACTGCAGAGACGCAGGGAGCAGAAAGGGGGAATAATGGGAGGAAGGGCCAGGCCACGTGGAGACGGAGATAAAGCGAGCTGGCGAGCTCGATGCGCCGCGATACGCGTATGTATCTTACGGGCGAGGACAATGGAAAGGTCGCTGAATAGGACCTCTGTAGCGCTAAGAGCGCTGAATCGCGCCAAAGAACGCCAGAGCACGCCAGCACGACAACACGAGGCATGACAGGACAACAAGAACAGCGGCTCCAGCTGCGCGCGCATGTGGGACCGTGACGGCCCTGCTGGCATGGGCCATGCGCGCCCTGGCGGCGCAAGACACAAGACACAAGACACCCAAGAGCTGCCTCTTTGCGCCGTTGCGGTCGTATGGCGCAAACAAAGAAGCGGGCCCGGCTCCAGGACCACAGCAACTTCATTCGCCATGAACGCTAGCCCGAAGCAGCAATGCGTGGCCCGTGCGTGCATGGCCTTTCACAACACCAGCACCCCCCTTTCCACTGGCTGCTAGGCCCAGTCGACCATCAGCCAGCACCCACAGCCCACAGCCCACACAGCCCACAGCCGCCCGCCACCAATCCACGAAATCCCATCCGGTCTGACTTGCTCCTGCCTCTTTCTCCGTCCACCACACCAACCTCGTCGGACGACAACAAAGACGATCGCCGACGCCAGAACCCGCTCCCTGGCGAACTCTTCTCCAACACGCACGACAACAGATCTATCTGTCTCCCTACAAGCTCAATCCTACGGTTTCGGCCTCGCGTCCCTAGTATTCGCTTAATCCTATTCCTCTCTGCTCTGCAATCGACACGCCGCCATCCTCGCCAATTCCAATCCTAAAAAAACAGCTTCCTATTTCCGCTGTCTTGAAATAGCGTTATTGCTGCATTCTTTACCTGCACCTCCGACCGGAAGAACAGTCTTTCTGGCGCCATAGTGCATCTGTGCCGCCCGACGCCCGCCGGCTGTACCGCGCGAGAAAAAGAAGAGATCTGTCAGACCGACAGGCTCCAAGGACGAGAAAGAAGCGATAGGGACCTTCAAGCCGGGCCGACTGGGTGAATGGGGTCAACAGCCTCCCGGACTTCTCTTTGCACTCACCTCTGCTCTTGTTCTGCATCGGCCAGTCCCGACATCTCTGTCCCGATCGAGTCCGTCCTCACGGTGCCTCGTTTCTTACCCCTCTCGGCGTCGTTGCGACCCCGAGCCTCCTCCCGTCGTCGGTCTCGACCCTCGTCAAGCCAGAGAGACCATGGCGCCCTCCTGCACAGATAGAAATGGTGCTGCATCCTCCTCATCGGCGGCAGCAGCAGCCGCATCCGCAACACCACCGCCGCTCTCGGCTGTCCCGTCATCGTCGGCAAGCCTTCTCGCAAACTACTCACCGCTTCCTCCACCACTGGCAGCTTCCAAACACGCGGCGCCTTCTTCTTCCCGCATCGGCTCGTCCATCGGTGGCGCGTCGGCAAGGATAGCCACCACGCCACCCCCGCCATCGGCCTATTCACGCGGACACCTGCATGAGGTGGACCGAAATACCCACAGCATTGACGGCATGATCAGCCAGTCTGGTCCGGGCAGTCACAGCAACGCCCATCGCATCACCCGGGCCAGTGTCCGCAGCAGTCTGGGCGAGGCCGGCCGGACAAGCAGCGGCTTTCTTGATCCAGACGCCGTCGACAGCGCTTTGCGACGCGAGCTCGGCCGCCAGACCCGACACCAGCTCGTCCCCCCGCAATCGGCACCGAGAGAAGGCGTCCCGGGGGCAAGTCCGCATAGGAAGCGGCAGAGAATAAACGGCGACCGGTCAGTTTCTGCTCAGACCCCCATCACCGTGTCGTGTGCTCTCTGCTGACCGTATGACAGCTTCATCCCGACGCGGTCTGGCCAAGACCTGCAGGCCAGCTTCAGCCTGCTGCACGAGGACGGCTCTCCGGCAACGCCGTCCAAGCAGAAGAAGCGCACACCCCATGGGGATCTGCACTTCCAGAGGAGTATGTATCTGCCCGGAAGCCCCTTCAGACGCGACATGGCTGACGTGACGCGCCCTGCAGCCGAAGAAGCCAACCGGACGTTTTCGACGCTCCTACGTGCCGAGCTGTTTGAGGACTCGATACCACAGGTGACGCCTCCATCCATGTCACCGGACCACGCGCTGCCCAGCTCAGCACGCGTGACTAACGTGCTGGACGGGACGCGCTCCCATACCCCCCCACGCACGACCAACCCCACCTCGTCGTCGGCCGGCCCCTCGTCCATGACGCCTTCGACCCCACACAAGAACCTCTTTTCCTACATGTCCCCCCGGCAGTACAGCCACGTTGCCGGCCACCCGACCCCATCACGGACACCGCAGAGCCGTCATGGCCCGAACCTAGACACACGCGCAGAGATTTACAGCCTGTCGCCGGTGCGGTTCGGCAGCCAGCAGATCCTGCTCAGCCCACGGCGCCAGCCACGGGCGGTCAGCAAGGTTCCCTACAAGGTTCTCGACGCGCCGGAGCTTGCCGACGACTTCTATCTGAACTTGGTCGACTGGGGCAGTGCCAACGTGCTGGGCGTGGGCCTGGGCTCGAGTGTGTACCTGTGGAACGCGCAGACGAGCCGGGTCAACAAGCTGTGCACACTCAGCGACGACGACACGGTGACGAGCGTATCGTGGATCCAGAAGGGCACACACATTGCCATTGGCACGGGCAAGGGCCTGGTGCAGATCTGGGATGCGGAGAAGGCACGGCGGCTGCGAACGATGACGGGCCACACGATGCGGGTGAGCTCGCTGGCGTGGAACACGCACATCCTTTCGTCGGGCTCGCGGGACCGGCTGATCTACCATCGCGACGTACGGGCACCGGACCAGTGGCTGCGCAAGCTGGCCGGCCACAAGCAGGAGGTGTGCGGACTCAAGTGGAACTGCGAGGACGGACAGCTGGCCAGCGGCGGCAACGACAATAAGCTGATGGTGTGGGACAAGCTGGACGACACGCCGCTGTGGAAGTTCTCGGACCACACGGCGGCCGTCAAGGCGATTGCCTGGTCGCCACACCAGCGCGGACTGCTGGCGTCGGGGGGCGGCACGGCTGACCGGCGCATCATCTTCCACGACACAATCAAGGGCACGGTGGTCAATGAGGTCGACACGGGCAGCCAGGTGTGCAATCTGGCGTGGTCCAAGAACTCGAACGAGATCGTGTCGACGCACGGCTACTCGCAGAACCAAATTGTTGTGTGGAAATACCCGTCCATGACGCAGGTGGTCAGCCTGACCGGCCACACGTACCGCGTGCTGTACCTGGCTATGAGTCCGGACGGCCGGGTGGTGGTGACGGGGGCCGGCGACGAGACGCTGCGGTTCTGGAACGTCTTTGGCCGCAAACCGGGGACGCGCGACGACAGCGACGGAGGTGGCCGCCTGGCCGACTGGGGAGTCATCCGGTGAGGGCGGCTCGGAGACCTTGTTGTACTTTTTGACTTGGGGCTGCATTGGGCCTGGCCGGGTGGCGGTCTCGGCCGGCATATCGGGGTGTTGTCTGGCTATGTACATTGCTTTTTGTTTTCTTTTTTTCCGTTTTCCGTTTTCCGGTTTCCGGTTTCTGTTTACTGTTATACCGTTTTATTTTATCACGATGAGCGGATCGATGCATGCGGAATGGAGCAGGTTTGGCTTTTTGTCTTTTTGTCTTTTGGGTTTTCATTTCGATTTGTCTGTTTTACTAGCAATAGGTTCTCAGCGAAGAGCGAACCAGCATAGACGCGAGGAGATGTGAATGTCTATTGTTTGCGAGCGAAATACATGAATGTGACAGGGAGCAGAACAGAAACGCAATGGGCACGTGACTTGGTAGCAAAGAGGACAGGGAGACAGGGAAACAGGAAATCAGGTAAACAGTGAAACAGTGAAACGTCCGCCTTAGACAGCCCGACGCCGCGCCACGTCCTTGGCACCCTCGTCTGCCTCGACGCCGGTGCCAGTGGCCCCGGCTGGCGAAGTGGTGTGGGTGGTGGTGCCGTTCTGGCTGGCGTCCAGCAGGGGGATCTGATCGATGCTGTGGGAGCGGTGGACGGCATCGAGGGGGGGGCTGGCGTCGTTGCTGTGGAGGCCATCGACAGTGCTGGCAGTGCTGGCGCCGCGCTGGTGGCCGACAGGACCGTCGGCAGCGATATGCCACTTGGCGACCTCGAGCTTCATGGTCTCGAGCTCCTTCTGGAAGCGATTGCCAAAGACGTCAATGTAGTAGGTGGCGCCGTTGTAGATGCTCCAGGTGAAGACGGAGAAGAGAAAGATGGCACTGGCACCACGATGGTAGAACCAGAGAGGACACGGCAGCATGGTCAGGACGGCATAGAGGTACTGGATCAGCATGAAGGCAGGCTCCTGCAGAGTGCCGGGCAGCGAGAGGACGACATGGCCGATCCAGGTGCCGCTGTAGGAGCGACGCAACCAGGTGAAGGAGGTCGGCCGGCCAGCGGCGATCTTGTCGCGACGCCGCACGGTGATGAAAAAGTAGTAGGACAGCTGCCAGACGGCGTAGGGGATGGTGGACCACGACAGCATGGAGACGACGTTAGCGTAGGCACCAGGCGTGCCGGGCGGCGAGTGCAGGACGGCGTAGATGGCGGGAAAGCGGCGACGCTGGGTGTCGGGATCGAGCAGGTGGACGAGACTGTGCAGAGTGGCACACGGCATGACGTGGATGAAGAGCGACGTGACCTTGTCGAAACTGTGGAAGACGAGCGAATTGCGCCACATGATGATCGCAACCGCATTGTTGCCCATGGCGAGACAGTAGGTGGCAACGAAGAGCCGACGCGACCCGGGAAAGACCCAGATGCTGAGCAGCAGCAGCATGTTGACAAAGTAGCAGAGATCGGCGAGAAAATAGTGGTAGCCGCGGCGACGATACGTGTAGAAACGCACCGGCATAAAATAGCAGAGCTGCACGGTGTACCACAGCGGCATCCATTCCGGCCAGCCGCCGATCAGGTATCCGCTGATAAAGATGTTAAGCACGCCGCAGATAAACGACACCTTCTCGCGCATCGTGATGGCCCGCGTGTCGTTCCACTGCCGTCCGAGCCGTTCGACGTTGATGCGCATCCGCTTGCGGTATCGTTCCAGCTGTTCTTCGGCTGACGGCGCCCGTTGCCGCCATTCTTCCACCATGCGGCTGCGTGCACCCTGGCTGCGTGACTTGAGAGCATCCCGCGACTCGCGCAGCTTGCGTGTCTGTGCTGAGATGCCCTTGCTCAGCTTCTCCAGCTGCTGCGGCAGGGCAAAGTTGTCCAGCAGGTCCAACATCCCCAGTCGGTCCAGCGGCGGAATGTCCCAGTCCTCCAGGTACGAGCTGCTGCCCGAGAACGATGCGTGTCGCGACGATGTCGAGCCCATTCGCGGGCTCTTGTCCGCCGGCGTTGTCGGTCCCAGCTGCGGCGTCTCGGCCATCGACTGTTCGGCCGTCAGCTGTGGCGAGCCGCCTGGTGTTGTGGTGGCCGTCGATGTCGTTCTGCTAGTCGTACCTGCTGCTGCTGCCGCTGCTGCCGCTGCTGCCGCTGCTGCCGTTGCTGTTGCTGCCGCTTCTGCTGCTGCTCCGATCCCACTGCTGCTGCTGCCCATTGACGGCGTCAGCATCTGCTCGCTGTCGGTCGACGCGCCTTCCGACTTGGTCGATGGGATCGCCATCGGCGTGTTGCTGTCCAGCTCTGCCATTTCCGCCAGCCTGCGATGCCGAAACCGTGGCTGGTCGTTGTGAAAGGACACCTTCCGCAAGGCCGCTGCAATCCGGACCATCAAGACGTCAGCCATCGTGAGAAACGGGATGCACAAAAAAAAGACGCAGAAACGGGGAGTTTCGCCTCCTCGGACCACCCGGGAATCAACCGTCTCTGCGTATATCTGCCGCGGGATGACGGACGCAGATGCACTGCCGAAAACGGATGTGGATGAGGGGCAAAGACAAGAGACCCTGCTGCAATGCAACGGTCGGGCAGAAGAAGAACGAGCACCCAGCAACAGCACCAGCAGCAGCACTAGCACGCATGTCGGAGCCTCTCGCCGCGCGCCAAAAGAAAGCAGACCTTACCTCGTCTTTTCGTATGGGTCAGGTGTGGTCACGCTGCCCGTCGTGGTGTGTAGATGACCTGCTAGCCCAGCTGACCGATATTGGGCCTCTTGACTGGGTCGAGCTCGCCAAGGATGACAAACTGAAAAGACAGAAATACAAGTCCCGTGCTGATCCCGTCTGTGTGCACAGGACGCTATGCTGCAACAGATGGTGGCCGATTTCTCTGTCTCTGTCGAGAATGGCTGTCAGTGCCGGTGGCAGATTGATTGTGATCGAGTCTTTCGGCCACGAGGTATGTAATAGGGAAGGGATGAGGTAGATCGACGTCTTCCCAAACCGGCTAGCGCCATCTCGTTACGTCTGCCTGAGCCACAGCGTGTTCCAAGACCGCGTCTTGGTTGGATCTTGCCAGTGGCTTTGTCGTGTCACGTGCAATGTCAGTCTGCTACGCGTGCCTACCTGCTCCCCCGCGCTTTGCGCCTAGAGCTGTCGTCGCGTAAATTCAAACCTCACGATCAGAAAGTGATAAACGCGAAAGGTGCAACCTCACCACCACCAACCACCACCCTCCAACGCTTCTCGGCACCCCGGCAGATTGCACGTCTGCACAGCCTCCATTTCACGGACGAGCGGACTTGCCTCGTCTGCTGCCCGGAAACGGCCAGCTGTAATACGCGGCCTGCTTTTCGCCTCCGGCTGCGTGTTTCGTTCGTCGTCTCGCCCCGAAATCCTTCACCGCGATTCCCCTGAAAGGCTTTGCTATCTGTCGCTGTCGTAGCGCGAACGACGGCCGCCGCCGCCGTTGCACCCTGCTGCAAAGATGGGCAAACTCAACCGTCTGGAGCTTTTCAGTACGTCTGACAGCTTAGCTTCCGCTATCTCTTCCTTGCTTATACTAATCGGCCTGCCTACCGATTAGACTTCAAGTCCTACAAGGGCCACCATGTCCTTCTCTTTGGCGACTCCTACTTCACATCTGTTGTCGGGCCCAATGGCTCCGGCAAATCCAACTCGTGCGTCACTCCTGCTTGCTGACCCCTCGTGCCCAACGCCTCCCGTCTGACTGACCTTTGGTGCCGTGCAGTATGGATGCCATATCCTTCGTCCTGGGTATCAAGTCGTCCCACCTCCGGTCGAGCCATCTGAAGGATCTGGTGTACCGAGGACGTGTGATGGAGACGTCAAAGCCGAGCGAGGATGCGCCCGAGACGAACGAGACAGGCGGCGACGCTCTCGAAGACGATGAAGGCGGCCGGTCCGGCCGTGGCGACCCCAAGACCGCCTGGGTCATGGCAGTATACGAGGACGACGCCGGCGATACGCACCGCTGGAAGCGGTCCATCACCAACCAGGGCTCCAGCGAGTATCGCATCAACAATCGCGTCGTCACGGCTCAGGACTACAACCAGGCCCTGGAGAATGAAAACATCCTCATCAAGGCCCGCAACTTTCTCGTCTTCCAGGGTGACGTCGAAGCCATCGCGTCGCAGTCGTCCCAGGACCTGACCCGCCTCATCGAGCAGATCTCGGGCAGCCTGGACTTCAAGCCCGAGTACGAGCGCCTCAAGGCCGAGGCCGAGCAAGCCATCGAAAATCAGAACTTCCACCTCACCAGGCGACGCGCCATCAATGCCGAAATCAAACAGTACCAGGAGCAAAAGGCCGAGGCCGAGAGCTTCCAGCGGAAGCTGAACGAACGGGACGAGGCCATCGTGAACCAGATGCTCTCCAAGATCCACCACTACCAGCGCATCATGGACGACTCCAGCGTCCAGATCCAGGACCACCAGGAGAACCTGGCCGAGTTCCGTCGCAAGCTGCACTCGGCCGAGAAACAGCTGGAAGAGGCGCGTGCCGAATATGCCGCTGCACACAAGGAGGCCTCCAAGGTCGAGAGGCGCATCCGCACCAAGGAGCGGGAGATTGAGGACGAGGAGAACAGGCTGATCCCCAGCGCCGAAAAGGTGGAACAGCTGTCGCGCGAGATCGCCACACTCAGCCAGAGAGTGGCATCGGCTACGGAAGAGCGCGACGCCATGGTGGCGCGCGTGCAAAAGGCAGAAAAGGACATGGCCATTGTCGAAAAGGCCCGGGTGCAGTTTGAGAAGCAGTGGAAGGAAACGCTGCAGAAGCAGGGCAAAGACCTGAGCGAGGCCGACCGGAAGGAATACCACACGCTCCGGTCCGATCTCCTGAAGAAGAGCGCGCTCGAGATAGTGGACCGGGACAACATGCGGCGACAGCTCAACAGCGACGAGGTGACGGTCAACACGATCAAGGGCAACATTGACAACCGGCAGTCGCGGGTGGCCAAATTGGAGGCCGAGCTCGAGACGATCAGGGAGCGCCGCGACGGCTGCAAGCAGGACGTGCACAAGCTGGGCCAGGACGTGGACGCGGCCAAGAAGGCGTACAACCAGGCCAAGTCGGAGCGCGTGCGCGTAAACAACACGGTGACGGAGATCGAGGAGAACATGCAGGAGATTGCCACCCGGTTGGAGACGGCACGGTCTGGCATGGTGCAGAGCCGCAAGGAGACGCGCATGAAGGAAGTCGTGTCGCAGATGCGACGCATCTACCCGGGTGTGCACGGTCGCGTGGGCGAGCTGTGCAAGCCAAAGCAGAAGAAGTACGACGACGCGGTGGTGACGGCGCTCGGCCAGGATTTCGACTCGGTGATTGTGGACGGCGAGAAGACAGCGTCGGACTGCATCCAGTACCTCAAGGAGCAGCGGCAGACACCGATGACGTTCATCCCGCTCGACAACGTCAAGGTGAACACGCCCAACACGGCGATCCGGGGCATCCAGGGAGCGCGGCTGACAATCGACACGATCGACTTTGACGCCCACCTCGAGCGCGGCATGGCCTTTGCCTGCGGCGGCTCCGTCATCTGCGACTCGATGGAGGTGGCCAGGAACATTGTGTACCAGAAGCGGCTGCCAGTCAAGGCCGTCTCGCTGGAGGGCTTCCTCATCAACCGCTCCGGCACGATGACGGGTGGCCGGATGCCGGACCAGAAGGGCAATCGCGGGAAGCGCTTTGCCGAGGAGGACGTGCAGAACCTGGAGCGGATATACGAAAAGAAGCGGGCCGACCTGGAGAAGCTGCCGAAGCCGAGCCACCTGCTGCACCACGAAAAGGTGCTCAACGATGACCTGGCCAACCTGGAGCAGCGGCTGCGGGCAGCGCGTGCCGAGCTGCAGGCGTTTGAGAAGAACTTTGGCGGCAAGAAGAAGGAGGCCGAGGTGGAGACGAAGCAGCTGCACGAGCGGGAGCAGAAGCTGGCAGAGGAGTCGGCCAAGCTCGAGAGCACGCGCCGGGCCGTCGCACAGACGGAGCAGGCAGTGATGAAGATCGAGGACAAGATCTTTGCAGCCTTTTGCACGAAGCACGGCTTCACAGACGTGCGGGAGTACGAGGCACAGCAGGGCAGCCTTGAGCAGCAGGCCGAGGAGAAGCGCGGCGAGTTCAAAGTGCAGCTGCAGCGGCTGAAGTCGGCCCTGAGCTGGGAGACATCCAAGCGCGATAACACGGCGCTACGAGTCGAACAGATGGAGCGGCAGCTGCAGGTGCGGCGAAAAGACCTGCAGCAGCACGAGACGGAAAAGGCAAGTATCAGCGAGATTGTGGCACAGGCACGGCGCGATGTGGACCATCTGCACGCTAAGTTGGATCAGATCCAGGAGGAGAACAGCACGACGACAGACAAGGTGGCCGAGACCAAGGCAGAGGTGCAGCGGTGGCAGCGCGAGATCGAGTCGCGGCTGAAGGAGATCAACGGGCTCGAGACGGAGGTGCAGAAGAACAGCGCGGCCAAGTTTGCGCTGCTGCAGCGCTGCAAGATGGAGCAGATCCAGATACCACTGCTAGAGGGCTCTCTCGACAACCTGCCGAACGAGGACCAGCTGCTCAACCAGGATCCGGACGCGATGGACGTTGATGATGGCGACGACGGCGTCATGGAAGCAGCCATGGACGATCACGGCATCGAGGTGAACTTTGACCGTCTCGAGGCGGAATTCAAAAATGTTAGTGTGGCTGAGGGGCGGAAGGTTTTTGTGGTAGACAGCAGTGCCAAGTACTAACGTCTGTCTTCCGATAACAGCAGGACGAAGAGCACATTGAAGAGCGGCTGGAGGCCAAGATTGCCGAACTGACGGCCGAGCTGGAAAAGCTGAACCCCAATATGCGGGCGATCGAGCGGCTAGAGTCGGTGGAAGGCAAGCTGCGCGAGGTCGACAAAGAATTCGAGGACAGCAAGAAGATTGCGTACCGGATCAAGACGGAATTTGAGGACATCAAGGGACAGCGGACCGACGTGTTCCGCAAGGCGTTCTCGCACATCCAGGAGCAGATCACGGAGGTGTACAAGGAGCTCACGCGGACGGAAGCGTATCCGTTGGGCGGCCAAGCCTACCTCGACATCGAGGCCGAGGGCGACGAACCGCCGTATCTCAGCGGCGTCAAGTACCACGCGATGCCGCCGCTGAAGCGATTCCGCGACATGGAGCACCTATCTGGTGGCGAGAAGACGATGGCGGCGCTGGCGCTCCTGTTCGCCATCCACAGCTACCAGCCATCGCCCTTCTTCGTGCTGGACGAGGTAGACGCGGCGCTGGACAATGCCAACGTGGACAAGATCAAAAAGTACATCCGCGAGCACGCAGGACCGGGCATGCAGTTCATCGTCATCAGCCTCAAGCCGGGCCTGTTTCAGGACAGCGAGAGCCTGGTGGGTGTGTACCGGGACCAGGACGTCAACAGCTCCAAGACGTTGACGCTAGATGTGAGTATTGATTCTGATGTTTGTCTTTTTTTGCTTTGTAGTCATAGCTAACTTTGGGCAGCTGCGGAAATACGTCTGATTGCTATTAGGGGACACAGTGTTTGGAGTGTCAACTCGGCCGGCGCACGTGGGCGTCATGTTCTGTGTATATACTAGGGAGGATAGCCGTTTTGTTTCTTCGGTGGGCTGTGAGTGTTGAGAGGAGACGGCCTTTCCATGGAGTTTTAAAGATACTTGTCCTTTCGATGTGCGTCATTTTATGAAGCCCCCGGTTCTTTTCGTTCCTTCCGCCCCATGGTGGCGTGGCCGAAGCTGTGGTTGCGCCAGTTGTCATGAATTGTGTCGTTCTTTCCCGAGTGACAAGGTTCCGGGACTGTCTCCCTAATTATTAAAGTCCCGAAATAGCAAGTGCGGCCGTCTCAAAACGGCATTTCCCTTTTGATCGCGAGGGTTAGTACGCCAATGGCTGGCTTAGTATGGCAAAAGGGAGAAAAAATTTCGCTGCTACTCGTATTTTGGAAGTCTCCACTTTTATGATTTGTGGGGGCAAAGAAGAGTCACTCTTTCTGTCGTGGGCCTTTAATGGCTGCCACATGTCCATTGCCATTCTCTTGAGCACTTCCTTGCTTCAGAGAGCTACCCAATTCACGACCTACCTCCTGGTGCATCGCCCGTACAGTTCCCCCCACGTCGCTCTACACAACACGGACATGTCGCGGCCAGTACTACGGAACCCGGCCACGGGCGGGTGGATCGTGCAGAAGTTTGGTGGCACCAGCGTCGGCAAGTTCCCGGAGCAGATTGCTGAAGATATTGTCCGGTGGGTGTTTGGCGAGCAAGCTCTACAGGTCTAGCCGAAGCTCCCACGGCAGCAGGGCCCCTCCCCCACGCCAGAGCTGACCAGACTTTTCCTCTGCAGGCAGTATGTTTCGAGTAACAACCGGGTGGTGATTGTGTGCTCAGCACGCAGCCCTGGCAAGAAGGCCAGCGGCACGACCAGCCGGCTGCTGGATGTGTACCGGCGGCTGCAGCAGCTGGCGGCGGCGACGGCGATCAGCGACGAGCAGGCGCAGACGGAGCTCGTGGAGTCGGCGCAGCAAATCATCCAGGACATATGCGACGAGCACCTGGCGGCAGCAGACGCGACGATCGAGGACACAGCACTGCGGGCGGCTCTGCGCAGCGAGATCGAGGCGGAGTGCGGCGAGCTGGCCGAATACGTGGCGGCGACGAAGCGGTTTCACCTCGAGGTCAACGCGCGGTCCAAAGACCGGCTGGCGAGTCTGGGCGAGAAGCTGAGCTGCCGCTTCATGACGTACGTGTTGCGGGACCACCAGGTGGCGGCTGAGTATGTGGACCTGGCAGATGTGCTTCACAAGAGCAGCAACAGCAGCAACAGCAGCAGCAACGACAGCGGGCGGCTGGACGCGGCCTTTTACCGGGACGCGGCAGCGGTGTTTGGGCGGAAGATGGCAGCGTGCGAAGACCGGGTGCCGGTGGTGACGGGCTTTTTCGGCAATGTGCCGGGCAGCCTGATGGACGGCGATGTGGGCCGCGGCTATACGGACCTGTGCGCGGCGCTGGTGGCGGTGGGTCTCTCGGCCAAGGAGCTGCAGGTGTGGAAGGAGGTGGACGGAATATTCACGGCCGACCCGAGCAAAGTGCCGACAGCACGACTGATTCCGTCGATCACGCCGTCGGAGGCGGCCGAGCTGACGTTTTACGGGTCGGAGGTGATTCACCACCTAACGATGGACCAGGTAATCAAGGCGACGCCGCCAATTCCGGTGCGGATCAAGAATGTCAAGAACCCGCGCGGTGATGGAACGATTGTGCTGCCAGATCCGGTGCGAGCGCCGGGTCAACAGCTGCAGAAGTCGGCGGCACGGGGCAGCGGAGCGGCGACGGGGCCACAGCGGCCGACGGCGGTGACGATCAAGGACCGGATCTCGGTGCTGAACATCTACTCGAACAAGCGGTCGCTGGCGCATGGCTTTGTAGCCCGAGTCTTTTCGGTGCTGGACCAGCACCAGATCTCGGTGGACCTGATCGCGACGAGCGAGGTGCATGTGTCGATGGCGATCCACGCGCCAGATGCTAGCGAGGGCGCCGCTGTTGAGGACAGCCACCTGGAGCGGGCGCGGCGCGAGCTGGGGGCATTGGGCGATGTCAGCCTGTTGCACGGCATGGCCATCCTCAGTCTGGTGGGCGCCGACATGAAGAACATGATCGGCGTGGCCGGCAAGATGTTCTCGACGCTGGGCGAGCACGACATCAACATTGAGATGATTTCACAGGGTGAGTTTGTGTGTGTGTGTTGGTGTTGCGGTTTGAAGCTGTGTGTATTGTGTTGCTTGAACTTGTGTGTTGTTTGTTTTGTGTTCGTATGTACTGACTTCATCCAGGTGCCAGCGAAATCAACATCTCCTGCGTCATCGATGCGCAAGAGGCAACGCGGGCCATGAACGTGTTGCATACGAATCTGTTTACGTTTTTGGAATAGTCTCTAGGGGAGTGTTGCATGTTGTGCATGATTAGGGCTGGCAACTCCTGGCAAGGAGATCCATGTATAGATGCCATGCAGGCGGAGTTATCGGTTGTGGGTCAGTGGCCGTTCTAGGGAGAAATCAGAATACGCTTTTGGTCTAGATGTGCGGCGTCGTCCCTTCCTGTTTGGTCTCATTATCACCATGCTTACAAAGCAGACAAGTCTCGATTGTCTGTCCCTGTCCTCCACTGCCTCATTTCTTCCCCTTCTTCCGCTTCTTGGCCGCACTGTTGCCACCGGGCCCCAGCACCGACGCCTTCTCGACCTTGACCGAGCCAGCGCCGCCAGCCAGCGCCAACGTCTCCTCTTCGCGCACGACGCCGCCCTGCATGGTGGCCGCGTCGGCACCGCGTCGCCGGCCGCCCTTTTTTCCCTTGGGCGGACGGTACGAGCTGCGGTCGCGCAGCGGCAGCCACCGCTCGGCGTCCGGCGTCTTGGCGGCGTCAAATGTGGCCGCATCCTTGGCCTGCAGCTTGCGGGCCTGTCGCGAAAGCGTGGCGGGCGTCTTGGCCTTCTTGGCCAGCGGCGTGTTGGCTGCCGTCTCATCAGCATCGCGGGAGCGCTTTTTGGCTGCTGCTGCTGCTGCTGCTGCTGCAGGAGCCGTTGCCGTGGCAGCAGGAGCCAACACGGCTACGCCGCCCTGCAGAAGTCGATCGACGTCGACGCCCTGCACGAGCTTATCGACCGGCGTCAACGAAGCGGCTAGTTGGCGATGGTGGTCCGACAAAGCCGAGGACGGGGACGTGGTGGCAGCTGCGGCGACAAGTCCGGCCACAGCGACGCGGTCGGTCGGGTCAGCCGCGTGCAGCTGTCCAAACGCGGTCGCAGCGACGGCCTGATCAGCCGGATCGGGTGAGCGCAGCAGCTCGACGCCGGCGGCACGGAGCAGTGAAGCCGGAGCATCCGTCGTGGACAGCTGCCAGTGGGCGACAGCAGCAGCCAGCTCGGTGCGCACGGCACCATGACGACCCTGCAGCCGGTAGAGGGCGACAGCGAGGGCGACGAGGCCGGGGGCAAAGCGCACGCATGGCGTCTCGCAGTGAGCAAAAAAGGCCTCCAGCAGGCCGACGGCAGCAGCCGGGTTCTTGTTCTGGCGCAGATGCAGCTGCAACGTTGTCAGCAGCAGGCCGACGTCGCCAGGACGGTCCTCTAGCAGCGGCTGTAGGCGACGCAGAGCCTCGTTGCCGGTCTGCATCCCGGCCTTGGCGGCCGCGTGGAAGAGGCCGAGGTCGACCAGAGAAGCAAGGTCGAGGTCGCTGTCGAGAACCTGCTTCTTGAGCTGTCTTGCCGTCCGCGTCTGCACGCCCTTGAACTTGAAGCACTGCAGCTCGAGCGCGAGCTGGTTGTGCCGCATGACGCGCGCCTGGTGGCCAAACAACCGGTCACTGCCAGCCGATGGCGGCGACCCAATGGCAGCCATCTTGGCCTGCACTGCATATGGGTTGGTCTCGGTGTTGTTGCTGTCGTCAGCACCCACGACGACATTGTTGATTTGGGCCACCGCCTTGGTCGCGCCTTCATCCACGTCGATCAGCTGGCCCAGGCCTCGATGCAGTGCGGCCGCGTCGCCATGGCGGCCCAGCCGCGTCAGCGCATAGGCCTGTTGCACTAGAATCGGCAGCAGCTCGGCTCGCTTGTCGTCGTCGCTCAGCTCCTCGGACGCTTCGCACAGCTGCTGGGCTCGACGCAACAGCACGCTCGCCCGTGCCGCATCACCGCCTGCCAGCAGCGCGCTGCCCGCATTGTACGCCGTCTCAAACGTCTCCAGGTCCTGTCGTCGTCCCACGTCGGCATTGCTCCTGGCTCCAGCTGCTGTCGGCTCCAACCACGAGACCTGTGCTGCTGTGGCCAGCGTGTTTATCCGCAGGTCCAGCGCTTCGCCTGTGATGTCGTCGTTCTCACCATTGCCTCCACCCTCTGACAGCTCGCCGTACAGAGACGCCACGCGGCCAAACTTCTCCGCCCGGTAGGCCACCTGAGCAGCCACGTGCTTAAGTGCCCGTGAAATCGATATTGACGACGATGACGACGACAGCCTTTCGTCAGCTTTCAGCAGCGTCTCGGCCTCTGCCAACTCGCCCGTCTTGTACAGCGCATACGCCCGCTCCAGCACGCACCGCGTCGCTAGCGCGTCGCCTCCTTCTGCCACCGCTCGCAGCGCGTCGTCAAACCGGTCCAGCTTCAGCAGCGCCACCACTTTTGTGTGCTGGGCCGTCGCCAGCTGCTCGCCCGCACCGCTGCTCGCCCGTGCTGCCTGTATCGCACCATTGGCCAGCTTCAGCGCCTCTTCATGATCCTCGATTCTCGTGCCCCGCAGCAGCGAGTTGAGCGCGTTGACCGCCGCGTTGGCCATCGGATAAGATAAAGCGAGAAGACGAGGTCGGGAAAATTGAAAAATGATCGATCGTCGCTGGCTTGTTGGCTCCGGTGTTGCTTCACATACGTCTTCGCACACGTCTTCGCGTACGTCCCGTAGCACCACACGGATATCGCAATGTGTCCACCGATGGTCTTGTCCGGCTGATCCCGCTGCTCACCGGATTCTTCTCGTGAGCCTTGGCCTTGTTGGTTGTCGTCGACGAAATCCCGCCCGAAAAAGAGAGGGGCAGCAGAACTGGTGGGGCTCGCTATTTTTTCCTCCCTTTTTTTCGTGCTGTCCTCATTACAGGGCTTGTTCCTTTAGGTGGGGCCGCGAGGCTGCTATGGCCACAGTGGCAGAACACGCTAAGCACTTTGTATCTTAAGAGTCTCTTTAGCTCGCTGCCATTACTTATCAAACCGCCGAACGTCGCAGAAAGCTCCAGAAACCCTTCCTCCTCTCGACCTTCTCTGGCGGTGTGTGGTACGGCCGCAGAGGATACGTTGGCCGCACATTGTAGTATCCCTCGTCCTCCGCGACTCCCGTCTCGTCGCTCTGCGCCCACTTGTGCTCGGGTATGAAGCCCAGCCTCGTGCTGCCAGACGAAGCTGAGACCCGCGAGATCCGCTTGTCGCCTCGCTCTGCACCTTGCTGCCCTCCATGGCTGTCGGGGCGTTTCTTGTCCCGGTGTCGCTTCCCGTCTGCCTCTTTCCGTCTCGTTGCCGGTCCCTTCTCGTCGTGCTGCCGCTTGCTGGACCGCGACTTTGTTCTCTGTCGAGCTGGCTGCGCTTTCTCCCGTCCACAGCCACCACGAGCTCCTTTGGAAGCTGTACCCTTGCTTTGCTTGTCCAGCGGCACGCCGATGTTGCCGAGACGCACAGACAGAGCGTCAATGGTCTCGACGGCACGCATCCGCGACGCCTCAGACAGCGAACACAACGAACCGTAGTCGACCCGTGGGCCGCCTGCCGCTTTTCTGCTACCGAGAAGCTTGGTCAGCACGTCCTGCAGCCGCCGGATGATGCGTCGGAGTGCCGATCTGGCATGGCCTGCCACGTATGTTAGCGGAGGGCTAACAATGTAAAGAAAGACGGGGTGCTGACCATCGCCCTTGGCCAGACGGCTGCCGGTCTCGCTCAGACGCGTCGAGTACCGCCGGCGAACCCGATCTCGGTCAGACTCGAGTGTCCGGTAGAGCTCCGAGACCGATGGACGGCCACTGCTCACAGCCTCCTGCACCGCTCTCGGCCCTCCAAGATGCTTCAGACATTGCGAGTATGTGTCGAGTAGTTCCGTGACCCGTTTGCCAAACGCCATTCTGACTATGGTGGACGATGCACGAGTCTGGCTGCCATCGAGAGGCCTCGCTCTGACTAAGAGATTGCTCTACTGCTAGCCGCCAGTTGACAGGTGTGTGCCACTCCTGAGGACGAGAAGCCATCTTACGTACATTCAGCCAATCGGACACCACGGTGGTCCTCTCGCTTGCCCGTGCAGCACGCCGTTGCATTGGGGAAAGAGCAAATCAGCTGCAGAACACAGATGCCCGAGGAAAGTGCCTGGGTTTCATGTCTGCTCCGTTCCTCTCTAGCCAAATCGGAGTATTCCGTGTTTAAACCCACCTGTTCCCTTATCTAAGATGATGCTTTTAATAGGACCGCCCGCTGGGCACTACGCGCCCCGCTTGCGTAGCTATGTAGATGATACCGCACAGCCACGCTGAAGGATCTCCTGTCCTGTCCTGAGCTACCATCTAACTCGGCCTCTACGAGCCGCTTGTGACGACGCGTTAGCATCCGGGGAATCTACCCCGTACTGAGTACTTATATATTACAAATACTTACAGAAAACAGTCTACAGAATTGCTTATGCTCACACAGTATGGCATCGTTCCAGTATCGTATCACACAGTGCAGAGACTTACACGGTCTCAACGACATCTCCAAACCCTCTCGATGATGCTGGGTCTACAATTTATTATCTCCGTACTTGCTTCACAAACTTGGGCATACAAGGCATACTTACCATCGTGATAACAATACGAGTTACGGTATCGTTGGATCCTTGTCCACACATCCACGTCACGGGCATATTAGTCTTCACAGCCATGGCGTTTGCCCTACGAAAACAGCTGTTTACATCCCAAAACAAGTCGAGCCATGTGAGCACAGCCGCAAACAGCATCGCATCAAAAAATGCCGTACAATCCACAGTTCTCAAACTAAAAGACTGAATATTGCCTGACCAAGCAAGCTCTCCCCGACGCGATAGTGCCAGTATTCAATATTGAGAGGCAATTGCGAAGCCTCATGGCCCCCATTACACGGCACGGGCCTCGGCGTGGCCTATTTGATAAATCACGTCGTGATCGGCATCCAAGCACATCAACGTCACGCACGTATGGTTGGGGGCTGGAGGACTGAGCCAATCTTGGTATACGTCCATTTCGACTGGGAATCACAAGGTATCGCGGCAAGATGGCGTCCGAGCAGCCTTGGTCGTACGACTACCCGCAGCGGAAGACGGGAGCTGGTGAGCGATATTCTGCCGGCGACACTCCAAAGGAAGCTGGATGAAACATACGCCCTTGGAAAGTTCGGAAACAGGAAAGCACCATGGCCTCAACACCGATATTGACAGTCGAGATAAGGAGGGTCTGCCGCACTTACGGCCCCCACACTCATGGCCCACACTCATGGTTGTACGACGTACACACGTAGAGCAAGCGTGGGCACCCTCTCTCCAGGATGGCCATGTGACCCCCGACAAGGCCTCACTTTGCTGTCCATCCGTGAGAATCGAGGCACGGCTCTCAACCTGACGAGGACCAGTCAAGACAAGGCACAGCAAAGGAAAGCTGTGTACGGGGTACGAGTACTGTACATAGGACGCGTAAACTTCCGGATCGAGAAGTGCTGAGCCCTGGTAGTATCGTACCCACTCGAAGCGATGGTACCCGGACGTCTGTCAACTGGCAGGGGTTCGGAAGGGGGTTCAGGAGTACGGAGTAGATGGCTGGAGAATATGATACCGGGACCACCAAAGTAAAGCAGATCGAGATAACTACAGACGACTTTGTAAGCTGAAAACGGGGCAGGATCGGACCCAGAAGTAGGAGGAGAAAGTGGATGCTCACCATGGAGGCCTGTGATGGATTACGGAGCAATGACGTCGTTGTTGCAGAAGGGTCAAAAGGTTGGCTGTCTCAAGATGCCTTTCGCGGGCTTTGATAAGCAGAGCCTGGTTCTCGCGCATGCCCAATCTTCAGCATGGCAGCAGACCGCCATCTTCCCGCACCGCCTCCACGGAGTAATTGCTTCTTTTGTCGGCGACCAGTTTCAGCCTCTGCTGGGAAGATAGGAACCAAAATTGCGCAGCTTTGCTTTCGGGCTTGGATAATTTGCCGTATCTGCTGTCAGCTCGCGCCGTTGGGTCCTAAAGTAGGGCGAAATGGGGGTCGCCGGTTGGGGGTCCATGGTGAAACGAGCGACGACCTAATCGCCGCTCTTCTGGCCGGCCAAGCTGGCCCTACTTGCGTACTATTCTCTTTCGTTTACTTTTTACAGAGTACTCCAGAGTACTCCAGATTTGTCCTCGCCTATATGTTTATTTCTCTGTTTTTATACTTATTATTGTACCGTGTCTGTATGTTGGTCTTTTAGCAAGGAAAGTGCGGCCGGACATGGCTCCTTCTTCTCACCCGGGCGTCACTCTAGTCCATCGGGGAGCCGGGAAGCAGCTTCCGGACTCCCACGCGGGATGAGGGTGTTTTCGTAAGAGAACCTTTATACCTACCCTTTCCGGCCTCTTTCCCTGGGCCCACCCTCCCTATGCCGTGCTGGTTACAAATTTATCTCTACTACGACGTATGTAAGATACGGAGCACGGAGCACGATGACGGAGGATGGGCACTCTTCACTTCACCTCTAGCCTGCTCACCGCAGCCTGGCGATGCGCAGCCGCGTCCCAGGTGCCGTTTGGGCTCTGGCCGTCTCTAGCGCTCCGGCTATCGCTGCCCGAGTCAGTTCTTGGCTCCCAGGCCATTCTAGCCAATGACGAGTCGCAGGCAAATCTCGTGCCTTTATCGGCGCAGAGGGCCGCCTTGCAGGAAAACGTAACGAGATGACTGGTCGGCGCGGGAAGTGCCGGACAACTGCAAGGATTGCGAGACCTAAAAAAGCAAGCAATACGTCGTACAGGGCCGAGATGAAAGCCAAAGGGGCCGACGACTCTTTTCCAGCTTGCTGTCCTTTCCGAGCTCGGAGGTTCTAGGCTCTACGACGTACGTGATTAAGAACTCTGCATCGAGCCGTAAGCTACATTGCTTGATATACCGGTAGCGTTGCATGTGACAAGTCATTGTTCGCGAACGAGTACGGAGCACGTATCTTACGACATACTCCGTATATTCGTGCTCGCGTCCTTTTTCCTTTTTCACTTTTCCCTTTGCTGGATCCCCGTCTGGGTTTCAGCCTGGCTGACGAGGCACCGGCTAGGCATCAGGCGAGATACGAGGACCAGCTCTGTCCGATCGCTTGTTGTCGAGCCTGCCGCAGGTGCGTCGTGTTGCCGCTGCTGCCGGCGGGCGTTATCAAGACGTCGCAGCAGCCAGGCTGCGAGCGCTCAGCTCAACCAGTGTCCTGCGGGTTCGTACAGCGCGCACTACTCGTACTCGCACGCCTCGTTCCTGCGCTTCCGCGCGCCTTTTTCAGCCTGCCATCTTCCTGCGAGTAGTGGCCCCCGTTCTCGTCCAACCGTAAATGTTCCCGCTCGTGTTGATAACCTTGCCCTTTCATGTCCGGTATCTCGCTCACGACATCGCCCATCCGGCCAGTCTGCCCATACCTGCGGCGATCAGTGCCCCTTTTTCTCGTGTCCCCCGGCGGTTGGCGTGATCGCAATCTCAGGAGCTGCATCCCCTTGCAACGGCCAAGAGAAAGTACATGGTATCTGCATGCCAGGCAGACTAGTGCAAGTACTTGCATGCGCACATGCATACGAGTACTCCGTGCAAACAGGGTAAGCCGTGACTGCAGCGCCGAGCTTTCCAATTTGGAGGGCCCGCCCTTCCTTGTCGAGAGAAGGGAGAGAAGCGTCCGACAGCAACGGGCGACCGCCAATGCACTGGATCTGGAAAATCGCGGCCGACACGCTGCTGGAACCAGTCTGCAGCGTCCGTGCGCCTGCTTGCCGTGCCCACCATCCTCGCCGTCCTGCTCTCTCATCTCACTGTGGCGAATCTGTCAGTTGCTCATGGGGACGCCTTACGCTTTACGCTTTACGCTTTACGCTTCACGCTCTACGCTTTCCCGGCTTACGGCTTCTGGCTCTTGCGGCACCGCTCGTGCTCGTACTCGCACATTGCCAGGCGGTCTGTGGCTCTGTGGCTCTGTAGCTCTGTGGCAGCATCCACCAACCTTGACACACCCTCTTAGCATTTTTATTACGGAGTCGGGCCCCCATAGCCCAGAAAAACAAGTCCATGGCTTGCTCCCCGCGCCGCTAGCCAGACCTTGCCCTCGACTTGTCTAGCTGCCAACCGACTGGCGACAGCTTCCCCGACTTTTAGCTACCCCCCCTCCCGAGGCGAAGATGCGGATAAGCCAGGTCAAGCTCCGCTCTTCCGTGGGACTACGCGCAGATCCGAGGCAATTGTCTGCCATCGCCCCCCTTTTTAGCGAGACCGCCGACAGGCGCTGTTCTGGCCGCGAGAGAGAGCACAGAGGGAAGGAGCAGCCTGGGCCAGCCGCGCGCGGGATGGACACGAGTGGTATTGTTTGCTCCCTTGCTCTTTTCACAATTGCTTATCGCACCCCCACTCAAAGACCCTCAACGGCGTCGGGGACCCGTGCCACGCCCCACTCTATCCACACTAATTCGCTCGGCCACGGCATCTACACTCACGCCCTCCTGTGCTGGCTGGCCGGCTCGGTTGCGCTGACTCGTTCCTTCCGCAGCACGCCAGAAGGCGACATTGCTAGATTTCCTCATACATAGATAAAGTCGCAGCAGCAGCCCGCGTCCACCAATCAGATAACACGTTGCTCGGCCAAGGAAGGCGCCTTCCCACCGGACCACTTTTCCCGACCTGTTGTGCAGTAAGATACATAGTACCTGGCGGGCAGCACCTGCCAGCGGTCACAGCTGTACCGTCTCATAACGCCCGCCCCTTCCTTCCCTTCGTCCAGCAGCGACGGCCCAGCCTATTTCTGCCGCTGTCTCCCGTACTCGTACCTGCCCCTACCGAGTTGATGTGACAGGCCGTGGGTCGCACCTTGTCCTTCGCGACTTCCGCTGCGATGCCGTGCTCCGTACTCGTATCTCCCATCTCTCGAAAGACTTGTGCCCCATTCCCCCTTCTCACGGCCCACATGGCATGTCCCATGTTCCCACGCCCACGCCTGCAAGCCCACGCTGCCGCTGTCTCTTGCTGGCTCGCTCTCCCACGCACATCCACTTGCCCACATATCGCATATGCCCACACGCCCTCCCCCTTACTCTCTCTACTGCTACTGCAGGCCACAGACGAAGCTGCTGCTTTTCTACACGGCGGCCATGGCGGTCTCTGCGGCCTCTGTGACCGCTACGACCGCTACGACCGATCCCACTATAACGGGCCTTTTCCTTATCACCACGCCGAAGACCAGGGGTCCATTGGCCAAACATCGTCCGTCCTCATATCGTCGTCTTGGTCTCGCCCTCTAAATTATCCAGAAAGGCACCCATGAACCTTGAATACTATATACTAGGACACCTGCTGGCGCGCTACGAGCACACCTTGTTCTCAGGCCGTACTCCGTACCGCCCCAAAACCAGCTACGTCAACGGCCTCAACCCCAATTCGAACTCGCAATCTTGACACCATCCTCGTAGTGCTACGGAATTCTCCTTGTCTACGACCAGGCTTCTCGCCCTCCTCCACTACCTCCAACTCTCCACCTTCCCCCCCTCCCCGAAAAAAAAAGTGTGTGCTCCACTCTTCGTCAACTTCGCTGGCCTCGAAATCACTCTTCCCGTCCATTTGATCGATTTCTCTCCTCTCTATCGCCTAGCATCCCCTCACGTCTGTCCAGGAACAACAACTCGTTCACTGTCTGTAGCCCTCGGTACAGCCTTCTTTTCCCCTTACCCCCCATCACCCCCTCATAAACTTCACAAGCTTGACAAGCGCCGCTTTCGGCTCCGTCTCGTCCTATCCCAACGGCGAACTTTCTTAAATCCTTCTGCATCCTCATACCTGGTAGCTTTGCACTCCGCGCTACTGTTCTGCTCGGCAGCTGCTTCGCCTGCAGAAAGCCCTTCCCTCAACAACGGCTGTGCGTTTGCCTTGCGTTTTTGCCCAGGCGCACTTCTATTCCTCCCGGTTCCTCGACTGCCACTTGTCTCGTGTCGCCTTATCTGACGCCATCATTTTTTTCAACTAGTCATCTTTCACACCCCTTTGATTCCGTAGAGGGCCCCCTCCTCTTTCGGCCCTCACCCCCTTTCGCTTCTCTTTCCCCTTCACACAGCCCACTCTCTCGTCATAGAGGGTCGAGGCAATATACTTGGAGAGCCAACTACGAATTGCCTAATACAAGGAAGACGAAACCAGTACACGATCCGCTACTAGACCGACTCTTTCTTCCTCAACCTAATCCGCAGCGCCGGAACAGACAACTGACGTGTTGCTGCAAGGTGCCCGGTTTATCTTTCACCTCCGTTATCTTGCCTTGTCCCTGGACCCAGGAATATCACATCACCCCCCTCCTTTTATCATCTCTGTCCTTCTCCCTCTTCCTCGTCCGCCGTGTCTCAGAGAACACCCTTCTAGTAGCCACCCCTTACACCTAGACGGACAGTCTTTCCCGCCTCCCCTGCTGATTCCTTACCCACACTCTTCTTTGGCTTCAGACTAAGACGAAGGCAAGGGAACAGGCTCCACAACTGCCTGATACCCACCGGACAGCGTCCCAAGACATAAAACCGGGACCGTCGCCCTATTGCTCTTGGGCTTTTCCAGCTATCTGTTTTATCTTTACTGTTTATATGCCCTCTCGAGCACGCCACGCCTCTCGCCCCTACGAATACACCTTTGGCCGTGCTTATATCAGGAAGCGAATGACTCTGCAAGCCACCTCATAGCTACCCGAGAGACGTATCTCTTGAACGTTGGATTGCTGTTCCATGGACAACATAGACCGGCCGTCTTCGTTTTCTGCTTTTTGTCTTCTCAGTTTGTAGCAGGATCCTGTCTGTCTTGTCCCGTCTTGACACGTTATCCATATTCTGGAAACGCAGGGGCGTCAGATTCATCTACGCAAGCCGAATATAACCAGCGGGCCAGCAATTGTACATCCCATGTGGCCGGACAGTCAGCTACTTTCAAAGAACTTAACGTAAAAAGGGCGACTTTGCGGCAAGGGAAACCAGTCGGCTCACCATGTCGACCGTTTCAACCCCGTCACCTAGGCTACGTCCGAAGAGCCAGGCAGACGATACTCAGCTTCCGCAAGGCCATTGCCGGTACATATTACTTGTGCCGGAGCTCAAAGGCCAACGTTGCGGCTGCGCTCACTTCAATCTCAACCGGTCAATGCCAGGAGCCACGTGTGAATGTGGACATCTTGCTTGCTACCACGTCAGCAACTCCCAACCGCCTACCGTGTCTGGGTCCCACGACGTTGTTGTCCTCGAGCAGCGTCTTCAACTGCTAGAGAAAGAGCACGTCGAGTTGCACCAGCTTCGGCGTGATTTCATGCTGTTGCAGGAACAGCTGAACCAGGGCTGCTTCCGAAACCAGGAACTGGTCGAACGCGTCAGCGAGCTTGAAGATGCCACTGAAAAGAGCAAGCTCGACATCGACCAGCAGGTCCGCGAAGCATACCGGAATTTGAGGCGGGCCTGGGATTCTATAAACGAGCTGTCGCACCACAATATGGCTACCGACAACCAGATCCAACATATTCAGGAGAATCTGCGCGCTGTACACGCCGAGATTCCGCAATTCGGGGAGCGTCAGATCGAATTCGATGCCGAGGTTGCCCGTATAAGCCAGCGGCAGCTCGAGCTCGCCGACATCAATATTGCGCTGGAAGAACGCATTGAATCTCTGGAAACCCTAGATGGCCTTGAAGAGCGGGTGGAATCGCTCGAGGCTCTCGAGAACCAGAGGCTGATCGACAACCGGAGAGACGCTAAAGGCATAGAACAACGACCTTTTTCTTCTCCTGCGCTTACCACCGAAAGAGCACTGCCGCCACCGTCACTGCGGCCGCGACCTATCGATGGCTCTCGTCTCATTGCGAGTCAGTCAATTTCCAGCTCCCTGTCGTCCCCATTCTCCGACAAGGCTGCGAGCAGCAGAGTGCAAACGGCACACAGAGCCGGACCGGCTCAAGAAGCGCTGCCGGTCATGTCTTTCCTCGGCAGCTCTCACCACACAGATCGCCGCATACTCCCGCCGACGTCAATTCCTGCTCATCCAGTCTCGATATCCCAGCGTCCCAGCAGCGCTGGAAGCAATTATGAGTCGAACGAGCTCTGGACTGTTCACATCTCGCTCATGCCATCAGCAACGCTGCCGATGCCCTTTGAGCGCGGAACCAATGCTTACAAGCGGTGTCTCTCACGGGGCTTGCACCAGATGGTACCTGTCAACGGCACCGATGCCGAGGCAGTCGAGAGAGCTGTAAGAAAGGCGTTCAAAGGGTTCCTCGGCGACCACCCCTGGATACCGCTCAAAGCCGAGCCATGTACCGCTGACGGCCTGACCGGTCTGCCGATGTTACGGCAACTTGATCCGTCGCTGGTCGATAAGCCGTACGACCTCCAGTTTCTGATGGACAACCGCGCCGTGCACGACAGCAATGGCCATATTGACTCTCTCTACATTGCCATGAGAGACAGGACAATCTCGTGGTACAAATTGCGGAAGGCGCCCATCTTTCTCGAAGGATTGGAAGCGTCTTGGAGTTTTGACACGATGCTGGACAACAAAAACGAACCTGTCGCCAGCAATGGGGACGGTGGTGGGGACAGCAGTGAAGACGAGAACAAAGGTGGTATTCCGCGGCCACCGGCCGGAGACATTGCGGCGTGCCTGTCTCTAAAGCGTGCAGCTTCGGAGATGTCTCGCTCGTCCAGCTTTGGATCGGGTACAACCCAGGTGCCGACAACGACAGCTGCATATGCTCTTGAGGGTGAGGGATCCCGATCAAAAATACCACGGATCCATCCCTTGCCTGACCTAGTTGAAATCCGAAGAGGAGTGACAATATTATGAACTGGAGACAACGACAATTGGTGGATTTTGGGGCAGCGGATAGATGGACAGGGATACTGGGTTATAAGGGAAATACGACTTGAATAGGTCGATTCGAACCGGTTCGAACGGCGCTGTTTAGTGGTGAGCGGCAGTGTTAAAAGCAACGTTAATACGCTATACCATCTGTGTTATATTGTTTGTCAGCGGTATAGAGACTACGGACTTTGCGACGTGCTCTCTTTTTCTTTTGTTTATGATAAACATATACCACATAGATGTGAGCCGGGCTCCGGCATTGGGAGGGACGAAATTATTATATTCTGGGTCTACAATTTCACATGCTTGGCAAAACCGGCTGTTAACAACGTTTTGGATATTACATGTGACGCCTATAAGTGATGTAAATACCCGAAACATGGATGTTCCTCACCTTGTGTCTCAATTGAGCCGCATTGGGCTCTTCGGGCCGTCTAATAATCCGCGCCAGCTGTTTAGATGAGATCATTTCGGCCTGAAGGCAGCTGTTTCCCAGGAGAGATGATGCTGTCACCCAATGATCCGGCGTAAGGAAATGTGAAATTGAGACAGTGTTGGATGCCCTAGGATATTAAAATAGCCAGCATCTTGCAGTGCTGGGCGATGTGGCGGTACTGCACAAAGTGCACAGTGCCCCCGTTGAGCAAAGGCCGGAACGCTATTATCGATAAATAAATAAGACCAAGCAATTGCACGTCTTGGTCACTCAGCAGCAAAATCACAGTACCTTGTGTTGTCGCAAGCTCGCACCACTGTCTCGTCCTCCCTGTATCACAGTCTCGCACGAGGAGCAAGAACGGCAGAGAGCGTCCGGTCCAATTTATCAGTACTACGGCCCTGATTGTTGGGGTGGGACAGTTTGTCGCGTTCGCATGAAAGAAGGAGCTGTTTTCTGCACGTGTTTTCTCCCGTCCGAGGCTCAGCCTCCTGCCCATTTTCTCTTCACCTTATCCTTTCGGCAGGCCCAGCAGCTTGTCAGGGGACGCATAACCCCAAAGACGAGCTCACCACCAACTTCTCTCGCGCGCATCTCCTCTTCCTCTTCTTCCTCGTCCTCACCTTCTTCATCGTCTACGCGCCGACTAGCTTTACCCGACCGGCTGTACCCAAAAAGCTCTCCTACCAGCTTCAGCTGATATCCTTTTTCGGATCAACCCCTCCTATCGTTGAGACTCGCCTACGCACAGCTCCGTCACCACCACCATAGCCATGGATTTCGATATCGAGATGGAGGATGCCGCTGGTGGCTATCCGGGCGAGGCAGCACCGTACGAGGCAACACACCATCCAGACGATATGCCGCGGGACGACACGGATGATATATTGGGCACAGACGCCGACATAGACACGAGAGACGGACAGGTAAGTGATAGGTCCCAGTTGGCAGAAGACAGCCATTTATGACTACTAGGGCATCTGCTAAGCTGACTTTAACAAAAGCAGGAGCCTGGCGAGATCGACGAGGCCGTTCAGGCGATCGACGCGGCCGATGTGGCTGCCGAGGCTATTGTCCCTAACAAGGTGCACCTACGCGGTCTCGACACACTCACACCAGACGACCTCAAGGCATACTTCGCCGAGCACGCGGGAGGCTCCGGGGGCTTCGATCGCGTCGAGTGGATCGACGACTCGTCAGCCAACCTTATCTTTGGCTCCGAGAGCAGCGCTGCAGCTGCTGTCACAGCCCTCTGCGCTATGCCTATTGCCGACGCCACGCTGCTGCCGATGGGTGAACTGCTACCGGCAAAGCCATACACAGCCAAGGCCAAGAGCGCGGCTGACATGGCCACGACGAGCGGACCCGGTCTGCAGGTGCGCTTTGCCGTCACCTCGGACAAGAAGCAGGCGGGCGCGGCCTCGCGTAGCCGCTTCTACTTGCTGCACCCGGAATATGACCCCGAGGAACGGCAGAACCGGAGGCAGAACCAGCGAAGAGACGACCGGCGTGGCGGATCAGGACGTGGCCGCGACCGTGACTATCGGTCCAAATATCGATCATACCGGGAGGAGGACGACCGGGCTGCAGACATTCGCAACAACTCCTTCGACGTCAACCTGTACGACGATGATGCGCCAGCACTGGCGGCGCGGACATCGCAGACATCGCGGTCCCGAACGTGGTCTCGATCCCAGTCGAGGTCTCGATCGCGGTCCCGGTCTCGACGACATGATGTCTCACGCCGGAGCCAAGCTGACAGAGAGCTGTTTCCCGGCAAAAGCAAGGAGCTGTTCCCCCATAAGGTAGGTGGCGAAGGCAGCACTGAAGACGGGCGGACAACACCCACCATTGTTGCTACTGCTGCTTCCGGGGGCCGCAATCGGGGCAGAGGCAGAAACGGCAGACTGCGCAGCCGCTCAGCATCGCCTTTGCACGATGACGACGACGATTACGACGGCCGGCGCGCAGACGCACGTGCAATAGCATCATCCGAGGCGGCATTGCGCAACCGCGACAAAGCCCGTACGCTCAAAGACCGGTTGTCGACGACAAAGCCTGCAAGCGAAAGCGGCAGCTTGGAGCTATTCCCAAGAAAGACGATAGGAATGGCCCAGATGGACCTTCTCGGCGGACGGGATGGCGCTGCTGCGCTCACTTCGCGACTCAGTGGTATGTCGGTTTCCTTTTGACGGCTTGGGAGAGATGGATCTTTTCTGTTGGTTGGACGACTTGTCGAAGTTTGGCAGTCACAACAACGAACCCAAAAGACAAGAACAGGTATCGGCCAGCGGAACACCGTTAACATTAGTGACCCCCTCCTTTTTCTGCAGATCGAATCACACGTCCTTCAAACGGAGAGATCTCCAAGGTAACAGCAAATGGAGATGCCAACGGCAGCGGGAGCACATTCAACATCCGTGGCATTTCTCGCCAACAGCCAGGAGGCGGCGTCGGACTAAGCATCAAAGGTGCCGCCACGGCTCGAGAACTGTTTCCAGACAAGTTTGGCGGCGAAGGCGGCAACGGCAACGGACACGGTTCCAGCAGCGGCCGCAATGCTGGCAAAGAGATCTTTTCCGACCGGCTAGAGAATCGGACTCGGCCGCGCCAGCGCGCAGAGGACTTGTTTCGTTAACGAAGGAGGCCCGATGCACCCGACATATACGACACGAAGGTGCTCGGGATCCCACAGGAGGAGGTTCGAGGGAGAGGTGATCAGCATTGCTTCAAAATCACCAGACGTATTTCGACAGGTAGAACTCATGTCACGTGCACATATCGTTCTTCTTTCAGGTGCTCGAAGGATCTGTCCTGTGGTGCTCTGTCCTTTCATTGCCAGGTGAATACGATCGCGATTTGCACAACACACAAATGAGATGAAGGAAAAGCTCGGGTGCGTCCATAGCTTATTGCCGGGGGTTAAGGATCTGGCGTTCGGACTGTTGATAAAAAAGAGTTGCTAAAATACAAAGAATGTCGAGGCCCATGGCCTTATTTGCTGTCTCTTCTTTTATATTCTTGACGTCGGGCAAACAGTGGCCCTGAAAGGCAGGCTCGAATTGATGCGATTGGAAAGGGAAGGAGCAAAGAGTGCAAGAATCGTTCTATCATCGTCATTTTTCTTCCATCTCCCGTTTTTTGTCTACGGACGTGCTGTTGGTACTTCGGCTGAAGGATATTGAAAACGTGCATTAGGCAAAAGAAATCTCAGCTTCGTTTGGCCGGTAGACTTTCTCCGCTTGCTGCTTGTTGGTTGGTCATCATTGTCTCGCTTTAGCCACTTTCCCGTCTCTACTCCTCTTCCGCTCACTTTCTAGCTTCTGCTCTGTGCTCCGTATGCCAACCCCCTTTTACCCCCTTAACTTCCCTTCCGTACGTCCTGGGTTGTCTCGATCGTGCATTCCATGGCTGCCGAGGCCGAGAAGTAGCCGTGCCGACATGCCTTTTGATCGCCCCCGCATAAGTCGGGAACCAAGATGCGAGCATCAGTGAAAGGGCGTTGCAGAGCGTCGTAATTCTTCTACGCAAACAGCTCCTCGCAATCAGCTTTGCAAAATACCGCACACCCCTCCCTCTACAATGCATATAGGAACACAAGCTAAACGTCTAGTCGAAGAAGAAACATGGCCGCAGCTGCTTCAGCCCGCATCCAGGACACTTGATTAGCATTTGCCCATTTGACTTCGGTCGATAGAGAATGTTTGGTTCTTGTTTTTGGTTATGCACCTGGCCGTGCCTTGGTCTAGACCACCTGGTACATTTCAAAGATAAATTCAAAGGGCGGTATATCTGCAGACAATTCACAGGAAGGCAGAGTGGCAAAGCACAATGGGAGAACTGCTTGTGTCTCCTACGCCTTAAACAAAGACATAGAACCCCCCTCCTTGATCAGCCCCCTATATGAGCATCACATGGAACAGGCTACCAAAAAAAAGAAAAGAAGAGACTTGGCCCCATGCCATGTCCTGCAGCTGCAATGACTCCTCTCTCATCATCATCCGGCGTTCCACCATTAGGCAATGGCAAGGGAAGTCGTATTCAATAACAGAAGGTGAGAAGACTAACCCGGTGTAGACGACAAAGCCCCGTTCATGTCTCCCGAAAGCAGTCACGCAGCCAATGTACTCCGTATGTACGGTGATGACATCTCCAGATTGGTGTGCTGCACAATGCTGCAGCCATGGCCTCCTCTCCCTGCTCAGCCCGGTCCACAAGAAATCAAAATGGGGCACCAAATACGAGCAAGATCGATATGTGCGACTAACTACAAGCAGAGGAAAGAAACCTGTGGCAAATGTGGCAGGCAGCAGATGCGAGAAAAGTGGCCAGATCACATCTAACCTGTCTTGCTCCTGCGTGCAGCTTACAGTGTTCCAGGCAGGAAGAGCCCTGGAAAAGATCCATACGGGGATGGATACTCACTAAACACATACGTCGTATTTGTGTCTCACACGATATTGAAAAAGACGGAGAGAACCTCTTTGAGAAGAGCAATACTCGCACCATATATGTAACGCCCACGGCTTCCGAAAGCTGTACAGTCTCGCTTCAGGTTTTGCTCATCCTCCCTTTCCCAGGCCGGGATCACTTCCCCTATAGGGTTATCCCGAACGGGTAGGTATGCAGCAGGAAGAAGAAAACACACGAGGAGACCAGATGCCGACCAAGAAGATGATAGACCGTTGGACAGAGCTATGTGGATAGGCCACCGTGCTAGCAATGTAGTGCAAGAGTACGCCGTACATAGCAACATAACGTCCACCATTTTCGCGGGGGACAGGGTGTATTTGGCCCCGTTGCGGTCTTTGCTTTGTTGCCCTGTTGCCCGGTCCCTCTGCCTTGTCTCGTGGGAGTGTGAATATCTCCCCGGTTAAAATGCAGTTCAGCTCGACCAGGGTCGTATTGATGGCGTAGCTGGTCGGCATCCACTTGCAGAGGCCAGCCGTGTCGGCACAGACCAACCTGGCGTCAGCCAGACCAGGATAGACCTTGATGAACGTGGAGCAGGAGAGACCAGGATGACCCAGGATGGCCCAGGATGGCCCAAGGACAAGCCGGTGAGTCCAGCACAGGCCTGCACAAATCAGCACGGCCGCCGTTATTTGCTTCGGCTCTCCCTATTTGATTTCCTATCGATGGGTACGAGTATTTCTGCAAAAGGAATGGACCCGGAAACGGTGTCGGAAGGGGCCAATCATCCAGAGCCCATCGTCCACACAATAACCGCTTTTATGCACCTAGACACTGTCTTCGGTGAGCGAGCGACTAGTGAGGACCTCAAGAATGTCTTTACTCCGTACCACGTATAGTTTTTGTTCAGGCCCTCCCCGCTCAAGGTCGTCCCCTCTCTTAGTCACGACCCGCACAGCTCGTAGCTTGGTTTACGTCCATTGTACGGAGTAGTGACAAAAGCACAGAGCTTAGCCCCATTACAGTGGAGAGAAGGTCTGGCCGTTAGATTTAGGGACTGTTGCATTGGTGGCAGGCAAAGCCGTGACCTAGAGCCCGCTACTATGGGTGAGCTGCGGAGCTGATGCGGGCATAAAACAGGGAATATCCCATCAGGGATGACTGAAGCCGCGGCAAGAATTAGTGTACATGCGATGTAGTACAATGCAGGGAACAAGATAGGGGAAAACAAGGGAGAAACCCCGAAGAAAATACAGAGCCAGAAAAATGCCGGCAAAGAGTCCGGTGGCATTTCCACTGGCTCGCCGTTAGATGGACTGCTCCTGGACCTACTGAACTCGCTGGAAGGTAACGAACAGCAGAGGAAGGAGGAAAAAGAAAAGAACACAGACCAAGGGCGCGCGTAAACGGCTCGTATTCCCCGGTTGCCGAGATCTCATCTTGTCTGTGTCTCGGGTGTTTGAAAGGGATACGATTCCAGTCGAGGCCCACTTCCGGATGGAGAGGACATCCTTTGTTCCTGTACACGTTCGCTAACAGGCTTGTTTCCACCCGCCCAGTTTCCGTCGCGCCGACAATACAGAAAACAAACATGACGCAGGATGCATCCATCATACACTTACAACATGGCAAAGGGCCTCCCGAGAGAGATCTGTTGGATCTCGGCGGCCCCGATCCGGCTCTCTGTCGGGGGAGAAGTGTGTAGATTCGACTTTCTATGCTTTACACACAGCTAGTCCAACAAGGCTGTGTTCCTCTATCCGCAACCTGTTCTCGATCTTCGGAGCGGCCGTTTCTTTCCTTTGCATCTCCGACGCCAAGTACTCCACGATTTGTGGGGTATCGAGGATAGGCGCCGCACGAGTGTTCGTAGAAGGCCAATAGAAAGACGAGGACGGAACGTGCGGGACGAGGATTGCTGTACAGGGAAAGAGCCCGGCGTACGTCGTACAACACGCAACCCTCTTGCGTCAAGTTGCTTGTTGCCGAGGCTTGCACGCGTGGCGTTCTGTCGCTCCTGCCGCAGCGTCTATTGTTGCGAACCATCTTCATACATGCGAGGCCAGCCAATCGTAGCTAGTGGCTATCAGTCCGAAGTCCGCCCCTAAAACGGCGTTGGACACTCGTCTCCACTTTGCGGGCTCCCCTCAGCTGTCTTTGACCATCAACATTGCCGGTGATGGGTGTATGGCTACATTACTGCACAATGCGTGAGCGCACCGCCGTCCAATGGCAACCGGAAGAGAGCCGACAAAGAGAAGAGGCGGTGTTACCCGATACAGTGCCCAGCCTATCGGACCGCGAAGCTTGCCACCCTGAGTGGCCTAAAAGATACGTGTTGCTGTAGGTGGCATGTTGCCCTTTTTTTTTCACTCGCTTGAAGCCGCTTGTTACATCCGAAGCCGAAGTACATAGTGGAACTGCAGCCCACTTATTGGCAATGCACAGCAAGATCCAAAATCATGTGCCCCGCCGGCCGACTGCCTACCACGACCAACAAGCTCCGAGCAGGAGCCCTCCCTAGAGTTGATCTTCTCTAGCGGGAATCGGTGCCGAGTACCGGCACCGGGTCGCCTGCAAGTAGGAGAACGGCTCATTGTTTGCAACGCTTAGCTTCTAACTACGCACGGCATGCATCCTTTGTTGCATACCGTACTGCTTCCAGGGCACTTCCGTGATAAGTGTGTTTTGGGGAATATTGCTCGCTGGCAGCCTCTCCAATGGGTTAGACCTTTCTCCTCCTGTGGCATGTAAAGCCCATATCAGGGCCCACATTCACACATCGGGACTCCTGTTGAGATAAGGAGAGAGAGAAACCCCGAATTCTTATTATGGTCATGTGGAGCCTCTGAGAAGGGGGTGTAGCAGGAAATAACTTTATGTTTGGCCTGGCTTACGATAATACAATACTTACGTATAAATGGTCCAGCAGTCACGGTGAGCCTCCTTTACAGCTGTCTTCGTTTAAGCCTTCTCGTACAGCACCTCATCTGGTCCACCTTTGAATGCGCCATTGCTATTTCTGCAACGTTGAGTGACATGTTTCAGCAACATACGATTGCGCTTATGAACAAGTTCGATAAAATGCGGGCTCGGTTCGGCATAATTAGAGGTGTGAGACAAGGAAAGCTTTCCGCCCGTGCAACGAAGACGGTAGAGTTTATCCTCAAGCCAACATGTATGATTTCTGTATAGGAAACAATCAAAGCCTTCGAGTATTTCCAT